CGGAGAAGGCAGCGCCCACCGAGGAGACACCCAGGGCGGACGGCGGTGAGGAGCAGCAGGAGAGCCCGGCGGGGGCCGCGCTGCCGCCGCGGCAGGAGCCGGTGGGGACGCGGCGAGAGGAGCCGGCGGCTCCCAGGCAGAGAGCTGCCTTCCAGGTGCGCTGGGATGGGCGGGGGGCGAACCCTCAAGCAGGGCGGCCAGAAATCACCTCATGAGCAGCATGGTCACTGTCCTGCCCTGGGCTGGCTCTGTCTCACCTGGAGCAGAGGAGCCTCCAGCCTGCAAAGCCCCACGTGTGTGGCTTAAAGCGTGGCAGAATGGTTTGGGTTGGAAGGGCCCTTAAAGATCGTCCAGTTGCAACCTCCCTTCCGTGGGCAGGGATGCCACCCACTAGACCATGTTGCTCAAAGCCCCACTCAATAAGGCTTCAAATATTTCCGTATAGCCTCCTGGGCAACCTTTTTCAGTGTCTCACCATGCTCGGGGAGCACTAGTGAGGGAGCTGGGCTGGGTGTTCTCAGGGTGCCGCTCAGTGAACTTTGTCTCTGCAGTTCTTGGAGCAGAAGTATGGCTATTTCCACTGCAAAGACTGCAAGACCAGATGGGAGAGTGCTTATGTGTGGTGCATTTCTGGAAGCAACAAGGTAGTTAACAAGTAGTTTCTTTCTCCTGAGACTCATAAGAATGGCATAAAGTCTCTGACAAATAAGATGTTTGGGCATAAATTTAGGTACCTGTACAGAACACCTTGAGTAAGTTTCTATACTAACAGAACTTTCTTTTTTTTTCAGGTGTACTTCAAGCAGCTCTGTCGCAAATGCCAAAAGAGCCTCAATCCCTATCGAGTGGAAGCAATCCAGTGCCAGGTAAGTTAACTGTACTCCATTAAGATTGTCAGATGTTATCATATATATACACACTAATATTATTGTTGAATTTGACATTGACTTTATCTGGAAGAAAACTGGATTTCATCAAAGTACTAGGAGGTGTTATTTGGGAAATGTCTTAGGGTAGGCTTCCTTCCTCCCCTGGATGACTTACATAAACAGTTTTCATACAGCATTATGCCTTGCTGTGTGTATTGGTAGGGTTTTGTGCTTCTGGGTGAGAAAGCTCTTTCACCTTAAATCCACAGTGTTTTTAGCACAAGAGCTCTTAAGTGCATCAGCCCCAGTGCGTTGCTGTGATTAAAGAAAACCGAATGTTAGTCTATTGTGAAGTGCATCCTCTTTGATCTACTACTACTAACATTTATTTGTTCCTTAAGATCTGTTCCAAGACTCGTTGTTCTTGCCCTCAGAGGAAGAGACATATTGATCTCAAGAGACCTCATCGCCAAGAACTCTGTGGCCGCTGTAGAGGCAAAAGGCTGTCCTGTGATAGCACTTACAGCTTCAAATACATTGTCTGATCCATGTGCCATCTTCTGTTTTGTTCTTTGCACTTTGTCTATTGCAATGTTTTGACTTAAGGCTTTTGACCTGGCATTGGATAATGGATGAAGACTTTGGCATTATTGTAAAGTATAGTAATTTAAAGTATGTAATTTCACTGTATGCATCCTGTAAATAAAGTCCCATAAAAGTTTGCACTAGTTTGATACCCCTTGGTTTCATCTTCCTTAGATGAAAGAGGAAAGTATACCTGTAAGGAAGCAACCTATTTGATTTCCTAAAGATAGTAAACTTTGTTTTGATGTCTTCAGGACACACTACAATAAAAAAGATTTAAGCTTAAGTAAGATTTTTACACTAGCAAGTTTTTCTTTGTCACTCAAACTGATCTAGGGTGGAAGTTGCAAATTGTCTGGAGCATAAAGTCTGGTATAAATGCAAATCTGTCTTCCTCCTGCCTCTGTCAAATGTATATATAAAAAACCACAGCTGCTTGGTAACCAAAGACTATCTCCCAGAAGAAGACTATAGCTGCAAAACAGGAAGGAAAAGGATGTAGGCTACCCATGTTTGAAATGAGGAGGGGAAAAAAACCTCTTGAATGCCTGTACCTGTGATAGTGTAAAAAATACTCTTTAGGGTAGAAGGAAGTTGGGAGGTTTTCACAGTCAGTGGAAGACCAATTAGACTACTTTTGCTGTTGTAATTGTCCATGCTGAGGTTTGTTGTTTTTTTTTTTTTTTGGTCAGGCTGCAGTTACATTTCTTGTTATTATCTATGAATGGTCTCAGCATAAACCAGGAGCCAAGTACCTTTTGGGGGGCTGCTGATCGTGGATACCATGTGCAACTGTACTCATTCAGACAAGAACACAATATTCACAACAAGCAGGTACTGTGTTGTGACTATATATGACTTTTATACTTTAGTTAAATGGATGTACTAATCCAAATTTCAAAGTTACTTCACAAAAACGGTTAAGTGTATTTACATTGTGAATAAGTTACATAGTTGTCAGAATAAAAGTGTCTCAGATGTGCAACAGATTTACATGCATACATTTAACACTGGACAGCAGTTAAATGTAAGAAAAAACATAGTTATGACTCATATATACATTACAAATAAAATAAGACATCTCTTTGAAGAAACTTAACATGAGAACTTGCATTTCACGTTAATATCTTTACCTTTTATGCTGAAAATTTATATTAAATAAAAATATGCATGCTTAACAGTTCAAAAGATTTGACTCTGTGATGGGACTTTCTTCTACAAAATGGCAAGTTAAATTATATCTACCATCCTTTAATAGTATAAATATATTCATAAAAGCAAACCTCTAGTAAAAAGCAGCCAAGGTCCTTAATTAAAAAAAAAAAAAAATCTACCAAGACCTTTCATGATCCTTGGGGGGGGCCTAAGAACAGACCTCTGCAATATGATCCAGTACCTTCAGAGACAGTAGCCTAGTAACATTAGGAAATGTACTTCATAGCAGCTCATTGTTTTAAGATACAGTAATCATATTTAAATTACAGTGTACATTATAGTCTGTTTACAGTTTGTTTCATATACACAGGCTCTCAGCTTTTGACCAACACATTTGTGAGATTCTGTGGCCAGCTTCATTCTGCCCATCTTTCACTCAACTAAATAAGAAAAAAAAAAGGAAAAAATGTACAAGTTTTGTTTTTTTTTAACAAAAAATACTATTTTGTGAAGGAAACATTGCACTTTTGCCAACCAAAAATTAATTTGCTATAAAGGAAGTATTGTTCAGTGTAGTAGGCTTTGGTATGCAATGGAAGTCACTTCTTCAGTAGTGAGTTGCAGTTGCTCAGTGAAATGCTAACTGGTTTTTGTGCAACACAGAACAAAGGATGTTGTCCCCGGTGCTCTATGCTACCTCTGTCCTTACAGTATTGCTACGTGTTTGAAGTTCAGCCCATCGCTTTTTAGAGGAAATCCTAAATGTAACAAGAGTGAGTACAGTTTGACCAAACCTTTGTAAGGCTGAGAAGACATCGAGCCACCTCACTCCCCCAGGGCAGCACTCCCAGCTTGAAAGGGGGCCCAAGGGTCCTGTCAGAGACTTGTGCCGGAAACACTGGAGTCTGGAAGAAAAGTATTGATGACCCGGTAACTCTGAGCTCTGCGAATCATGTCGCGGATCTCTATGTTCAGTTCCATTAACTTGGTGCAGATTTCAGTCAGGCTCTGGTTGGAGCCCACCAGTGCATAGGTGCCCGTCTGACCCAAGGTTTGGTGGCGGAAGTAAATATTCAGTAGGGTCTGGACTTCATCATCAGAGCTGCTTCCAAAGATATCATTAGGCCACAAAATCCTGCAATGAAACAGGAAAAGAACAGGTATTTCATTATGGGTTTGTTAGCAGAGACAGAAGCTATGTGACAGATCTCTAAAAGATGAGTGGATTTGCACACGCTTATGAGCCTGAAGCAACTCTCCATTTTACGCCACTCAGTCGTTACTCATATTTTGGTATCAGGCACTGAATACACAAAAAAGTGCAATTTCCATTACCTAAAAAATGTGCTTAAGAAAATGCATTCAAATAGGTGTAAGTGAAACTGGGCTGAATGTTAGCTCATGCCAATGACATGCACCTGTAAGGAATTAACTCAATAAAAAGATTCTTAAGAGCCTCACAGGACTTTTGATCTACAGAATGTAATTAAGCATCTTAATTGTTGCAAGCATATGTTTGATAGTTACTTGTGGCACACCTGTCCAAAAGCCAGTACCTTGGTGAAACAATTAATTAATTATGCTGATCCTGTGCATTACATTTCGTTAGGAAGATAATAAATGCATACTTTTCTAATAACATGAACGCCTTATATGAATGATGTAGTAAAACTTGCCTGCATTCTCTTATTTGTCTGACGGCTTTAACAAGTTCATTGTTTTTCAAACACTCCAGCATGGACTGAATAGCTGCTTCAGTAGAGTTGAATGTGGGCTCAGATTCTGTTGTCAGAGGCTCAGCTGCGATTGCAGCAGTAGCATCCTTCAGATTTTTCTTCAGCTCACTCAGTTCTCTTGACATATTTAACAGCTGTTCCAAGAAGAAAAATGAGAGATGGGTATTTTCATTCTCCATAAGCCCCACATGGAGTAGCTATTTCAGGTTCATCCTTACTATTACATTGGATGTACATATCATGGAAAAGACCCCAATTTAATACAAGGACATTTCTTGATCTCTGTACAACATACAGAAAACGTAAACTACAGTTTGTTTTTTACCTTTGTGCATCCTTTAACATTACGCTGTACTTTTGGCTTGCTAAAATGCAGGAGCATATCTAATCAAGCTTTTATTTTTCACCCTTGCTACTTTTTTTCACATCATAGTGGAAGAGCTGAAGAAAATGTGCTTCTCCTAGCAAGATGCTGATATTTATTTACAAAATATATGCAGCATCTGACACTATTAACAGATGGACGGGAATTGTATAACCCTTTCTCAGGCTGAAAAGTTAATATGGCACAAAATTCATAGATAATTAGTAAGCTAATAATTTCCAAGGATTTACTTTTTCATGCTCCTACATGCTAAAAATAACCACTGTCGCATGAACTAGCAATGGAATTTCCTTCAAGTAAAAGCTTAAGCTCCAACAAAATATGCAAATGTCACAGTGAAATAGCTATTCTTTGTACAGTTGTTTCCCAGTTCCATGGGCCACCTTATTAACAGCAATTTAACAAAGTTATAGCTGTGAAATACAGTTACAGAAATAAATTATAAGGAATACAAAATATTTCCAACACTTAGACTGCTCTAGTAGTAGTTAGGTGCCTATTGTCCCATCTTCTCTTAGAAGTGAACAGCCCAGTCACATTGTGAGCCAACCTTCACAACATACAATTTATTGAATCCTTAAGATACAATAAATATTCAAACTCTTTTTTACTCCAACAGTACATCTGATAAAATGATTTCCATTTATAGGCCATCTCTAAACTGCTAGAATATGTAATAAAATACATGTAATAGCTTCAAATTTTATTTTACAAAGCAGAATACAACAACTGTTTCTCCTCAATAGTTGAAAATACATACATCTTCTTCCTTACCAGGAGAAAAATACACATGGAATGGTAAGTTAAATCTTTCCTTAAATTATAATAATCCATCTTAAAGTGATCACTTCAAAGATGTTTCGAAGTGTTACATATTTTAAGCAACTGCTGAAAATAAACTTGACTAACAGTACTGTTCTTCTGAAGTTTTTTTTAAGTAAGATACATAGATTAATCTGAAACCAAAAAGCTGTTTGGGTCAAAAGTGAGAGTGTGCCATGCCAAAACTATTTAAAGAAAAAGGCCTGTAAACACTACAAATTAAAAATACAAGACATTAAGGGATTTAGTTGATTATGTATGCCTGCAGATTTATAGTCAGGGTGAAATTGTGTGATCCTTGTTGTTAAGCCCATAGAAAGAAAAAATAAGAACATGAAAATAAAGAGGAATTTTCAGTATAGGACTTTGTAGTTTGTTACATACCTCTGGCATGGAACTCACTTCGTGCACTTGTCCAATAAGTTTACAGTAGGACTGAAAAAGCAACAGCAGCTGGAAGTGCAGTTTATATAATCTCTGACAGAGTTCCAATTGCTAAGGAAAGATTTGTAAGAGAAGAAATAATTAATAAATATTAGTGAGTTTAGATAATTTTTGATAGCTAACAAGACACATTGAGATAGTTTGTTCTCAAAAACATTATTTTACTGAAGTATGATCATATGCTATTTTCAGAAAATAAGTAATGATTTTTCTTCTGCACCTAAGTCATATAAGACTTTGAAAATAAAATTATAACAGCTAGCTCTCACGTAGCACATGTCAGCATCAGCCTCAAAACATTCTCTTTTGGTTAGCTTCACTGTCTCCAGTTTGCAGCTGGGAAGAAGAGACAGAATATAGGGGAAGTGACTTTCCTGCACTGAACATGAAACTCCTGAATTTCAGATACGGTCGAAGACCTCTTCTAAGGGATGGAAATCTAAGAGAGAAGTTGTGAAATAGTTGTCCAAGATGGTCAAAGCTCCTGCCTGCTCCTCTGAGGAGACAGAAACAGAGGTGATAAATCTATCTAGGAGTGAGATGGAGGAAATGCCAGCCCTGGAACTTAAAACTCTGCTCATGGATTTTCCACCATTTTAAAGAAACTATACAACAGATGGACGGAGTTTAAAGTGTAAGAGGATATTTGGCTTCTATGAAGTATTCTCTCTCCCACATTAAGTAGATACTGCTCTATGAATATTCACTTGTTTCTTCCAGTGTGAAGTGCAGCATGACATAAAAGATGTCAGACACATTGAAATAATGGGTGATGGGCACAGCTGCCAGAGAGGTCAAGTTAATATGCTAATGGTTCCTAGTATCCTTGTGCCTAACAGGAGGGGAATCTCGTAGTTCCACAGCTGGATCCTTGTGAAGAAGGGAGGAACATTTAATCTTCAGCTAATTATATAAAAAGTGAAAATCCTGCAAGTACAAGTCCTGACCTTGTACTGACCCTTTGGCAGGAAAGCCTTACAGACTTCCAACCCTATTTGATTTGCCCACTGTGACAGACACCGTGACCAAGGGTGAGTGGAAGTATCAGTGATATTTCCATCTGTTTGGAGGAACTAAAGCACGAAACTAAAGAGTTTCATGCTAAAATTGGCAGAAAAGAAGAAGCTATTTATGTTTGCTTCTTTAAAGCACTTCATACAGGCTTAGTTACCAGCACGTGCTGCAGCTCTTTGCTGAATTTGGGACTGTGCAAATGTCAGCACAAACACTAATAGAAAGTACTTTAAGTACACTATAAATGTTAATTTCACTGAAGAGTTTTATTTACGTATGGTTCAACATTTAAGTGTCACATTTTTTATTAACAAGCCAAAATTAGAACCACAGTTTAGTGTTCCAGTTCCCCAAATTTCTGTACTAGCCTCACAAGGCTGAGGGGCTAAGGTCAAAAGGAGATTTCATCTTTGTTCATAAGGGTGAGGTGGACATCAACTACCCATCTGTGAACAGATAGCCAAGGGCACTGCCAAGATGAAGCAAGAGCTAGTCTCCTTCTAAACAGGTTTTATGGAGTCTAAGTGAGAGCAGGAGGATAGTCCCAAGCCAGCAGGTACCAGCCTAGCAGAGTTTGTCCTGCTGAAGGCCAGGCATATGGGGCTGCTCACACCTCAGCACCACCACAGCAGCAGAGCTCAGCACTGCAAATTTGCCTGGTTTGAGCTCTGTGCCATTCTGGATCTGGTATCTCTGTCATTATGTTTAATCAGAGTCTTCATGTGCCAAATGGAAAGGAGGAATTTCAGCAAGGAGGAGTCCTTCAGCAAGTCTGCAGATGACACAGAAGGATGGGATGCCATCCAGGGGGACATGGACAAACACGAGAAGTGGGCCCATGAGAATCTAGTGAAGTCCAAATACAAGGGGCTGCACCTGCACTGCGGCAATCCCAGACATGAGCACACACTGGGAGAAGAACTCATTGAAAGCAGCCCTGTGGAGTTCTCATGGATGAGGAGCTGAACATGAGCCAGCAGTGTGTGCTCACAGCCCAGAAGACAAACCACATCCTGGGCAGCATCAGGAGCACCTCTCCTGTGAAGACAGGCTGATAGGCCTGGAGAAGAGAAGGATCCAGGAAGATCTTATAACCTTAAAGGGGCATATAAAAAACATGGAGAGCAACTTTTTACAAAGGCAGATCATGGTAGGACAAGGGGAAATATCTTTAAACAAAAAGAGGAGAGATTTAGATTAGATGTTAGGAAGAACTTTGCATGGAGGGTAGTGATGCACTGGAACAGGTTGTCTAGAGAAGCTGTGGATGCCTTACCCCTGTAAATGTTCAAGACCAGGTTGGATGAGGTTTTCAGCAACCTGGTCTAGTGGAAGGTGTCCTTGCCTATGGCAGGGGGATTGGAACTATATGATCTTTAAGGTGCCTTCCAACTCAAACCATTCTATGATCCCACCAGACTGGCTATGACAGCAAAGACCCACAAATGCAGGAAGAAGGCCCAGCAGATCCGTGGTGGGGAGCAGATGTGCTAGGGCAGAACTGACTTGTGGACAGGACAAAGCCTATGCCAGGGAAGGTGCTGACCGCTCACCCAAGCGAGTGCCAGCCCAGGGACACTCACTTCCTCCCTGGTCCTGTTCAGTTCACAAGCAGGGACACAGCCTGAGGTTCCCCAGCAGGGATCAAATTCACTCTATTCAAATTTTGGAGACCTGGCAACACTACATAGCAGTTACAAACACATAGAGTTGGAACTGTCAAGGAGTTAATAATTAATTGAAAACAAGCATAACATCATTAAAAAAAAAAAATCTCATGATAGCTTGGCATATAACACTGGAATTTTTTTTGTCCTTGGAGAACAATAGTTCAGTTTCACCCTTTTGGCTGCTAATTGGAATGAAAACAAACTAAGATCAAACTAATGGTTCTAGTTTGACTCAGTTACTGTATCAAGCAACTCGATTTTTGTTCTTCCTGAGTAAGTATTTGAAATCCATAGTGGTGAAACTGTTCATCAACATATACACAAAACCCATTTGAAATGTAACTGCCAACTATAAACTGCAGTTTTTCACTAGGAAAAATTGAAAATCATTTGTTTTAAAATAATAAAAAATGTTTCCTGCCCCAGCATATTGCATCCATTCAAAAGCTTGATTCGTAAAAATGTATGCAAATGACCATTTGAAACAGCATATGAAAGTTTCAAAATTTTGGCACAGTATTTTTTTGATTTCACAAAACACACATTATTTTACAAAACACAAAGTATTTTAGTCACCACGTTTAGAACCATGTATTGCATAGGAAAATTATAACAAAAAAAGAAAACATGCTTAGAAGTAAAACAGTAGAATTGGGGTGTATTAGCCCATCCACAGATGGACAAAAAAATATGAAAGAACTTCAACTTACTGCAAGAGATTCCATTTGCTACACAGCAAGCATGGCACAGGAGAAAAGGAAAGGAAAGAAAGTATAGTGTCAGTGTAATGCATGCAATAGGAAGCACAGCCCATCTGTAACAGCATAACTTGTCAGCAGTATTAGCAATGCTTGCCTCAACCTGATGATTGGTTGGAATATCACATTCAACATGCAGAGCGTTCTTAATAAAATCAAGCTTTAATTCTAATGGTAAATTCCAGTCTAAATATCCTCAGTTAGATCTTCAGATTTATTAGTTTAGATTTATCCCACCCAGTAGCTCAAGAACTTACAGTGAAATAGTGTTAGAAAACTCTTGAAATAATACTTTTATTTAACTTTGGTTTAGTTCTGATTAAAAAGAGCTCATATTAAAAAGGACTAAAAAAATTAGGAAGTATTTTCAAGAGGTGAACAAAACTGAACTTTGCTATTTCTACATATTTTCCTGTTTAAAAATACTTCTATTTTTTTGACAAATGGATCTAATGAAATTGGCAGGATAGGTTTTATAGCTGCTGGGCTTATTACTTGGCACATTACAATGGAAATGTTTTGCATATAACTTTCAAGTTATGACTATCATAAAGGAAAAAAAAGCATGGAAAATGCAGGTTTTGTTTAACTACATGGCAATGCCACAAGTTGAGACAGCCTTATATCCATTCCTCTCACCAGTAATGATTCACTGGTTTATAATTCTAAAGCTATTAAAATGTCAGTGTAAGTCCTGTTGCAATAATAAAAATTCTAATTGACTTACATTTGCATTTCAAAGATTAGGGGACTAAGTGCTCTCTTTGAAACATAAGTGTTCCTCTTTTCTTTGCCAAGAACTAACATTTGCACTCTATGTTCGCTTAATGCAGCTTTTCTTATTTTATAAATATTACAATCTCATTACATTTTACATGAAGAGAGTCATCATGTAAATGCTGTAAGTAACAAACACAACCACATCTGCCCAGTCATAGCCTGATGTCAGTGCATATGCACACAGTGTTAATAAGCATATGGAATTTTTATTAAAATTATTTACCTTACCATCAGTACAAAGGCAGAAAATTCAGAAATGTCAAATAATATTAACTTTGATGAGCCTAACAGAGTATTTAATTCTGTTTTCTTTACATTTGACTTACTATTAAAATATATACATGAAAAGTGTTACCCCAAACCATGCACTACTTTTCTCTAAATCCATGACAAACTAAGCTTTAAGCTCTTGTGATGCTTAATTTTTGCCTTTAACATTGCTTGAATAGTTTCTTCTTCTATTTAGTACTCTTCAAAAAAACCCTTTATAGATTGGCTTTCATGCTGTTCACATAAATGAAGCTTTACAAAGCTAAATTCAAGATAGGAGGACAAGAACAGACAGATCACCATGTTCTAGTAAACTCACAGGTGTGCTGGCTTGTGCTTTTCACATCTTGTTGTCTCTCTTAAACTACTCTGAAGTTTAGCATGCCACCAAGCTTCACTTAAGACTTTCAGAAACACTGGAATCCATACATAATTTCTAATTTGCCATGGAATTTACTTTAAAGAAGGGGGGAAGAGGGAGGCGGAAGCAGCAAATAAGTGAATTCCATGGTCTTTTTTGCCAGAAAACACTGTCTCCTCTGTACTGCTTCCAAAACCAGGGCAAGCCAAAAAAGAAGGGATGAGGAAGGGGTTTCACATTACATGAAAAACCCTTCTTCATTGGAAAAAAATATACTGGATACAAAAAATATACTGATGCTCAGCTCCATATTGCTGTCCAATACCATGGTTGTAACTTCCTCTCTCTTTCAGCATAAAATGAAAGATTCCTTGGAAGTTGAAAAGAGATTAAATAATGGCTTAAGTGATATTTCTTTTATTCTGCAGCAGCAAGGGCTCAGGTGGAGTGATCATACTTCACACTTTTCAACTTCTGCTTTTATTCTTAGAGCAAGGGAAGTGTTTTAGATTAGTTGATAGACACTACAAAATCAGTGGTTTTGACAGCTGAAAACACCAAATTAGTTTAGAGTACTTGGATCATTTGCACAATTCTTTAAGCAGCCAGTAAATGCAGCATCTAAGATGGACACACTCCCTAGCAGTAACACTTTGATTTAGTTTTGTATTCCTAGAATAACTGTTTTGTACTGTTAGCTGACCAGGAAGACAGCAAGGCACTAATTTTTTGATCTCAGTTTTTCTTGCTTTTTTAAGGAATCATTTTTATATACTGAAAAGAGATGACAGTTACATAATTAGTTCAGTCTTCAGTCATTTACTGGTATGGGAGAGTCCCAGCATAACAAAATAATCACTGCATGCAAGGGTTTATTAAATGCAAGTGCATTTTATTAAGGTATTCTATTTGCCTTAACATGTCAGCAGAATAAACCTTTTCCCATGATCTAGGAAGTTCAGTACATACACAAACTTGTATATATACCAGAGACAGAGAAAACAGCGTGTGCTGTGTGCTCTTGAATATCCACTGGACTTGAAGGATAGCAGAAACTATTCTGCATGGGGAAATCTACACACAACTGTGTTCCTCCTTTAGAAAAGCTGCCTACCTGGGCCAATTTTACCACATTGTTGAACCATGGATCTGTCAAACAACAGTCAGATAACTGACTACTAAGAATTTCTAGTTAAACTGCAGCCTCACCATGCCTTGAGCTTTACTGTATCTCAGCTCAGCTCCAGATGACTGTACACCTCCAGACTTATTAGTGGTCTAGAGTGATTGTACCTGTAGCCACAGGGAAACTCACAGCAGCAGGTATATTCTGATTTTTGGGGACAAATTTTTATGAAGTGCAGCACATTTTAAATATCCATTAACAGTTTGAGTTTGCAAAGCCCACATCCATTAGCTTGTGGTGAGGAAGGTTAGAGAAAGGTGTATACTGACTTTGGACTTAGAGAGTAAACTGAACATCTCATTGGGAAATAAATACTTCTATGAATTAGCAATGTTAATTGACAAGTTTTTCCAGAACAGCAAACAAAGAAACAAACCAACCCAGTCTTTGACTAGATTAAAAAAAACCTTCTTTCTTAATAAGGCTGAAGAATGTACTGATAGCTGTACTCATCCAGGACTAAAACCTGCACAGACAGCACAATGGCATGTGCAGTTATCTTTTGTCCATGAATTGACTCCTATGTCATTGAGACTCTGTTGCTCAAACTAACATCAAAGCTTACAAATCACACACATCCAAATCATGTAATCTGTTGCAATAATAAGGCAGGGGGAAGACATTCTGGGACATGAAGCTTTTACCCGATTTCAGAAAAGTTGCTAGCTCTAGCAGCTGACCTAGACAACTTCTATTTCAAGCTTCTTTAATGTCAGAATAAGCAATTTTTTGCCTTTGCCCATTTTCAGTAACAGTAACAATAGTCAAAAAATTATGTGCAATTATTTTGAAATAAGATCTGATTAGAGAAACGGTGCCAAATTAGTTACCAGCATCAGGAGGCATTTGTGACGCAACCACTTGTGACAATGCTGAATTTGGTCTCACATCTGTCTCATCTGTAAAAGGGTCTGGTTTCCCCTCAAGCTTTTTACCAGGTGGGGAGTTCTAAGAATCAAAGATTTCTGCTTTCTGTAGAGCAAGCTGCTGCTTTTTCTTCCTTACAATTAATTCTGAACCTTTTCCAAGAGTAACCTGGTTTTGTGCTTGGCTAAACAATTTTTGTTTTTTTTTTTTAGGACAGAAGTTTTCAGCAGGATTCTGGCCCTAGACTAAACCTCAATGAGTTTGAGAGTCTGGGCAGGTTCCCTTGTGACTACCACTGTAAAACAGATTTCTTTTCCCCCTACAATTATTAGATTCTTTAGCCTTTCATGTTGAGGGAGAAATGGAAAGATAAGAAAACAAATACTTGCCAGTCTAGGATAAGTTTTCCTTGTCCCTTCCTAATTGCATTTCCTCAGTTTCCCTGGCCTCTTCCTCCCATTACACTTTAACAAATTAAACAGATTGTTCCTCTGGGAAAAAGCTGCTTCAGTTGAGGTGAATGAGTAGGGGAAGAAAAGAAATATGCCTGTTCATTCTGTCAACTTCCAAGAAATAATGCATTTTGGTCTGAATGAATAATGCTGAGGAGAAACCAGGGACTCCTGAAGGAATGGGAAACCCTTCTTTTCAGTCTGGCTGATAAGGAGTATAAATAGTAACCCTGGCTTCACAAAACACACATTTAATTCCAAAACAGAGAACATCTAGTTATAAAAGCCCACACAAATGGAACACGACATTTATGGACTTTTAGATGTGTTTAGGCCAGCTATATGAGCTCAGTTCACAGGTTATTCGTTCTCCTTAGCGTTATTTCTTTACTTTTTCAAAAAACAAACAATGCAGTTTATCAGCAAGGCGTGTTGTTCTCCATCCCATTTTATGCATTTCCAAAAGAGAGATGAAGAGGATAAATTAAGCTATCTACAGCAAGGTATGTAACATTACAGTCTGAAGTCACTGTTCAGGGTGTTTGTATATCAGAGGGAACGAAATGCCCATGCACATCCCAATAGTGCCATTTACAAGAGAGGCAGTGATATGTATTCCATGTCTCTTTTTTTTAGACTTAAGAATAGCTCATTTGTAACTTCCTTGCACAGCATCACAATTAAAGAAGAGACAGTGTCTCATTTAAATGTGTTGGAAAGCACTTAACTGTTGCTGGTGCCAGTGCTAGGTGGGGGAAGATTGAACAATTTTCCCACCGCCTGTGATTGCAGCCAGAGGATTTATTAGAAAATCAGATTTGCTAATAAGGTCAAGGAAGCCAAAATGCAGTGGTGGCAAGGATTTGGGATTCTTGGAAAATGGCATAAAAAAACAAAAATCAAGGGAATTCAAAGACAAGAAGAAAAATACATAGAGATGGGAAAGCGAAGTTAAGACAAAGACAGAAGAAAATAAAGTGACTTGGAGAAAAAGACAGACAAACTGAAACCAATATAAGAATAAAACAAGGTATTTGAAAAAAATAGTTGCAACAGGCAAGTCTGTGTTCTGAATATGTCACAATTATCTTTTATAAGTTAAAATACGTGGGAAGAGGAAATGTCACTTTTTTCTATGTGTTGTTTCCTTGCTTCCCAGTTTTGGCTATTTCTGTCCAGCACCCTCTTTTTCCCATCCCTCCACTGTCTTTCTCCCAAAAGGAAACATCCCAACAAAATAACATTCCCTAACTCATTATAAATCTCCAAGGTATCATCTGTTTCCTATACTTGGTATATCAAATAACAGTATTAACTACTGATGGTATTGATACCTGAAAATAAGATTCCTTAACTGGAATCAAAAAACATAAACAAAGAAATAAATATACATGTACATGTGTGTACGAATTCTTTGTTAAAAATTAATAAAGAGATATTTTGCCTTAGCTTTAAATACTTGTCTACAGCATAAATAATTTTGCTGGCCCTTTTACAGTCATTGCTTTGTAATTACTGATCTAAGTGTACTTCAACCAGGCAATTTTTGCTGTTGGGAAGATGGAAATTGTAACAGCCAAAGATAAAATGGGAGTAACATGGAAGGAGAGTACAGCAGGAATGATTTTCAGAGACACTGTGGAAAACTGCTGCTGCAACGTCTTTCTGAAAGGGAAAGCACAGGGTTAGGGTCAGCTCTGCTTCTTTGTCTAGAATAGGACAGCAGAAGTACCTCCTGTGAATACTTCCCATTTCCTGTGGCCAGGACTGAGGCAACAACAATAGCTTCAAACCTAAAGTGCAAAAACTGGATTATGCCCAAGCCCAGCAGAGAATCAAGGAGGAAGTAGAGCAGGGTTCTTGTGGGTTCAAGAACAAAATATATCACACATGTGTCACTTTATGGGAGAGAAATAATACTGGCCGTTCATTACCTTCTCTTCAGAGTCCCCTGGCTGGCAGGTAATAACTCCATCTCGTGAGCCCCCAGCAAATGTTGCTTTACAGTTTGCAAGCCACTGTTGTCAGAAAGAAATTAAAGAAAATATGAATAAGATTTATGGTTTGATTCAAAGGAAGATAAGCAGTATTTTAGTTTTCACAGCACATCATGTAAATAAAACTTTGCAATTGCATTTTTTATTACCATAAGCTACGGCAATTTGCTTTGACTGTAATTTAAAATGTGTAGTCCTGATTTCTGTTAATATTTCAATTACATGAACTATGAAAATTAATTAACGAATAAATAGGAGAGAGATCAGGGATATTAAAGATGCTATTGTTTCTAATATTAAGGGATAAAATAGATACTTTTTGGTTATGGTTCATATGTTCAGGAAAAAACATTCAATGAATCCAGTATCTGAAACAGGTTTTTCTACTGAATGTTAGTTTAAACAGATCTGAATGGATGTGCAGTTTCCTGACATAGCCTAAGTATACAGACAAGACCAAGAGCATAATTCAGCATACCGAGAGTGTTGCCTCTTTCCTATTGTTGTATGTGTCCAGGTACTCCTGCAGCTCTAGAACACTGAACTTCAGCTTTTCAAGAAGGCCACAAGAGAGCAGCTGGAGAAATGAAATCAAAGGGTCTGTAAATGTCACTATGAAAGAATGCAAATACTGGTATACAGTATAGGAAAGATATTGCAAAAGAATACTTAGATTTACTATAGATTTATATTCATACTGAAAAATATTTACATTTGTGGAAAAATCTACACAACTAGGGCACTGTATTGAAAAGTCAACAGCAAAAGTTGCACCTATGATACACATGGAACTGAAATTGTGTTCTGTGTTTAATGACTTAGCAGAGGACTTCTCCAAAATGAAACAGTACACAAAGCTTAACCAGTCCAGTAGGTATCTGTTTTATATTGGGGTTTGGCACACAGGCTCAACACATTATAACTATCAGTCTGTGATTTTATACTGCCCATATGTCACTACTTACCTAATAAAACAATACAGGAAATGAATGGAAATACAGTTCTAAGCAGGAGACAAAAAGTAAGAGATAGGAGGAGAATTCCTTTTTGACATATCTGTTCAGGAGTTGCTCAAAAATGGAACAGCCAGTAAAATAACATGCTGCAATGAAGTACATGTCTGTTGAAAGGAATATACTCACTGTTTCTGCATCTACAAAGAGGGTGGGACATTCAGAACATGATGTTAACATCTGAGAAGACCTCACAAACTTGGAGCCTATTCCTCTCAAGTTGTCTCCCAAGTAACTAGCTGCATCACAGGTTAGGAAGCAGAATCTTTTCTGAATATTCTGGAAAGCAAAATACAGTTTATTACATTATTTTACTCAAGTATGAGCTTCCTTCCTTTGTAAACAAATGGCATGGTCATTTTTCTTTGTATAATGAAGTGCAAAAGAGGCCATCTCCCTGTGGAGAACTGAATGTCTGCTCTTGGATACTGAATAAAAGTTATTATGCTGGAGGCAGTGTGCAGCTAGGTAGCTGTGAAACTAATTAGAGTTCATCATAACCTACTACTGAAACACATTCTTTCCTGTAAAGATGAATCAATCTTTATAAGCTTTTTAGCCACAGGTAGCTTCTTTTTTCTTATCTCTACAGGGTTAACAGAGTTGATCAGCACATTACTTTTTCTGCCCATTCCGGGCATTGTTTTCTTAATATTCCTGTCAAGTGGCTAATCACATAATATAATGGACATACGAATGCCAAACAGTAGCATGGAAAAATCAGAAAAAAACCTTTTGTTTTCCCCTCTGTAAAGAACCTTCTTACTAAAACTTTACTGCTGCTTGGGAAGATTCCAGAAATACTGCACTGCATCCAGGAATTATTCTTCTCAGCAGATTTTTTTTAATGTTTTGAGTCCTAAACCAGTCTAGTCTTCCAGAAACATTCTAGTGCTTTTCAGTTACTTATATATACAGTGAATAATGAATAAACATAATATATTAAACTTGCACTAACTGAAACAATGATTTTGATACATACCCATCAGTTTTCACTGCCCATATATATCTCTCTAAGGCCTAGTGCTCAGCAGTTAGGAACAACATGAGAATATTTTAAAAAATAAATGTATGCAACATTTTTACATGATCCATTCCAAGTTACCAATGGCATTTCTCTGAGGAATGTAGGTTAGGACCTGAACCATACATATGCCTCACTGGAGAGAAGCATTTCCTAAATGCCAGTCTGAATGATAGAAGTAGCCTGTTACTGCTCCTGCATTGGTGCATGGAAGTTGAGTTGTTGAATTCAGACATGGAAGCTGTTGGATTGAATGATTTTCTTTAAATGCTAAATAGACCCTCACACTGTACATAGGCTATACACTATCAGTGATTTATAAAATGGTCAGAATTCCTGTACCAATAAATTTCAGAACTACTTATTTGTGAATCTCTCTCAAAAGCATCTCAACTGCCCATCTGAGCACAGACAGGACGAGGCAGACTGATACTGGTCTTACTGCTCCCACCACCTTCAATACAGAAACAAAGTGCTACACACCTCACTCAGCACATGGTAAAGATTCTCTGCTGCACTGAGCCTGTTAGAGGCAAGGGACTATCACTAATTACCACCAAACCAGATAAATGATCATTTTTATAAGCAACTAGCAGAATCATCTGAATCACAGGGCTTGGTGACAACTGGAGATTTACTACTGTGAGGTCTTCTGGAAAGAAAGATTCAGCCAAGTCTTTGTGAAACTGCTGCTGATAACATTCCCAGCAAAGCAAAGGGATCTGGATTTGATCTTAACCAACAGAAAAGACTGAGCTGAGAACAAAGAAGTGGAAGGAAAATTAAAATGACAGATGATGAAAGAGAATCCAAGAGACATTGGTTGAAAATGACCTCTGGAGAACACCTGACGCAACCTTCAACTCCAAGTGGGACTTTTGCTGACCCCAGATTGTGTCAGGTGTGGTTTTAACTAGCTGAGTCTCAAAATCTCCAAGCTCAGATCTTCCTCAAGGCTTTGGGCAACCTGTTTAGTTGCTGCAAAGCCCTCCTAATTATTAAGTGTGAAACAGTGAGAGACTGTATTTTGCTATCTATGTATAATATTTCAGTAAATATATTTATTTTGTGATTACATGGACTAACAGTTCTATAATAAATTGTCATCTCAGCTATGTCCTTCTGGGTGCAGGGGCTGAAATCTATCAAGCAAGGTCTGAATGCAGTATATATTTTATGAAACGGGATTACTGTGAACAGTGATGCCAGCTGTCAGCATATTATGAATAAATATACACCTGCATATAGTCACTGTGCTTTTTGTCCATGTTAATAATAAAAAAATACTCTCAGAAGGTTCTCTTCTTGACCTTAACCTTTCCTCTCCTGGGAAGAGGACTGTACATAACAAAAGGGCTTGATTGTGGAAGGTACTTGCTAGATCTGAAATCTACTTGTCTTGCAGTTGTCTGGTCTGCTGAAAGACATTTAATTTGAGGGAATAGAAAGAGGCAGCAGTAAAGATAATCCAGAGATCTCTGACCTCTGACTCATTTACAAGAAAAGTACTTCAATAATTTCAGGAATTTAAAATAAGTTCAATGTGTTATGGGCAATCATCCAAGATACCATTAATTTTATATACAGGACTGAAATGTAGGTGCCTTGGAAAATGCACTTCTTTCACTTCACCAAGTATTTAGTTGACAAGCTTCTCTAATCAAGGATTTTGTTTCCCAGTCAAGTATTTTGGCAGTATTCTGCATTGCAAGCTTAGCACATACAGGACTTGTTTCTGAAATTTCCTGTTTATGAAGGTCAAAAGTCAAAGTTGGTGGATGAGTAGTAAAGTTTCATAGTGCAAACAAAATACAATTCCAGACAAGCTGGGATCTTATGAAAAAAATGAGAGAAAATAATACTTCAATGTTTTAACACTGAAAGAAGAACAAAATTATTTTTCTAAACTAAAAATATGGCAGTGACTCCAGCTAAAAATTGTAACTTGTTGATATTACTAACACCTTTTTCCTTCTTCTCCAATATCAGCTGAAGAAAATGAGGAGGGTATCTTCCGAACATAGGGCAGGTACAACAGGAAATGAAGTGTGTGGATACTAGGATTTGGAGTTAAACAGGTACTTTACAAGAAATGTTTAGGTCTTTCATTGCACTGTATTATTTATTTAGTCTTCAGAAGTGTGGCACCAGTTCCTTTTCACCTCTTCAAAGAGGAGGATCAAGGACAAATAAGTCTCTAAACATTCAGACAGGGCTATTAACCTCTAGGACTGAGGTTAAGACAGAAAAGCTGACATCATGAATAAACACAGGATTAACACTCAATCAGCACTGGGGTTTTGTTCCTTCCAAATGGTTATTTATCAGTGTTTAAAAGAATGCCTATAAGAAACCCATATTTACAGTGGCAAAATGTTTAAAGGAGGACAATGTGCAGGTAGATAAGACATTCAACTCCAGTGGAGCACAAAGAAAACATGATGAAGAAGAGATTCTTACTATAGGATACTTCTTTCATACCACATTACTCTTAGATGTATGAAAATTCCTTGAAACTGTGAATTTATTAGCAGGGTACCCCTTGTTGTGTTCTCTGAGATCACAGGCACTTAAACTCTGCAGAATGTTACCTGGCTATTGCTTTCACTGCTGGAGCATGCTAAATGTCCTGCAGCTGCAGGAGAAACAATTAAAAAAGGCTTTAGAACTAATTCCAGGTAAAACTAGACAATCATTCCTTAGAACAGCTTGTACATTTGACTCTTTCTTTTCTTATCTTTTTGCAAGATTCTTATCTTTGCAAGCATACAGTTTTAGAAAGGATAAATGTATTTCTAGTCTTCAGACTCAATCTCTGGAATTTATGTTACATGATGGCAGCTGGGTATTTCAATTCAGACGAGTAGGTACAAACCATTTAATTATGCTGACATTTACATGCACATGCTCAGATTCCAAGAGTTTGTGATAAAAGAACAGATTAACAATAGTTTGAGATTAAAAATGTCATTTCCTTGTCTCTTGCAGTCACTGTTCCTGCAGTCTGTTTGTAAAGTACTGAAGAAAACACTCTTTAAAGTGGATCCATATTTTGCAACATGACCTCCAAACCTGCAAGTATGAGATACTTAGTATTTTCATGACAAAACTGGTCACAGAAGACAGTGCTCCATGAAAACGTAGTTCAGCAATTCTGCAGTAAGCAAAAGGACAAGGGTTATGTATCTAGCAGTTCATTACTGGGGCTGCTATCAAGAAATACTAATTGCCACAACACAAAAATTATGATTTTGCATCTTAAACTTATTTTCTCACCTTAAACAGGGAAGAGAACACATGAAATGTATAAACTGCACAGGAACCGTCAGAGTCGCACATGAGCTGGTTGATATGACTGCGCCAGGCTTCTTCTGCATCATCACATGCTGCTGGCTGAAATGCAGCAAGGATGGCGGAGAAAAATGGTGAGGGAGGAGGGGAGGCATTTCGATCAACATCTCCAAAACTGAAGGACAAAACAGAAAAATGTGATGAAAGGAGAATACCAAGTAGGTGGCAGATAAAATATGCTATAACAGAGAGATAAAATCACAGGAGCAATTACAGCATCTTCTGAAAAATATTCATGAATTTTCAAATTACTTTTGAAGGTTGAAAGGATGTTGGTTACAATGACAAAAATCTCCAAATCAGAATCCCTGTCTTCAGGCCATTATCATCTATCCTCATCCCATGGTTTTCTTGTACCATTATTTTGCGTATGAAGGCTGAAACTTCACAGGAGAATAAAGCTCTCCCTCTCTTGCCCTCCCCAGGCTGCCATCTAACTCAGCATCCAAAACCTGAAAGAGCTCTGGATGGCACGTAAAAAAATGTTAAAGCCTTTTTATTACATATACTGGGGTCCTGCCACACTCACAAGCAGCCTTAGGAGCATATAGCTGGGATTTTTAACAATACTGAGGTTTTCTTTCATGAGAAATCAGAAGGATGAATACACACTTGATCTGTTGAACAGGTACCTAAGTAATATCTCCATTACTGCAAATCTTTACAAATCCTTCTTTTTACTTGAATTACACATATTATATACATAAGACCTAGCTGCATAGATATACATAAATATTGTATCTTTTTTTCCTAGAATGAAAAGCTTGGTTTTGTTTTTATTTTTTTTTTCCCCCCAGTTGTGTGATAATTATGCAGGTAATGAGGGATTGTCTTCTCATTGCTCCAAACTCATGAGAATTTTGTAACTCCTGTGGCTAAAACATCCATTCCATTAACTACCACCTTGTTATCCTTTTGTTTTACATTGTAAAAGAACTTGTGTGAATAATAGTGCATCAAAGTACCTAGTAAGAGCAAATTGCTCCAGCCTGTCAGCTTTCTCTTCAGTTTCTGTCATATCCAGACTAAGGCTATCACTGCATTCAAATGCTCCTGGGAGTTCATTTGTAGACCCTGAAAGGTCATCCTCATGGACTGCTACATCTTGTTCTTCAGGTACAGCTTCAGCCTAGGGGAGTGAATGATGATGTCTTAGAAAACAGCAAGTTAGTAAGTTAATTCCTCTAATAAATAGAAAGCATTTAATGAAAAAACCAACCTGACAACATGTTAAACTGCACAGATACAAAGCCACAGGTTATAAATGACATGAATCAGCATACACTTCTTCAAAAATACTGCATTTGCTGAACTTTCTGTCTTGGATAAATATTATTTTTAAGGCATTTTTTCAACTTGTCTAGCAAAGAATTTCAGATTCCAATGCATGTGGCAACATAGTGAGGAAGTAATTTCTCAAGAAAAACAATAGGGTTCTTGTTACTGTCAGTCTGTCCTTTTCACTTAACACTTTACAGTGTCCAAGACTGTACTAAAGCCTCCCAGAATATATTGAAAACAATCACTGTCTGGAAGACTACATGCATGTTTAGAACTGGGAATTAATTTTAACACGTCATTTACAGTCACGAGGAATCCAAGCACTCTTACAAGCCATTAAAAGGATTATGCTTAATTTCCTTCCTTTTTCATCTATCAGCACCTAAAGCACATGATTTCTGTTCTAAACGTTCCAATTTCTCTTGCATTTTTGGTCTGAACAAGTTTTGTTTCAGCTTTAATCTTCTGGCTTTTGTCTGCCTCATCCAGAGCACCCAAAGCAGCTCCTGTAGGGATGACTGCAGTGGGTTGCTCTTTTTTTGTGCACATATGCCCATGTGCATGTACATACATGTGCTGGGAATTAATAGGGAGGGAAATCTGTGGCAAGTGGAATTAAATGAGAAAAGTGTCCCTCTGCAGTTTATCAAGTCTGCTTGGATCCTACAGATGAATTATGGGGATTTGTATTTGTAAAAATTAAACAAGACTTGTAACAGAGGGGACAGGATCAGAAATTAAGTAAAATAATCTTTTGGTTTGCTTGTTTTTGAAGCAAAAGAGATAGGAGTATTCCTGAGTTAAGGGTGAATGAAATGAATCAGAGCCTAAACCATCTTGAAAAGAGAAATGCAAACTATATGGCTGAATTATCAGAATAGGAACCAAAGAACCCGGTAAAAAGTGTAAATGTTTCATGCTTATTCAAGAAGTAATTAGCAGTAACCACTTTCAAATATTAAATATTAGCTTGAAAGAACCATTGCAGTTTCTTCACTGCAGTGACAGAGTTTGTAGGAGGAAAACACATTTTGATGGGATAGAGCAAAGGAGGAAGGAAAAGGAAGCAAACACCTCCCACCCACTGAAGTCTAATATGATGCCCCAAAAGCAAAAAAGAAAAGTGAAGTTTGGGTATTCATAGAGGATTGTAGTACACTTCCAGAAATATGTGAGTTTAGGTAACTTGAAAAATACATAATATAGCATCATCTGAATTTTTGTAACCCTCAAAGAATTACCCCACTATCTTTAACAGAAAGATTTAATTTAGTGCTGTTAACAATAATATCTAGATTTTGGCACTGAAATATCTATGAAGAGGCTACATAATCAATCTGTTTCTCTCAATTGCTTTATCTATTTAAAGGTTGAGATATTTTTGGTTTTGCTTATGATGCAACAACTAAACATTCTGTAAATCATTAAAGAAGTAAAAAAAAAATCCTTTGCATTGATGATACCTCATCAGCTCTCTGAAAAGAATTCAGAGGAAAACACAAACAGTAAAAAGCTCAGATTTTGTGTTAGGAAATTAAGTAAAAATTATTTCTTTATATTATTTATTAAATTATTTCAAGTTTTCTGATAAAAACTGGATAGTTTCTTCTTTACATTGACTCCAAATTATTTGAGTAAAAATACATAAGTATGCACACTAGAAGAAAATATCTTTGAGGCAAAAAAAAACACCAATAAGGGAGTCTGTGCTTACCAATTCAGTCATCTTTGAAACAGTTGTAACCTGGGCTATATTTTACTCCAATATCAAACCTGTACCAGGACTAGATAAATTTGCCTGTCAATTTCAAAAGAAACTGCTCTGATTTTACATTCTTCACTTACTAACTTGTTCCAAAACTTTTCATTTTTGATGAATATTGGCAAAGGAGGAATTAAAGAGATTTTAACAGTAAAGATTCCAAACCCACAGACATACATTGAACTCCTAACACACCAATAGCTACTGCAGCTGGATGCATGAGATCAGCTGCAGTTACCACCTGCAGACGTGTCTCTTCTGACTGCTGCTTCCTGAGCTGAAATTCTGCCAGCTTCTGATGTTTATGGTTGTTATGTGGTTACTTGCCTACCAACAGTTGTTTTGACAAATGATAATGAGTTTACCTTCTCCACAGCCACTGTTTGGAGAGGTTCCCTTCCTTTCCTATGCTTAGAAACTCTTCCCTCCTCCCATCCTTTCTTCCTACTGCAGCCGTTTCTGACACAAACAATTTGTTCAATATTCAGCACAATTCCAACCTCCTTTTCTATGACCTCTTCAGTAGAAGTTTCCATTACTTCTGAAACATGCAGTGCTAGCAGTATCAATGTTTAGTGTGGCTGGGGGGCAAGTTTAGTATTTGGAGGGGGCAAGGGCAAGAAGAAAGCCAACAATTACCGAAGATACATATATTCTTCCTCTGCCCCAGTCTCATGCACTGCCCTTTCTGCAGAAGTCACACAATTTAGATATGACAGAGAAGCTTTACTGACAGAAGCCAACAGTATCATCAAGGCACTAATTCATACACAGCCCCCAAAACCAGATTATATTTCTGGAGAGATAGTGAAGGTAGGTTCACCTCATCTCCCATAAGCAAGTACCGTCAAACAGAAAATTAAAGAAACCATCCCCGTATTGATAATGATTTACAAACCTTGCTCTGTCTTCATTTTCTGACACAGTTCTCTGAAATACCCTGTGCTGAACATGGTTGTTGTATCCTTGCAAATCCTGCTTCCCCACCCCCAGGATGGTTTAATACTGTGGTCATGAATTTAAAATTTCTGCGTGTCTGCCAAAAGGCAAATACTGAATCCAGGGCACACAACTGTACAATAGGGCCCCACATACAAAAATATTTCAGAGAATACAGGCATACACCCACCACATGAGCTGGCATATCATTCTTTAATTCAGCATGAAGAACAAAAGAATATTGCCTTGGAGTTGTAACTTGTAGCCAGCTCATGAACTTGTCTTCTGATGAGCTTGTAGTATTTTGGTGCATATGTAGTGCAACATATTTAAGAAACAGTAAATGAAATCTTTTCCTGAAGGAAGTATAAGTAGAAAGGAAATGGTATGAAAGTGCAGTAGTGCGTGAATGTATTGTACTATGCCATTAGACAGAGGAAGCCAGAATATACTTGATTTCACAGATTAAGCCCTTTATGAAAGTGTAAGCAAAAAAAATTGTAACATAAAATACAGTCCAGTTAGAAAAGAAAGAAAAAAAATGCATTCACCTTGGGCCCTTCAGACACCTGGAGATTATTCATACCAGGCAAAGACACATCAAAGCTGGATGTTCCCATGTTAAAATGATGAGGGTCTGCTGAGGTTGTGTCACATGATGTGGAAAGTGAGTCAATATGATTTGCATCCTCAGATGGGGAAAGATTTATAATCTGTTTAAAAAACAATGAAAGCACAAAAGAACTGAGTATACAGCTATCCTACCATATGCTGCTTTCATAAACATGCAAAGTAGACAGTGTCTTAAAGTGCAGTGACAGTGGCTCTCTTAGTTTGCATATAGACACAACCCTTTGAATATTTCTGTCATAAAAATTTTATTAAAAAGCATCCTAGAAGTGAACAATGAAAAACTGACACCGTTTACCAACCTGGAGTGTTGTTCTATTTCCTTAAGCATTAAATACATCAGAAAGATTTACCATTGGCCAATTGTCAAAAATTATCCTATAGCAAAAAAAGGCAAATAATAAGACCTGATGATTCCTGTGTTTCAAACTTTGCATTAAAATTCCTGTTTCTCTTGGCAAATAAGGGAAAATGCACCGACTAATTTCAGCTCAATAGATTGTACCTGGGCAGAGGAAACTAAATGTCCAGCTTATTTAAACCCATCACCCTATCTTTTCCTAAATTTCGAGTTTGCAACTTACTAGGTCTGAATTCTCCAAGATTTGGCTGGTGGTCAGGTCCTCCTCCTCTGAGGACTCATCTGAGTCCTCATGGTTCATTTTGTTCAGGCTGGGTGTGCTCCCTGAGAGCTGGTTCTCTTCCATCAGCTGCATGTCACACTTGTCCAGGCTGTCCAGGGACCGTCTGCGCACTCCCCAGTTGAAGTTGTCCATGCTCTCACCCTGAAATCAGACAGAGGGTCAGCTTGCTTGATATAAAACTAATCATATTGCTAACATGTGATCAAAGTTAGCTCCAGAAATATTTTTTATGTAAAAGTATAGTAAAATCTTGAAATAAGCATTATCTTGCTTTTTCACCTGGAGATAAGAGCAGAAGCATGGAAATGGCAGTTAAATGAACACTCAGTCTTTTCAGTATTAGATATTTTTCATGCACTTGCTAATTTAAGAATTTGTTTTTGTAAGTCCACATATACACACTCCTCAATATCAGTAGAGCAGTGACACGCAAAGGAAAAGTTTAAAAGCAATTTAAAAGGATTTTTTTTAAAAAAAAGTATTAAAAGTATTAGAAGCACAATTCATACCAATGGTTCAATTGCAAAACTTATGTTAAAGATTTTAGATTCTTTGCTTTATATACATAACCATAATGGTGAGTAGATTTGAACAAACCCTTGTTTTACACAAAAAATGTAACACCTTAAGAAGCACACCTTGTAAATTTTTATTCTAGGCCCATATTGCTTATTTTTTAATCTACTTGAATTGTTTGAAACTATATTTTGGGAATAGCCTGATCAGCATTGCCTGTGAGATCACATTTTAAAAAGGATATAGTCAAATGGACCAAACATTTTATATTTATCAGACTTTCAGTTCCGATCCCACACACAGTTACATAAAGCTGAATGCATTAAGCAAATCGTGCAACCATTTGTTAGGCTGGTGAACTGATAAAAAGATCACTTGATTTCTTTCGTGTATAAAAATGACAATTAGTTTTCCACCCTTTTTCCATTTATTTACTTTATATATTTTCCAGTGGACTGATGCCTTTTCCCTGTTTGCAATAATCTCTAGTTCCCTTTTTCCTCTCTGGCAAATGCAGGACCTCATCTACAACTGCTCCTGCCATGGACCTCCAGAGGCAAAAGGGGTCTTACAGCTAGAAAGGTCTCACCAGAAGTATTCAGTTGCAGTTTTGGGTACTTTATTTCGATGAAAGCCCTCGATCCTGCATCAAACGTGGGAAGGAAATTTATAGAGAAAAATGTTTCCTTTGAGGGTTTAGGGCTGCCTGTTTTGAACAAGACTCTGTAAGTTGCAAAGCTCTGAAACAAGCAAGTCAATTGGTGAAATTCAAACTAACAGTGATATTTTAAATATTAATTGGAAAAAAAATATAGTTCTGCCTAAAAATAATATTATTATCAAGTAACTGATTATGATTCTTTCCTGGATTTATTCAGATCAAAATTACGTGCAGTCATTGAGAAAGCAGGCTCAGTTCAGAAAGGTCCCTTAAGCAGGGCTGTGATTTTAAACACTTGAGTGATGCCCTTTTGGGACTACTCAGACATTTACTGAATGGGGATCAAACTGCATAAAGTGCAATGAATTAAATTGCAATCTTACCTCCTTAACAATCAACTAACTTGCACAAATTGATCTTATTTTGCATCATTACCACTTAATGCAATAGACTGTGGAATTTGAATAGGAGGGAAAGTTCATTTTTATGACATTAAGCTCACCATTCCATGTACAAATATGATAAAAATAGAAAAAAATATTTTTAAGGAAAAAGAAAACCCTTGCAATTCACAAGAACATTTAAAACTAAGGAATGCACTATAATGAAGAGAAAATTAAGATGAAATTTTTATGAAGACTGACACATTATTGGAAGAACCCTGTGTTTTCATCCTGAGACTGGTACCATATGGTAGTTTTGTGTGGAAAGAGAACAGAACACATCTAACTTAAGAAGTCAGGCCTCTTTAAATCATCAAAATGACTGTTCAGTTCCAAGCTATTTATTTTAGCAAATTATTTGGTTGTCCATTCTCCCCCTCAAAGGCTGGAGGACACATGCAGAAATGAGACATCCTCCAAAAACACATCAATTACTGAACTAACAAATGACAAGATGACATAAATAAGCAAGCAAGCAAAGATCACTGTCACCACACCCTTATCCTCATGATGCCTAGCAAAGCCATCAGTAAATTCAGCAGCCCACGTCTGTGGGAAATATTTCCTGTTGCAGTTTTATTCTGCAATGCCTTAAAGAAGGAAGCCAGCAAAAAGAAGGAAAATAAAAGGGACATTTCCAGAGCATGCAGTTAGTTGGGGTAGTGAATTAAAAGTGAAGGAAAAGGGTAAAAGAGATGAAACACTGTAACTCAAATACCCACAGCATATGGATTAGCCTAGGCTTGCTACAGGGGCACCCTGAACCACACTGAATTTAAACAAGAGGTCAGCACATGATTATACAGTTGTTGTTTTTGTAGTGCATTTAGCAATTTTTCTTTCACAGTTAACAAGAAAGAGCAGAGATATATCTGTGAGGCTGTTCATTTTTATGTACAGCAGGAGCAAAGCCCTCTCCCATCTGGAAAATCACCACTGATAAAGATCAATTCAGAGGAATTCAATTCAATTCAATTCAATTCAGTCACGTTATAACTGTGTCTGGCCAGCTATGAGCAGGTACCACACAGAACTTCCTACAGTCACCACCCTCTGGTAAAGGAGCAGATGTGCCCTTGCAGCTACTTCAAACTTCACAACTGCCATGGAGAAAGGAGAAACTTTCCCCCCTATGTGGGGGAGAGCAGTAATGCTCCTCCACAGAGGCAGTAAGAATCATGCAAAACCTCTTTCACACAAGTTTTCCTTCTTACTGTGTTGACAAAGTATGCAAAGTTAATGGAAACACCCAAATATTGCAGGGTATAGGCAGAAGTATTGTGGAACTACATAGTAAGGCACTGTTTCCATATGGATCTATCTCTTACAGCACAGGAATTTTGAGACAATGATTTCTGGGGGTTGTGTTTGCATAATAACAGATATACAAACTATCAGAAACAGATACGCAAAATTCTGTGGTTGCTGATTTCTGCATTATCTGTACAGCTCATTAAATTATCTACCATTTCAATTTTCTCTATACATTGATAAATTTAAAATTTAGGTCCCAAACTGGCAATGACTGCTGTGTCTTTTCAGTTTTCCTCACAGGGCAAATGAGTCCAGAAAAATTGGTAGGACCATACAGCTGTATTAAATTAGGCAGTAGAAATTAATGTATTCAATTAAATTCAGTTTGATAGCAATAATGTAAACTGTCTTAAACAGTTTCAGACATCTGTTTAGCAAGATGCTAACAGAAGACAATATTCCTCAACAGAAAAAGTAGAAATTATGTATAATTTTCCCCTACAAACAAATGGCCCAAACTCTTTAAATAATGAAGTTTCTGCACATCAATCAAGCACAAAGATATCACAAGGAGAAAGGGCTCAGTTTGAAAAACGCTGATACTAGAATTAAGATATTTTAAAATTTGTGAAGACTGTTGAACATGTCAAAAACAAACTTAAAATGAAGCAGAATTTTTGAGAAAGACCTCAAAAATATTTCTAATACAAGACAAAAACTGAAGCACCAGTCAGAAATGCAAGCACACACACACACACACACTCACCTACGCACACACTGAAGGGGGAAGGCAACAGCAAAACTATGATGTTATTCTACAATATAAATTTGCAAGAAGGCATAACATATGCTGGCACATCTGAGTTCAAGTAGCATTCTTACCTGAAGTTCCTGGGTAGCAGATATAACAGACAGAAAAACAAATAGAAAGAATCTATGTAAAATCACTGCATTAAAGACACCATAGACAAACATTTGCCTACAATTTTAACAAATAATATCACGGAACTTCAACTCTACCTTTTAAGGCAGAAAATAACTATTTCTTGCTTTCACATCTTTAGGAATTTTCAAACAAGTATATCTTGTGGTCTGGGGATGACCCAAGTGTCACTGGCCTGTTAAAATCATATACACTTTTTTGAAGGACTGATGCTGCTCCTGCTAGATTTAGTTTTCTAACACTGTGGTTTTCATTTTTATGAATATACTGCACTTAGATATGATGTAAACGTTATGGTTTCTACTTAGTCATTAGAGTAGTAGCCTTTTACACCAGGTCTGAATTTATTTTAAAACAACAGTAAGTTTATCCTGAACTAAACTTTGGAATGCAATCCACAGCAATTTAAAAACCACTAAATGAAACTCAACATTTTTAATTTTACTTCGCATAGAATAGAGAAGCTTGGTATCTTTTTCATGACCAACTTAGGACTATTAGGATATCAATTAATGTAGGCCTCAATCTTGAAGTTGGCCACATGTATAAAAAAATCTTTGCAGAGTCACAGTCCATGAAAGAAAACCCATTTTAAAAGGAATTGTTCTTCACAATTATATATATTCTCTATATGGTTTTAACTGGTGAAGAAAAAGAACAAATTCCTGAACTTCAGTGGACAAGAAATTATCAAGTGATCTTCAGTCAAAACTGTAGTCCTACATCCTTGTAATATCTTGAAAACATTTAAGACACAGAAATTACTGCAGCCAGTGTATTTTTGCCAAACATCCTGGCATTATTGTTTTATCATTCATCCTTGTTTGGAACCTTGAAGCTCCTTCAATATTTGTCTAATGTATTTACAACCATTGCTGCCAAGTACCCTTTCAGTTTGGCTTTTTTTGTTTTTTTCCATTAGCGAAGCCACTGGCAGCTGTGAGCCAAGATTACTAACTTTGATACAGAATTTCCTGTCTTGGAAACATAAGGACTTTGTGACATTTTTTTTCCCTATTCCTTCATCCTTTCTGTTCATTGTAAGGAAAAATTCAGGTGTACATGAGTTCACACCTGACTGCTACTGAACAATTACCTTAAAATTATTTTACTACAAATAGGTAGAAAAATTAATATTTCTTCCTGTACACATGTTCTTCTCAGTCAGAATGATGACTGAGAGAATTCATGTTAAAAACAAGTCCAGATTATGACAAGTTATTAAACTTGAGGTTTGCTGAACATATGAGGTATTTTAAAAGAAGTAACAATTTCTGAACTGTTAAACATCAACAAAATTGTGAGACATGTTTGGCAACGGATATTAATATTTGGTCTTTCCTGATCAAATAGAAAGAAATACCCCAAGTTTGATATTAGCAAGATTAAAGGGTGTAGTCCTTAAAAATTTATCAGTTCTTCAAATTTTTCCCTTCAGCAGTTTCAGCTCAAGGTGAGCTGACAGGCTTCACCTGTCAAGACTTGATCTGGCTGCTCAGGATTCTGTTTAGCTCCTGCATGAAATGATGAAATCACAGACACTTCAGCAGAGTGGAAGGTACATCTCTAAGTGATTTCATTGGCAGTTACAGGAATAAAAGCAGCCTGAAGGCCTGAATTAATGTTTCAGAGGGTTCCTTATGAACCAACAGATTTGGAACAATTTCATTTTATACATTTTTAATCAGCAAATATATATATTTTCTTAACAATTTATAAATCTATAAATTGTATTTAAAATTAGTTGACTTAAAAGTAGATTCACCAAAAAGGTACTAGAACAGAGGCTTTATTTTCCACTACCAGTTTTGCAGTGTTTCCTAAAGTAGATTCAGAAAGGAAGGGTGTGGTAGTCCTTTTACTGTTACGCTACTGAAATAAACACTAAGTGAAGTTCATAAATAATCTAAACTTAAAAGTACATTTATAGTTACACAGTTAAAGTTTTATATTGCAAGAAGAGAAGTGTTTAGCAGAAGGAGTATAAAAGTGTTGTAATAAAAAAGCTGTTTCAGAGAAAATATACTGTACCTCCCCATCTTCCAGCTCAACATCTAGGAAATCAAAGTCCCTAAAGACTCTGAATTGTTGTTCACTGTTTGAATCATCCATGTTCTCCTGCTCCCTCGTTCCGTCTTCTGAAGAGACCAAGCTCGTTTGATGCTCAATCAGATCCAAATCACCACAGGAAGAAAAAATCACCTACAATTCAAAGGATTTCTTTTGTTACAAACTGTTCCCTCTGGTTGTTTCTTCCTAAAAGCTGTAATTGGTTGTTCAGAAGACTGTATTTCCAGTACACACCTAATTCCTTCACTGAGTATTTTTAGAACACTCTTTATTATTTATGTTGGACAGGTGCCTTCAGATTAAACTTGTACAAAGAAACAACTTCATACTGTGGGAACACATCCAAGAATATTACAGCTACCTCCTAATGGCTGCAGATTGATGTTGCCTGGATGTTTGTAGACATATATAGGAACAAAATCCAGAGAACTTAGCAGAGAAAATACTGTCAAGGGGATGATATAACAAGTTCATTAAAAAAACCACTCCAGTTAACAAGTTGTTAAAAAACATGTCAAGATTGGAAAATACAAGCTATAATTTTTTCTTTCCTACTGAGTATACTTGTTCTGCAATTTAGTTGCAAAAATTAAACAGCTCTCATCTTGCAGAAACAAAGGTCCTGTTCTCCATAATACAAGTGACATATACCATGTTCAAAAACATTCAGAAATTTTTCTTTTTTCTATAGAAAATATTTAATAAATACTTTAAGAGCTTCCCACCCTGGGTGACCAATCACTCTTTTCCTGGCACCAGATAACACTAATTTTTAAAGAGTAACATCAGAACTAGTGTTTAATGGAAAAATCAGACACACACACCCTTTCTCCTCCCATTTTACTTCTGTAATTTAGTTTTTTACTTTATAAATGTTCTGTATTGGTAGATCAGAGGTCATCACTCTCTGTCCACTGAGATGGCATAAGTAAAACCTACAGCATCGAATTCTCACATAAAAAAACTTCACATAGCTCTCAAAGTGAATCTTTAAGTGAAAGGGCCATTCACTCCCTGGTCCATATGCTGAGAAACACAGCCTGGGCCAGTACAAAGGAAAATGACAGTAGTGACTTCAAAATGATGCAAATCCAGTCAGCAGCTCTGGGAAACACAGTTCTTCACTTTCAACACTTAGGACACAATTAAACAAAACCTGGTCAATACAAGGCTACTTACTGAAGGGTTTTTACTCAGCCCAACTTCCTGACCACACAGGGAAAGGACATGCACCAGCTTTTCCTTTGTCCTTTTCTAGAAAACAAGAGGTTTCTCAAGTGAGCATTTTTTCAGCCACCCATTCTCCCTGTGGCTAGAAACGTACATTAGCAATTTTTAATTAGGAGGAACCAACAAAAGAATTAGTCATTAAATGCTCAAAGGATTGCTTTCAGAGAAACTATGCATCGAGGAAACATAAAAACAGCTGTTAATGATTTTGCTGTTTATTATATTTAAATCAGTCTATAAATTCCATTGAGTATATTAATGAAACATTGGATAATATGCATCACTTCAAAAAGACAGTTCAGAAACCTAAAATTAAGCACATGCATAATTTTTTGTTTTTTGTATAATTTAGCCTGAGTCACTGTTACTTAACCTGCTATATCAAAAAGGAGAAAAGAGCAAAAATTAAGTTTATTCTGCATGGCTTTGTTTTAACTGGCAGATAACCAAAATCATTAAGGTAATCAAATATCACTTCTAGGAAAATTGTTCTTTTTATTGAATTTCCCATGAAAACAGCTTTAAAACTTGCACCAGCTATCTACCTGCTCCCCTTGCTAATATCTGAACTCATCTGTCGTTAAGAGGTCTTAAAGAGATGCATTTCCTGCAAGTTGAAAGAAAAACAGCTTTGGGATAGCAGATGGACGTAACTCAGACCATTTTTGAGTCCAAGAAGGACACTCAGCACACAGGGTCAGATGTTATGCTGCCACTGCCCCAGGCAGCCATGAACAGCACTGCACAGGGCACAAGCATTTAAGGACCCAAGCATGTGTCAATTCAGCTGCTCTGACTGCAACTTGTTAATGAACAGTGGGCTACCTACCTGAGAGTACTGAGGTCTCTTCCAGCTCACAGGAACAAGGACATTGGAGTTAGATCCTGATGAAGTTGAGGAAGTGCTTCGGGTGACAGCCATTGCCCTGGGTTTGCCATCTCGCCCAGAAGAACTCTGCAGCTCATCATACCGTCTCCCAATAATTGGAGTCTTAAACAGAGAGTAATTATTCAGTAGCACCCTGTTTCAGGATGAACTTAGAAGAGCCATATTGCTTCAGTTGGAGGAAAAGATTATTTTGAAGGGATATACGGGGATAAAACAAGGAGTGCAGCAAATTTTATATCACTTGGTATGTTTCTTATTTTCCACTGTGGATGTCTGAATAGCAACGGCCATACTTAGTAGCCAGAGCTTATGTTCAAAGATATCACAAAGATATGAGTGATAATACTCAAAGCAACTGCCACACAAGTTGCTGACATAAGAACCAGCAAAAACCCAAGTAAGCTTATGAAGTTAATGTCAAATATGCACTTCTTGCATATTTTTAATTGCTTTTCCTAGGAGTGCTGAACACTTTGGCCCTTTTCCAACAGGTATTGAAATGCTTTCTTGGATTGACAATAGCATTTTCCAGAACTATACTGACAGGAAAGCAAATAGTACCATATGCCATTTTATGCTTGTATTTCCTTTTAACCTCAACAGCTCACTATTATCTATATGAAATAATCTATAATGCTGCAAACAATTCTGCAGCTTCTTAACAATAAAGTGAGTCGCCCATTAAAGTCACTAGGACCATTCAGCTCTAAAAAGTTACAAGGGTTTGCAGGATAAAGACTGCTGTGAGAGAGTCCAGTCAGAAGTCAGAATTAAGGTGTTAAGTAGCAAAACTATAAAAAATACCTCTGAAATATCAAAATGAAACTCCAAAGTCTTCCCTGGTAGCTCCTTGGAGGCACTGTTCCACACTCGATGTATTTCCATTTTTGAAAGATCACTGTGTTGATAGGAAGGCAGAACTAAACTGGCAGAACGAGAAACTACCAATTTCAGGATATTCAAGGCTTCTCTCCAGTGAATACTCTAGAAATAATATATTTACTCAGCAAACAGAAAACGATATTCACACACATTCAAGACCATTTACATTTTACAGTCATATTTTTTAACCACATAATTAAAATGTAGAATTGGAATATCTGTATTCTTTGTCTCTCTTGGCCAGTGACACGGTGTGTAACTGAAGAATAATTTCAACATCAGAGACCAAGACTTCCCTAAGGTGTCACTGTTAGGGAACCGGCCCACAAGCTGGGAGACCTGTGGACAAAGCCAACTTGGCAGAGGATTTAAAATCTCCTACCTGAATGTCTTAATCAATATGAATAAATATAGGGGCCATAGCAGAATCCCCACTTAATAAAAAAGGTAACCTGACACAGGTTTTTACCTTTGTGAATTCCTAATACTCCCATGTATTTTTCACTTGTCAAGAATTAAGTACAGAGGTCTCTGAAGAGACGTGCTTACACCACACCTCCCTTGTGCTAATAATTAAAGAATGGTCACCCAGGCTCTGAGTGGTATTAGGGCTGCTCTGAGGTGATCCAAGGCTGAATCCCAGCCTTCCCCCACAGTGAACACACTGCCAGGTATCTTCTCTGGGGATGCACTGACATCAGGATGTTTACAAACTTTGAACCACACTACACACTTGCAGCCCTCCCTGCTAATCTGGTCTTAAATTCTTACATAGAACAGTAACTTACAATAGTAAATGCTGCTAAGTTCCTATATTAGTATAAAAATGATGTGGTATTTACCTGTACATATTTTTCAATGGTTTTTAGCACTTCAATGTTAAACTGCTTCACAGGAATAGCTGACAGGTCCATATAACTAAGAAGACTGTAGATCATCTGTAAGAGGGACTGTTGCATACTAGGAAGGCCCTTTTCTAGAAGCTGTTAAAAGAAAAGTGAATATAACAAAATTTTGACACATTTCTTCCTAAATAAAAAGCTACTGGCTTCACAAACAGCAATTGTACTCTGCATCTTTCTTCACTCACTGATTTTGCAAAGCTATTTTACAATAATTTCACAACTGATGATGATACAGGCATGAAGTAAAAAAGAGCTTAAGTTGGGAGCCAAATGCCAGCCTGCTTTATTTTATATATGCCTGCCCTAACTTATCCAGAAAACACATTCAGCAGTTGAGTAAACTGGTAGGTAAAATTTACACTGTAATTGGGTAAGCGCATCCAATAAAAACAAGGGAGGATCTTTTTATGTCTAAATTTGCTGGAAGTCAGTGAGAAGAAAGAAAACTTGCTGAAGAAACAAAACTACTACTATTCTGACTTCAATAAATATTTATCAAATATATTTCACTGCCAGTGCTCACTGGCTGTAAGTGCCAAAGAAACATTTTCTGTTTAGGAGGGGGTGGAATCCCTGGGCCCTCTTACTGGAGAGAGTAATACAAAGAAAGGCTTGATCTAAATTCTGGAATTTTCAGACACCTGAGTCTAGATTCTGAAATACAATGAACCTTGGAAATGCAACTGTGCTCATACATATGTGTGGCAGTAATTCCAGAGTCATACAGACAGCCGTGGTTTGTTTGTATGCGTGCGAAATAAATCAGCTGAAAATTTCCTGGCAGGCAGCACCACCTGTTACTGGTGACAGGAGCTGTCCCACTCCACAAATTTCAGAGGCAATCAAATGTCCTCGCTGGAGGTTATCAGAGCCTTAATACTAGACAACCTCCCAATTCAGGCTGACAAAAAAGTTCTGACACTGGCTATTAGAGTTACTGGATTCTAGAAAAAAATTGCTTATAAAAACTGCGAGCTGCCTCCTGCCTTCCATCAAAGAAAAATTTCAATTTTTATCCAAGTGGACTTCAGTAATTTTTTAGATATCCTTCTACAGATGTAGAAGGATAAGGTTTCTCCTTTCATTGCATGAGAATGCTTCATGCCAGCGCAAATGGAACCTATTTTATCCTACTAAATATCTTCTGATTACTTTCATCAGCAAAAGTGAGTAGCAATTAGTGATTCATAAAACAAAGCAAGCAAATTCTATTAACAGCACAATAAAGGGAACTCATTATACTTATCTATTCCTCTACAAATAGACAGGAAGAATTTTTAAATTAGAGGTACTACATGACAATCTTCTCCAGCCCTTAGACATCTTCAGCCCCTCAGATACCTTTACCGAGAGAGAAAATGTGCTTAGCAATTCTTCTTCAAAATAGGTTTATGAAGGGTTTTTTTGCCTTTTCTTAGGATCTTGCAATGGAAAATTTGATTCCTTCTTTCCAAATATGCGGTTTCCAAATATGTGTTTGATTCCTTGTTATGTGATGCAGAACATCAGCCAGTATATCATTTCAGTGAAGGATTAGAAGAAACTATCTGGATGACAGAAAGAAAATTTTTTGTTCTCTGACAGAGACTACTGCATCAGGTAATTGGGACAGGAAAAGGAATTCTTGAGAAATAATGGGAATTTTGTCTCTGTTGTTTAGAAACTGCTGTTTAGAAAACAGTTATAGGAGCCTTATCTCTGAAAGTTTGTAATTTCCATTACAGTTGGTATAAATTTGTTGTCAAAATAATTTGTTGACTGAAACAGCTCTTGGCCCTTAAACCTGACATATTTGGTGACTGTGTCAGTTTTCACTTGCTCAGATATGTGGTGGTTCATAGCCCAAGGGTGCCCTTAAATACATAATGAATTTGCAATAAGAAAGAGTATTTCTGTTTAAAAAATAGAATAGAATAGAATAGAATAGAATAGAATAGAATAGAATAGAATAGAATAGAATAGAATGAATTCTATTGCTGCAAGAAGTAACAAAAATAGCAGCGAGATGGAGTTGTAGTAACACATCATTTGGATAAGAGAATTCCAGGACAAAGAGTTTCCACTGTATTTGTAAAAAGAAATAAAACTATTCTTAACATTTTTTTTTTTTTTTTTACTTTTGTAGATATGATCTGTTTTGAGGAATTGTGGATTCCTCTCTTGTTCTGTATGGTAACTATCTTACCTGGGCTCAGGAATCTACATTGCATTAGCAACATTTTCCCCCCTCCTGAAGCAACAACTAACCCAGAATAAGTGGAGAAGAGAGCAGCCTTCTCTTTCAAGTGTTGCCTGGGCTGCTACTGCAGGAGACAGCTCCCTTGCCCCTCCCAGTCTGGCAGTGGGTGTGAAGAGATACTTAGCTCTGAGGCATAACCATGCAGTCAAACACATGCTTTGAGAAATAAAGAGGGCATTTCAAAAGCCATGTCTGATAGACAAGCCATTACTCAGATTAATGCCTTATCTAGGGCATGCTTCCCTTTACAATACAGATGGTTTAGTTTCTACTGATTCTTTGAACAGGTTATAAATTCTTGTATTTTTATCACAAACAATTCTCCATCTAACAAGGAGGAGGTGGAAAAATCTGCCATAAACATATTACTGTGCACTATGGATTCTTGTCCTTTCTTCTCTATGAATAACATTAATACTTAAATTGGAGCATAACCCTGAACTTAATGAATCACCAGTTTAACATAACCCATTACAACTCAGATATGCTCCCAGAATGAGTGTGCTTTCATGATTAAAGTTTAAATTTTAAAAATCTGCAAAAATCTAGCATAAAACCAAAGTAAGCTTTCAGTAATATGTTTTTTATACTGATCTGATTTTGGTTGTGGAGGTTGAGAGCTCTACTGCACTACTGAACAGTGATTTGTCCTCATCTGTAGATGGAGATGTCCCAGTAGTTTTCTAGATGAAATTCTAATTTTTCATGAATGGAATATATGTAAAACTAAGTAAGGAGCACTACTTTTCACTGTAAGATTTGGATAATAACAGAGCTCAAATGTTTTGTGCTAGAATCATACCCCTTGATGACAAGCAATGACCTGCCATCAAATAGATGAAATACAAAATTTTACCTCTATGGCAGTAATTGAAACTTCTGCCTTGCACTGAGAGCATTTGTTTTCATAGTCTTAACTTGTGGTACAGCATCTCCTTCTGAAACTACACCTGTGTTTGGAAGGGTCACTGTTGCAATACAATTTCCTTTGTTATTCTTAAGCACTGACTGTCTCACGATCTCCCTCTGCCCCAAGAGTTGGGGACTGAACCAGGATTGTTAAAGCTCGAGGCTGTGTATGGCTTTAACACTGAAGTGCAGGTTGCCCAGTGGGGCTGTTGACCTATTTGGCTTTACCAATTGACAGTATATCCCACAGCTGGTTTATAGGAGACAGGGACATATTGTTTATCCTGGCCTGGGGATTAATTAAGAAGAAAAGAGGAAACATTTCGAAAGCTGGAAAATAAATAAATAAATTCAAGGCCACAGCAGGCTGAATAAGATGGTTTTTTGTCTTTTGCTACACCACCAGACTGGCAGCTACTCTATGCCCATATAAATATTCTCCAGACATGACTCAACAGAGCTGTACTCAATGTAAACACAGAGAAAGGAAGTCAGTGCTTACAACTCTGTCATCCTGCTGCTGGTGGGGCTATGTGAGGAATGTGTCTTTATTACAGTAAAAAACCTGCCTGGCTTGCTGTTGATACAGTAGGTGGTGCCAATCTACAGCAAGGGGGAACAGTGCAGAAAAGAGTCTCCACATGCACGTCTCAACCCCTTTCAAGGGGAGCAGGATCACAAGCAATGGCCTTTGTGGAGGTGGTGCAGCACTAGGGACTATACAGAGAGCACTGAAGAGAAAACAGAGGGGCAACTGCTTTCCTAAGGCTGGGAAAGCAAATGAGAGTGAATTTAATAACTTATATTTTAATAGCATTTCTTTATTACAAATATAGTTTTAATAGCATTTTTTTATTAGGAATACAAGTTTCCACTGTGAAGAAGACACTTGACTCTGGAGGGTTCAATGTCATGAAGAGCTCTTCATTTGAAGAGCTAATAGCTCTCCAGAGTATTTGGACTTGAAAAGAGACTGAAAAACCTCAAGGTCCTGTTTAAGGTTCCTACAGTTCACCATCGCTTAAGATCATATGCAATTGCTTACTCAGAGCCTCCATGTGCAAGCAAGGTGAGGAACTGCAGCCTGACACAGCAGGGCCTTGTTTGCTCTGAAGCCTTAAGTGAGCATGGGAGCAGCACCTGGATTTTCAGGCTCTTGAAAATTAGTGAATAGCCAGAGTCATAGATGCCAGAGGGTTTTTTATAGATCCTTTGGCAGACGCTAGTTAATTTATGTAAAGAGGTGGGTGTCAACCTCTTCTCCAGAGTACCAATTGATAGTAAAAGAGGAAACAGTCTCAAGCCAGGCCAGGGAAGGTTTAGATTTGTTCAGAAAAATTCCTTCATGAAAACAGTTGTCCAGCATTGGAATAGGCTGCCCAGGTAAAAGGTGGACTCACCATCCCTGGAGATATTTAAAAGACGTGTAAACGTGGCAGAGAGGGAAATGGTTTAGTGGTGGACTTGGCAGTGTTAGATTTGGGGTTGGACTTGATGCATCATCTCAAAGGTCTTTTCCAGCCTAAAAATGGTTCTGTGATTCTGTGAATACAAAACTGTCTTCTCCCTGGATGAGAGGGGAGACTGAAGGCAACTCAGCAGGGAAGGGATAAATCTGAGAACCCTGTAGGAAAATGTTGTCCTGAAAGTGATCTGACAACGGGGGGCAGAATATCAAGCAGCCTTATGCTAAAGAGCAAAAGTGAACCTTGGACCCCCCCATAACAACACTGCATCAGCACAACACTCCACGTGTGCAAAATGTTAGGAGAAAACAATGGGCACAGGAAAACCTTTGCAGCAAGATGATACCATTCAGTGTTAGAGGAATGCATACAAATTTGTATCAAGAACCAGATCTTTATATAGCAGATGATATTTTTTTCTATATTTTTCTATATTTTTATATTAAGCTGGAAAACCCATTGTGGAGTTAGTCTTCTGATTTTCCTCAATGGGATCTAAATAAATGTCCAGTTTCCTCTCACTTTCACAGTGGAAAATCCAACTGGCTGATGAAGGAATCTGTTTTAAGATGTATCAGCTTTTGTTTTAGTGTTCAGTATTGATTTTTTAAAGTAATTCTGTTTTTTTTTCTGCCAATTTCTGCTTTTAATTTTAAATTATAAATAACAGATGCAGAGCTCCCAGTAATTTGCTGGCACACTTCATCTCTTTGGGCTGTTGGGCAACAGAAGAGTTAGAAGAGTAAAAGGTTTTTGAAAACTTACCTCAGCCAAATATGTAACCATACTCAAAGTAATATCAGCAAATGCTTCATGAAGGTAGCGGCAAACCACATTTACCCAGGTGGCACAGTCCCTTGTATAGCTGTGCGTTTTATAAAGGGTCATGACATGTGCAAGATTTGATAGCTTGGGATTCTTCTCCTCCAAACAAACCTAATTAAATATAAACATGAAAACATATCAAGAACAAGACAACTACATTTACAGGGTTTGAGGATATACAAAACAGCAAATTATTTTGATACCTGAGCAATCCTTTCGGCTATATCTTTACAAAACTGGTTTGGGCTGTCGAAATGCTGAATTAAATGGGGCAGGAGACACAAAACATTCAGTGGAAATCCTAGAACAAGAAAAACAGAACTAAACATATGTTCTGGACAGCAAGAGCCACAGTGATCTTTAAACTGGTGTTTCATGGGAGGTCACGGTTTCAATATTACATTAGCCATAAACTCACACAGATCCTGTCAAGTTGGTCATGCCACATTTGTCTGAAAGGGGCCTTAATTTGAAAATCCAGTATGTCATTTAGGCAGCTTTACTTTTGTAAAGCATGAGCCTATTTCTGCAAACACTACTGCACATTCCCGTCAAGAGGTAATTTTTATCTTTTCCACTTAACTGGTTTATTGACAGTCTTAACCAGTTGCCTTTTCACTCCAGCTGCTAAAACATAAAAAGAAATTCAGCAAGTATTGATTAATAAACAACTGTTCTGGTCAGCTGCCAGGCACAGCTTCCATTGTTTTATACTATTCAAGGTAATAATGCACTGAGTTCCAGGCGCTGTAATTAGCTTAAGTGCCATCTGGAATGGGATTCAGCTCTTCTGCAATAACTCATAGCTCAAGGTAGTTGATGAAATACCTGCAGCAGCTGGAACAGAGAGTTATAACAAAAGCTTCTCTAGTTCAGGTGGGAGCTCAGAAATCAACTCATTGTATTTGGACACAATCTGCTTTTTGAAAAGAAGGAATTTGTTCTATGAAAATAATTTTCTAACCATTCATTCCCTCTCATTCTACACAATTAAACAAGTTGCTGAAATTAGGATCATGGTTTCCTTACTCTTCCTCTGTATTCAGGGAAAAGGGAAGATACCTCCAGATGGTACTGTCACAGCAATTCAATGTGTGAATTGCCAACCAAAGCCTGGAACACAGGCACCACACAGGTGCTTAGACATGGGCAGGCTGTTCATGGCATTCATCCCTTTACTCTGTGTCTAGGCTTATTATGTTAGACATTTGTCCTAGTATCTGTGTTTCTGACCAAAAGAGAGGAGTAAAAATCTGGAACAATGCAGAAACTGTCTTCAAGAAATATAATTAAGAAGTGGCCACAACCTCATTCAAAATGCTATCCTATTTCCTTATAACCCAGGCCTCTCTCCTCACTCACCATTGTGCTATTGTAGTTTATCTAGCATGTACAAGAGTTTTTGATATTTATATTTTTAGAATATAAAATAAAATACCATGAAACACTAATTTAAAATCAAGCAGTCTGACATAGTCTGAAAACAACTGAACAGAAAAACTGACCAAAGTAGGTAATGTAAGTTTTGGCAGTAACTCCTTACATGCTTACTTGTGTCACCAATCAGAATGCTTACTAAAGCCCTAGAAATTAAATGCTAAATAATACATTATTTCTATCCTCCAAAACCTTATTGTCCAATGGATTCAGTTTCTAGAAACAGGTCATTACTTCCATGAAATTTCAAAAAAAGCTCACCCAGCTCAAAGCAAAAGTACATCATGCTATGTTCAAAGTGAAAGAAAAACTGCTATTTTGTGTTTTGTTCAGATAGCTGAATGATGTCTGTCACCAAATGTCAATGCAACAGAAACTGAAAGACAGGGAAGTATAATGGTTTTACCTATAGCTTGAGAGGAATCCACCATGGATATTCGAGACATTCAGCTTTATCTAGCGGCAAGTGAGCCAGAAGTTTATTCAGCAACCGCAGTGCCATTAGGTATTCAAACTCAAAATCTGATTCCATCAAAGCCACAGCAACCCAGAAGATGGTGGCCAGTAGGTTGGTTGGATTGTTAATATGGGATGGATCGGTGAGACTGTCCTTTAGAGAGGATGAACTTCTTGTTTTAGAGGACAGGCCTTGCTGGGTGCATGCTTGAATTCTGTCTAGTGTGGCGCTGCGTGGTGGGTCTGAGGACTTGTCCACATCTCCAAACTTCTTGGGTACAGAGAAGCTCCTCTGGTGTCTACTTCGCTCAGCAGTGGCTGTGTTGCTGCTTGCAGGATTCATATTCAGCTGCCCTGTGCTCTTCCGGTTTGCGGTCAGTTTGGTGTTCGATGTTAAATCTGGTGAAGATGAACTGAAACCAAGATTTATAACATCCATTACATTGTGTGAATGCACAGCTTGAGAGGGTACATATGAGATGCAAGCTAAGTATTTATCAGACTGTAAATAAATATTAAAATGGGAGAACTAGAACACCAAACCATCTATTGCAGCCTGCCTTCTTTTTTCCAGAAGACAGATTCAGGCCAACAGACCTGACAGAGATGAGAGTCACACGGCACTGCACTAAACCAGAGCAGGACAGCCTACAGAGGCAAGAATGACATGGGGATAAGAAATACAGAGCTGTGAAGTGACTTCTGGCAATTCCCAATGGGACAGTAGCAGAACTGAAAACAACTTTGGTCTTTAAAATGTCCTCATCAATGGAGCAAGCCTTGAACTTAGCACAGCTGGCAGGCAAATGCACAATTGCTTGCTGGGTAATGTGAGAACTGTGGGCAGAAAAAACAGCATATCTTAAGCAGAACCACAAATATACCCCATTATCCTCAAGACACTTGTCATGTGGCTGCCCAGGCTCTTGCCGATACAAGTCCTTCCAAAAATTTGGTGTTATTGCATTCTATCCTGCCTGTATCCTAAGATCTCTTCAAGATGGTTTGCAGAAAGTGTAGGTGTTTCAATTTCAGTGACTAATGCCACCTCATGGACTACCATGCAATGATCCAGACTGTATCTATCAATTATCTGCACAGAGGAATATGATGTGCTGAACACAAGGGAAGCTTGTTCTGGAGAACAGCTAATTACTGACTCTGATCCCATCCCTACCTCATACACTATGAGTCTCTACTGTCTGTAGTACCTGAAAAGAACCTGATTCAAGAATCAAGTGTCATGGCAAAGTATATTGCATTCCTCTTTGTTCTGTCTTTCTCTTTGCTGAAATGTGCACTAAAGAAAGATAAGCAGTTCATAGTTTAAGAAGTAGAAGTGCATTTACCCTGATCTGCTCTCTGCTCTTTCCCAAGGTACTCCTTGGGTTCTGCCATGGCACAGCACCCTGCCTGCTAGTGTCAGAAATGACAGACCTGGTATTTTTGTGCTGCAGGTAAAGCACAGCAACTTATGGATATTTATCAAGCAAAATCCATGTCTACACAGGACAAAATGCTCCCTAGTTTTATTGAGAACAAACCATGATGATTTATTACTGGGGAATACTTCACCTGAGAATGACATGCTGTATGAAACCAGTACTACAAAACCCACGTTCCTTCCCAGATACATTTTCAGATTTATGCACAAAGGTGCAAAAATTACAATATTTTTAAAGGATGTTAAAGTAAGTTATAGTCAAGTGGGAGCAAGGTAGAATTTACAACACATTGTAAAGTTTTATTAGTTCTATCAACATTATTTCAACTATGGCAAAATTTGGCTGAAATATGCTCACAGTCTGGTTCTTGGATGGTTACAAATGAGCTCTGTCTTATCAAAATTATTTTTTGCTGTTAAGACTGCAAAATTGCACACTTAATGTCATGAAACATTGAAAAAAATAGAGTTAGGAGGACAGATTCTTACCGTGATAACACTGTCAAAAGATCACTGTTCTTCAAACAGTCAGAGAGATTATCCACTGCAGCTTCCAAAGTAAGTAGTGCCTCCATTACATACCCCTATCAAGGCAGGAGGTTAAGAATTTTAGTGAAGACATTCAACAAAAGTAACATTAAAAATCCTCAGTTCATAAAAGGAACAGGCACCAACTGAAAACCTATAATTTCTCCAGAAAAAATCCTCAACATCCGCATCAAAGCCACTGCCCTGAATGTTAAAATGTCACTGCAAGTGTGTTTTATTTTCTGCCTCTGAATGATCTATGAAGGTATGCAAGAAGGGCACATATCTCATCAAGGGATTGGTAATGACATGCTGAACCTCTGACTTGCAGGTCACTGATTTAAATTCTACACAAGCAGTTGTGACAGAGTATTACTGTCATCTTGTGGCAGTTTCATTACCTAAGTAAAATATGGAGGTGATGTCAAGTCTATTTCTTACTGAGAGCCAGTATTACTCTTTATTAAATCTTTAATCTTGCAATAAATACTCTCTGATTGTAAAATTTCAGTCTGTTTAGCTAAGCAGAGTGAATGTCATTGTGCTGTGAAAGGTCTGTATCGAATTAAGTCGGTATAAGCTTTGTATTATTATGGATGGTGCAGATTTCTTTACTCCTAAACATGTTAACATTTGAGGAATGAGATGGTGTCTTCTTCATGTTGTGAGATTACATCGCCAGACAGATGATGGATTCCTTAAACCCAAATTAATGGAGATGAAAAGGAAAAAATGGTCATCACAAAGATTTCATTCTGAGTGCCAATTACTAAAATTCACTAGTTTGCTCTCTTTAGAGCTATGTAAGATTGTAACAGCCTGACAAAGGCCTAGATAAGGTACATACCAATTCAGCAAACTCAGAAGTAACCTGTTCTAAGGCCACATTCCACTCTTCATCACTTGACTCCAGAACACCTTGTTGAAATGGTTGAAACAACAGTTCTAAGAAGCATTATTTACACATGCATACCTGAATCTCATCTCCATGCTCTCCAATAACTTCTACCAATCTTGACAGGAGGTCAGACAAGGCGTGTGCAGAAAGGGGCTGCTTTAGGGCCCTGAATATCTGAAAAGAGCGACCAGCGTAATGTCTGGAAGAGCTTGAAAGAGCTGTTTGTAAAGCAACTTCACTCAGGTGCTGCTCCAAATGAAAACCTAAGCAAAAGAGTAGGGTGTCAGGTTCTTTTTTCCCTTTTTTATTACAGACTTTGCTGTGGGTCATAAACAGGCTGAACATACTCTGTGAGGAGGATATGCTCATCAGCACATACTGCAAACACTGAGAAATGGAGCTTTGGAGAATTTGACATTTATGTTGCACAGAATTCAAGAAAATTAACTGAATTAACATCAAAACAAAATTTTGAGCACGAAATTGATAATCTGATTTTTTTTTTTTTTTTTTTTACAGTTTCTGGACAAACTTTCAAGCCATCCACTATTCTTGCTGGCAGCAACAGTAACTTCTGAAAACTCCCAAACCTGAAGTAAATGGAATTAGGAGTCTTTCTATTAGCTTCAGAAGGCATTGGATAAGATCTTTAATATAAATACTGATGCTGCATTCTGCTTTGATCTTGGAAATTATTTAATTAGTGACTGTGCTGGTTTTCAAAATGCAATCAGCACATTCCCTATGTTCTAAAAACGATAATAAATGAAAACTAGACTTTTATTGCCCAAAGAAATTTAACAAAATATATTTACTTAGTAGCTGTTATGTATTTTACTAACAGGACACAGAGTAGATTTTATCTGGCAGAATCAATCAAAAGGCTTTCTATCAACAGCTCGGAAGAAATATTCAATTCAACATTTAGCCACAGTTTAATCTAACATAACTGTTTTAAAGCAATTCTTTCATATGTTATACATCCTTGTTAAGATACATTTACTGTGCTTCTGCATAAGCAGATCTATTAAGTCACAGGACAAACATTAAGTGTGGGAATTCTGTGAGGGAGTATTTTTTTTAGTTATGAAAGGAAGTATTTACTACCTGATTTGGAATCTTTAAATACAGATACAACATGGCGCAGAAAATTAGTGAGCTGTTCAGCACTCTTGGTGTTCTGATTTTTGGGAGTGATGTCTTCATGGCACCAAAGGGGACCAAATGCCCTTAAAGAAATACATAACAAAGTGCAAAATTTCTTTGAGTTATCTGAAATAAATACATTCAGTTAACATATATAATCTGTACATGTACTCAGATATTTACAGGGCCATGACCTGGTAAACATGCAATCAAACAGAATTTTAAATAAAAGTAAATAAATATTCCTATGCTGTATTTTAAAATATAAGCCATGCTGTGTAAAGAGCAGCATAAACAAACACCTGTTTTTCAATTTAACATTGTGCCTAGAATCTGCTGGCTGTAGCTGGTAGTTAATATTAGTTTCACTATGGCTTTTCACTATGCACTGTACACTTTGTATCTTATTTTATATTAATGAAACTGGCTTCTTCTATTAATTCATCTCTGAACATAAAACTATCAGTCAATTAAACACTTTATGTCTGTCAGGCAAGGTTTTTTCTGGTTTTGGTTTTTTTTTTTAAGTTGCTTCATGAAAGTATGTACTTCAAGTACAAACATATCTTCTGCTTATCTGCATTACCTGGTTGTCAGAAACTCAATTAATTTGTTTGCTTTCTCATCTGATTCAGCAGCAGTGTCCATGTCCTCAACTTCTTGTGTAATCTGTGGGAGATTTCCACTGCTGCCTCCCAGACTGATACTGGAGGAGGTGGAGCTGGAGCTCAAGCCAGAGTCTGGCACTGGAGATGACTGGTATTCCCGCAGAAAGTCAAAGCCACCTGCCAGCCAAAAGGGAGGAGATAAAGATGGAATGCACTGTTGGGCCAGCTTTGCAGATGAAAGTGTCTGCCAAGCAGCTCTTTGCAGAGTCAGTGGCAGAAACCTTCCACTGGGAAACGTGGGGAAAACCCACAGAACACAACAACCCTCAAATACTGATGGGAGTGAAAATGGTACTTTGTTTCTAAATGTGTAGAATCCAGAATAAAATGAAAATTATCCAAGTCAAGATTTCTTTTTTTACTGCACAAGGACAATGGTACTTGGAAAACAAATATTCTAGGGTATTTTACGTTCAGAAGTAGAACTTTTTTAAAGTGAATTTAGAAACTGACAAAGTGCATGCAAGTTCACTTCTCTGGGCTAGTCTGATATGGAAAAAAACTACAAGGTGGAATTTTTAGAATGATTATGCTGTCCTAATTTTACAAATGTAATGGAAATCAAGACATAAATATTTAAGGCTTCTGTTCAACATCTCTAGTAACTGTACCCACTGGACTAGTCATACAAAATATTTTCAGCACTAGGATGAAACACCTGAGTAAGAGTTCAAGCTAGATCAAAAGCTTGCCACAGTGTCAGAGGTAAGATTAGAAACCCAGACCTGTTTTCTTAAGGCTGGACTTCTAGTCATGTTTAGGCTGTATCTACAACAGAAAAAAATGGCCTTGTGAGAAAAATGGGAGCAGGAAAAAATCCATTGCAAATCAGAAGACTCCTAATTTAGTTGCCTGACATTATGAGGAATAAACCTCATAATGCTGCAGCATTTTCAGCTAGGATTCCTTGCTATAGCTGCTCACCCACACTCTCACTCTTTATATTAGCTTCTCAAAAGCCAGTCCAAAATATCAAGTCTTGATAACTTCTTGAACTCCAGAGGGCCAGACTCAGGGTACCAATTACATTTTTTAGATGCAAGGATGAAAACAGTTTTTCATTTGGCAGAAAAGCAGCAATATAATTTTAATGTAAGAATTTTATTTTGCATTTAATAGTTCATAGATGTGCACTGGGAAAGAAATCCACCCAACTCAACACAGGAAACTCACGTGAGATAATTTTTCACAGAAGTTATTCAGAATGAAATTTCTTTGGCCAAAATAATTCATCAATCTAAAACATCTATCCCTTCTGCTCATTACTTAAAAATAATTTTGTTGTGTCTCAGAAAAAAACAATAAGTTATCATGTAATATTTTTTATAAAGCCAAATTACTAATTACTTCCTAAAGAACCGTGGAAATGCCACTGATTTGAGAATCTTTACTTTTAATTTTTCACTGTATGGTAAAATTCCTCATCCTTTTCCCCACAACTAATCCTTCATCCACAACTCTATATTGATTTTGTGATTCCTTCAAAACAGAACAGTACACTTGCTTTTAGTAATATTATATGACAACAGTAAATCTAACGAGCAGCTTTCCACCAATTGGTTCCAACCAACTCCTTAAAAACAGGTAAATAGCTAAAAGTAATGGAACACTGACCTCAGCAGAAGTCTGAAGTAAGACTCCTAATGTAGAAACAGATTTCAGGACAGCAATGCAATGTATCAGTGATATAAAGGAGGGTGTGTATCATGTGAAACTTAATTTTATAATGGAAAATCTGAGCTGCACATTCTTGCTGCTCTTTCTGTCCCAGAATTATTTATTCATTTCTTTTAAGGTCGAGGAATGATTGCCCTCATTTAAGTAGCTCTGGATCCCCGAGGAGGGAATCAGGAAGTTATTAGCCCTATTAATTTTAAAATACTACATTACAAATTTTGCCTTACATTAGATAACTTTCTCACTATCATGAAAAGTTGTCTAATAATAAATTGTATGCATCCCTAGGGTAGTTAGTGTGGATTAGCATTAATGGGATCAGTTCATATTTGGCACTTTATTACTTTGATTTATCAAAACCTGACAGTATGATACAGTGTTCTTCTTTTGCTTCATTACCTGTGTAAAGATATTCAGGTAAGTATGCTGGTTGTACTGTCAGAGTCTTGGTCTCATTCATCTCTCTGGTCTGAAGAAGCACAGACGCAATGGCTTGATAATTGTTATTGCAAGATAACGCAATCAAAAGGTGAAGCAGTAACTTTTTACTGTGTTCAAAGACCTCCGGGCGGTAATGGTCAAGACCTAAAAAGAAAAGGTTACAGCAATCTCTGAATATGAAGAAATAATAAACAAGATCACATTCCAGAAATAGCAAAAATTCCAAGGCAGTTCATGACAATAGTGCAAATAAACAAAAGATGTAGTATTTCCAGACATAGTTACCAGTGCTGTTACTTAAATATATGTGTATATTAAGGTTCCAGACTGAGGTCCCACACAGGAGGTACAAAGAATGAGTGGCAATACAGCTTTATGCATTCTGTCTCACTGCAGTTAATTTGACAGGTCTGGAAAACCTTTAAAAATGAGGTATTCTTGATGGTGGTTGTCATTACATTGCTTACCACAGTATCTGGCTTTCTAGCACAGACATCAGTTTTAGAGTGAGTACAAACTGTAAGAGGCAGGTACTGATTTATTAAAAAAGGAACTGACAGACAAATCACTCAAAAAAGAACTTCAACTACTAGTGAGCAGCATGAGAAATTAGTCCCTCCCTCAGGATGCAGAACTCAAACTGAAAGTCTAGCAGTGAAAGACTGATTTGGTTTTCACTACTGCTGTCTGCCAGATTTAAAATAGCCAGAATAGTTCACAAATTACAAATACGAAGGAAACAGATATTTCTGTGTTCATTACTCTGTGTGGCAGCAGCCACCAGATCTTTCAAGTCAGGTATTTTCTAATATACTGTAGTCATGCTGGTTCTTGTTTGCCCTGCAATAATGAAGCTGCTTGTACTGCCATAGTCTGAACACAGTGCCTTTGGTTCCTAAGGGCAATTCTTTGGAGGTCCTGTGACCCTTGTCTTATTCATCTCCCAATAGCCTCCTCCAAAAGAACTGTGGCCATCCTGCCCATGCCTATTTCAGCTTCTTAAGGTTTCTGCTCCTATTCAGCTTTCTCCATTCTACTTCCACTTGCCAGGAGATAATGAACCCATCCCACCTGGTTGTAACATACATCTGAAAAGATATGAAAAGGTCTTTTAGTTGAAAACACATTCTGTATTGGCAACAGTTGCAGCTGAAGTCCTATTAAACCCCAAGGCTGTATGAAAGTCTTGGCCCAGGAATTGCTATTGCTAACTAGGAAGTGAAAAGGACAGTTCAGTCTTTGTGCTTGTCCAGTGCTGGTCCTTTCTTTAACCTGTAAGAGTTCCAAGGAGGGTAAGCTTCTGTGACATGGACACATTTCCATGGGAAAGGAGTCTAGCTGTTCAACTAATTTCACACTGGTTGCAAAAGAGATTTTAAAGAAAAGTGATTTCCATGCACCAGAGATAGGCAAGTTCAAACCAGCAGCCTGCCTGCCTGCTTCACCAACAGTACTACAAACCATTCAGTAGCCTATTAAACAAACAGACATTGCAAAATTCTTTCATTTTAATATCTTCTCACTCCTTCCAATAAATCAAAGGATACCAGCTCTCCATCTAGCCAGCATACTACCTTCTAGTCTTCTTTTCAGTCAGATGCACCTGCCTGCTTACATTCCAACAAGACAGCAACACTTAATTTTTAATTACATACATACCTTTGGCTAATGTGTGGCATAACTTCCTTACAACATCACAAGAGCTCTACTACAGCATAGAAAAATTTTCCACAGGAGATATAACAGCTCTAGAGAAACTGACCTTGAAGCCTGAAAGCTCCGATCACACTTTAGTTACCACTAAACCAGTTACACTGCGTTACCAGTTACACTTAATTTTAATTTCACATTTCATAATTGTGAGGTTTTAGCCAAGGAATTGTCTCAATTGTATTAACAAATTTCTATTTATTCCTTATTAAAAATTTGTTATTTTGAAATTTGTTGCATAAACAAATAACTAAAGATATTTTTCTAGTGGATTACTAGTATCATAACGTGTTTCTGCATATGTTTATTCGCATGACTCCCTGACAGCTCCTTAAAGCCATCTTAACTGAAGTAATCACACTGCTCTGTACAACTCCTTCTTAAGTTCCTCCTTTATTCTTGTGACAATTTCAAAGTATAAGCAACAGTTTTCTCACACTTGCTACAGATCATAGCAAAGACGTTGTTTGATCAGTTAAGGGTTATTGATTTGATCCATAAAATTAACCAGTTCTCTTTCACCTCCCTCTTACACTTATAAAGGTCACAGAAACAGACAAACGAATGAGAAAGTTGTTATGGGCAGCCACAAAATAAGTTTAAATTTGAAGCAAATATATATGAAATGTCATATCAAAACAGACTCTGGGAGTCCCATCCAACACAGTCCTGGTTTGTTAGTCCTGCGTTTCATTACAAGTTTGTGAAATCAACGTACTGATATACAAAACCCTATTTCATCAAAAAATTTTAAGCAGAACAGTTGGTAACAGAGTAGCAGTAAAGGAGATCAAGCATCTTCTTCAACATATACCTCATTTTACCACTGTGCTGGAACATCCCGATTTAATCTCTTTTTTCCTGCTGATCAACAGATTCTTCCCAGACTGACTGTGAATACATAGTGGTAACTATGGTGACTGAAGAAAAAGTGAACTGTGATCTCAGCTATAAGACATTTATTTCACAATTGTCTGTGTTTATTTGTGAACACTATTATTTATCAGCCACGAAGTTGGGGAATGGCTTTATAATGCTAAATACCCTTGTGTGCTAAAAATTTAGGCCACTCACTTTTCATAACACTGAATGGCAGACAAGGAAGGTAACAGCCTCCAGAAGAACTGTGCTAAACTCAGGAGCAGACACAGTAGTGGGGACAAAGCAGTGCCTCAGTGCTCAGGTACGTAAGGGAACACACTGATAATGAAGTATTCCATCAGCAGTGAAATTAATGAAGCTTTTCTTTCCAGTGGTCTGTGTCCTAACCCCACAACCTCTGCAGTACAGTTATCCTGACTCTCTTACAGATTGTTTTTGCAAAGGCAAGAGACAGCACAGATGTGTGTGGTTCATGTCCAAGGTATGTGTAGACTGTCATCACTAACCAAAGGCAAGAATCTCACCCCCTTTTCTTGCAGGAGCCATGCCACACATTTTTATAGAGATATTTTAGGAAGTCATTCATCTTCAAATTTATACATATCTCTCAAATTTGGGTGAGGTTGGCCAAAATACTCAAAAACTTCAAACATTTGAGACTAATTACAGACTGCGACTGCCTTGGGCTTTTTCTTTTCGGGTGGAGGGAGGAAATCACAAAACATGTAAGAAACACAGTTCTGTATCCTCAGAAAAGTGAAAGTAAAAGGAGGGAGTACATTTATACTTTCTTTCTTGTTCTGTTTGTCTTACCTAAAAAGAGAGCATGTAGCAATAAAGGGAGGTGAAGAGCCCAATCTTCTCTCACACTGTGATCCACTACCATCTCAGTCATGAAGATAACAGCAATATTGCACCTGGAAGTTAAATCACAGCATCAGTTTCAAACCTCTTGGAAAGGGGAAAGCACAAACAGGATGCCTATTTCTGAAGAAATACACAATCTATACGCTTTCAGATTTGTAGCATTTCTTCTCAACACAATTAATGCCGAAGCACTTTAGTTACAGTATCAAGCCAAGTATCCATTTCTGACAAAAACCTAATTATTGCCAATACAAGTTATATAAAAGAGGATTTTCAGAATATGCATGGCCTAGTTAGAATAAAAGATCAAAGTGCTATGAATAACATGCAGAGAGGCCTGGGAAAAAGAAATTTTCCTTTTCTGTTTCAGTTGCTTCATCAGTCCTATTCTTATCAGTGATGTCCTACATTGTAAATAGGCTTTCTGGTAGAAATCTGGTAGAATTGTGAGCTTTCACTGCATGTTGATTTTTGCACTGGAAATCAAATGTATGATTTTCAGATGTCCTGAGTGGTGAGACAGTTGGATTGGTGTTGGTCAGCTACTAAGAGGAAGCATCTCACTGTCTGAAATGTCAGAATGAGAAACTGCTCACCTATGAAGGGGTCCTCGGGGTGTGATGGTTTCTGGGAGATAGTCCACAAGTGGTGCCCAACATCCTCCATTGTACGGCATGGGCAGGGGATGTGGCTGTTTGGTTTCAACAATATTCAATAACCAACTTGTATATGGAGAAACAGGATCATCTGCATGGAAAAGCATTCAAAAAAAAGTGCATAAAACTCAAGTCTGGTTACCTATTTTTGCGAAATACTAAAATAGATTTTATGCTAACATATGAGTTCAGCTGTTTGGAGCAATGTGATGCCATGAGGTTTGCAAATTCCTGTGTTCAATAACAAGTGATGCATTTTTAATCCCTCTTTCATGCTGCTGGAAATTAAAGAGATTCCAGGCAGACAGCACTGAATGGTAGGAGCGGCAGCTGAATCCCTGCTGTCACTTAGTAGCTTTGGATCCAAATCACAAAGCACCAAGCAACAGACTTTCTCTTGAAAATGAGGGAAAAGTTCAGCCAACAAAGCTGCTGTCAGAAGCCATCTGCTGCAAGGAGTGAGTACCAGTGACACATTCTTGCAACTCCTCACCAGTGCCCTGCTGAGCGATGCTACAAAGGCAGAAGTTAAATGTCCTGAATTGGCAAGGAGGCATAAGGAATGCAAAAAACATCTTCAGGGTAATTTTCTTTCAACAGGGATGAATTATATCTTGAATTTCTCGAAGTTGTATTTAATTTTGCTTTAGTGTGACAGCTGCTTTGTTAATGAGTGTTTGGGTTTCTTCTTCCACCTGTTTATCTGGAATGATGTGGGTCAAATAAGTTATTTCCACCACTTTCTGTCTTGTCTCAGCTGCACAATTTCATTCATCTCTCCTGTATTTTGTTCCCTTTCATTCCTCTCGATTTTCTCACTGTTCAGTTTTTATTTCTGAGGTCTGACAGTCTGTGATACCCTGCCATGGAGAATATCCTTTCTAGATCTGTTTCTGACATACATTCAAACATTACCCTTTATGAATTTTTAGTGACTGTTATTTTTTGTTCTGTTCCTTCTTTTTTGTGTTTTCATTTGTTTGTTTTCTTGTTTGTTTTGTTTTGTTATGCTTTTGTATTTTAGGTAAGCTTGAAACTCTCAGCATTTTCCTTTTTTTTTTTTCTAAGCAGCATGTATCTGATGCTTGTCAGCTTTCCCACGGGAAACAAAGCTGTTCTGATGCCTACAAAAGTATCAGAGCTGGATTTTTATACTGTGCATCACTTCTTTTAGAAAAACATCTTCAGATTTCCAGATCTTCAGGAGACTTTAAATGCAGTAGCTGCTTCTCCAATTATTTCTAAAATGCCAACTTTGTAACTCCCATTCTTAAGTGCTGGTCTTTAAAAGAACACTTTATGTCTTTGTGGTTTAGATATCTACTTAGATTCTCTGGAGGATGATTGATTAGTTACAGATAAAAAAGAATAAAATTACTTAATAATGTATCAAAGTATGGCATTTTCACATATTCTTCTTCTAAGAATTAACCAGATAATGTTTGCCAGATGTTTTCCAAGAAAAAGTACTACACAGGAGCTACTTATTTCTACCAATTTAAGTGTTTCACAGAAAAGTGCTTCATGAAGTTCACACGAAGACGTAGATCTCACTTTTATTTTCACAGGTTTATGTGCAGACTGAGAAAAAAAAAAAAAAGCAGCACTTTGAAGGTAAATATACAAACCTTGCCTGAACAAAAGGGTTTGTCTGCTGCAGAGCTGTGTTCCCTATTTATATCCTCAGCAATACATGAATGTTAAAGTAGGCTGGAGAGAGGAGAGAAGCCATAGCACCAAATCCTTTGCAGCCTGGGCTGCCTGTCTGAGGGAGTAAGTTGTGCTTTCTTAATGGAAGTTGCATTATGTTTCTTGTATGAATGAAGAGGTATAAAAATTCCTGTTGCTTTAGAAGTCTATATAAATATAAGTAGCTAAGTAAAATATATTTTAGTTTCCTTCTAGGTGTTCATATATTTGCTGAAGGAACCCTGTGAGAAGGACACTTTGCATAAATATTCACAGTACTACAAATCCTGCAGGTACAGGCAGGAAAGAACATTCGGGCACTGGCTGGAGGAGACATTCCAAAAGAGCAAAGAAAATTTCAGTATTTTTTAACCTTTTAGCACTCTAAGCTCTTGTCAAAACCAGGTACTTGTGAAGGCTGTTCTGATAAGATAAATGCTGCTCTGTCTTGAAAGATTGTTCATGCAGATCAGATTAGCATCAGTGCTTCAATTAACATCTGGTGAAGCATTTTAAGTAAAACTGCAGCACTAGAAAGCTATAAAAAAATCCAAGACAAGTGTACTAAATCCCACTGAGTTTGAGATGTTGCACACTTTCTTATGTATTTAAACTCTGGAGTTTGTATATACACAATATTCTGTCGATACTGTGCTTCATAATTATGAATAGTAGTTGGTGGTGTACATTAAATTATCCTATCGTATTGTATTTTACAGTCTTTGCATATTTTGCAGAAGAGTATTCCCAAAAATTACTTGGATTAAAAAATACATAAAATCTTTACTTTTTATGTCAAAATACTGTTCCAAAATGGTGTCTGTAATACCAAACCAAGATATTATGGTCAATATAGTACTTGACCTGGCTTTAATAAGCCAGTGATGAAAGTCAATAACAAGATCTTGCCTTTTTTACATTTGGTTAGGGCCTAGCCAAAAACCATAAATTGAATGCACTCCAGAAATTAAGTCAAATCATCCAACTCTCCCGTTTTGCACTACTGTTCAATAGTTAACTGGTTTTCTTTGGAATGTCTGCTGAGAACCAGTGACCATTTACAGCCAATTTAGTAGAAATACTAAATAAAGAACATAAAGAACAAGAAGAATGCTCAGGAGCCTCATCTCCCTTCTAACACACGTTTGCACAGTGAAGCCAGAAACTGGTTGCAGAGAGCAGATAAAAGCTAATGAGGAGATAAGATCTCATATTTGAAAACTCCTGAGCCTCTTTTCATGCTCATATAACAGCACTTGATCTGGAGGGATATATTGCCAAATGGCACAACTCAAAGTACTTTTTCTAATGCTCTTACAAGTCTTTTGCCTTGCCATGTATGAAAAGCCCAGTGCCTTACTCTCTGGAGGATTCTCTGCTGCTGCTGCTGCTTTCTGTGACGTTCTCTGGCCTTCAAACAGACTGAACCCAGATTAAAAAAAATAAATTAAATAAATGAGGTATGGATGGAAAATAAGGACACTCCCTGCATGGCGATGCTACATTCCTGTTTATACAGAACTTTAAACAGAGAGGCTCCCCTGGTCCTTAGAGTGTTTTCCTCTCCAACCAAAACACCATTTCTTCAAACTGAATATAACTTACTTTTGTCATCATCGTAAGATCCTCCAGAGCTATTACTGTACCTCGATTCTAGTCGGGTATGCGCTCTAATGACATTACCGAACCTTCAAATACAAGAAAAAAAAAATCTTCATTAAAAACACAGACTGACATTAATCATGTGGACTTTATTTTTACCCTAAAAAAAAAAAGGCATTTCCTTAAGCATTCACTTTCACATAGGAGTAGACAGCAAATGAATGTAATGCTGATTCTTTCCACAAAACATTTTTGCAGCCAGTTACTGAGAAGTTCTAGCAGTGTGCTCCTGTATCACAAGCCTTTAAAATTAGGAAAGGAAAACTCTTATGCTGCAAATGTTAGATTTTTTTGAAGGAAGAAACTGCTAAGGATGATCTGAGACATAAACTATTCATAGCTATTATTTGCCACAGATCATGTACATGGGTAAAATCCTGCCAAACTGATAACGCACTCAAAGCACAGTGCTAAAAATGCCAAGGCTGTGGGTTCAATCTCCATATGGGCCATTCACTTCAGAGCTGGACCCCGTGATCCTTGTGGGTCTCTTCCAGCTCAGAATATTTTGTGATTCTGTGAATGACTGGATAGTCCAAAGCCGAGCCTGCATCAGTACCAGGCAGGAAAAGCTACAGCAGATCACCCTGCAAGAGGAGAATCCAGCAAATGCCAGAGCAGACCTAATAGAAAAGTTAGGGGATATAAAGTCAGAGCAAATTGCTCACAGCTGTCCTGAAATCTGCCACCAATTCATGCTAAGGTGACTTTTCCTGGTGATCTCTTTTGAGTTCCTCCACCTTGTGTTCTCAGGGTAATCACGACTGAGGTGGAATGAGGGGAACCATACTGACAACTCACACAGTTGTGGTGATCTAAAAACATCACCATTCCTGCAAAACTAGGAAACTAATTACAAATAACCATGGATCAAACAAGAGAAGACTGAAGGTTTTCTAGACAAAATTCAATTCAGTTTCTTACTAATGTTCACACACCTTAGTGCAGGGTATTTCACTATACATCAACATACTACACTGTTTGTAAAACAGTAAAACATACTACAATGTTTACAAAGTATGTGTGCCTCATTAGCATGCAATAAATTCCTTGTGCAGTTGACAAAAAAGCATTGTGAGCCATCCAACACATGGTATTCTATCTATGACCCTCATTATTTCGTATGTTCTGGCACATGAAGTCAATATTAATGGACATTCTAAGACTGACACACTGGTTTTGACATGCAGACGCACTTACAGCCGGCTTTGGTAACATAAATGCCAGCAATGAGTTCAGGCAAATTATTTTCCATTTTCTTCTGAGGTGCCTTTCAGCAGGATCCTGAATACCAATATCAGACCTTCGTAATTTTCCTTTCATTTTTATCATAAAGTCTTTGGCAGATGTGAAGCTTAAAAGTCTTTTCAGAGTCATATTTAAAACTTATATAAGACAAGAAATCCTGACTTGAACTACTGTAAGAGATGTTTGCTCAACTCACCTGTAAATCAACTGAATAAAAGCTTATCTTAAAGCTATGCAGTCACAAACATTAATGTAAGGAATCATAAAAATTCAGAGGAAAAAATGGTTTTATTATCCTTTTAAGAACAGTTCTAGTGCATATGTTGACAAATAACTACCTAGAGTTGAATCTGTTTTACTATCAGTTTGAAACTTAGCACCGAGTACCATTTTTTACTTACATTTAAATTAGTGGACACATATAACTAACCTGACAAAATGCTACTCTTGTTTGTAACATGGAGAGTGCAAGCAATGAAAAAGTTTGGAAGTACAGAAGGGTACTTCTGCTCATATAATTATCTCTAAGCCCTGAACCTCAGGGAAGGAGGGTTGGACTACTGAAGTGATACTAATGACTATCAGTGACTAATGAAAATACACTAACTAACAGATGCTTTTATAAATTGTCCAAAGTTCTCTTGCAAAACAAAGACCATTTCTGTGAGAGAAACAATCTGTATATCAGTGCTCTAGGATCTGATGGCCCTGAGGCTTTGCATTTATTCATTTGTCATTTGTCAGTATGGACCACAAGTAGCAGAAGTCTAAACTGAATATATAATTTATAAGCAAGTTATTTTCCATAGCTGTCCTCTATAAAACATTTCATCCAGACAAAGGAGGTGTCCTTGCAATCACTGATCTAAATCCGCAAATTAAATTTTATTCATTGTCCATGAAATCAAACTGTGTGATCAAATCTGATTTTTTGTAAAGATTTTAGTAATCATTATTTGCTGCACATTGCTATTCTTTTCTTTCACCTTTGCAGATAGTTCCTACAAAACCTACTTAGCACGATTCATTGAATGTAGGTTTAACAGTTGTTCCTTTACAATTAAACGAGAGTCAGGAACTAGAATCATGAGAATAGCTTTTTTTATAAAATATTACGCATACTGGGATAACGCTACTTAGGATCAATCTGAGCACCAGATGTGCATCACAGTGCAATGCAGAACTTTGTCCAACATCTTGCCCTCAGCCTAGGAAAATACATACATTTTGGAGGAAGAAACCCCAAGCCACAAACCTTTCATCAGTCTCCTTCACCACTCTGTTCTCCTCTGCGTCAGGAAAACTATCTTGGCCAGCTACAACAGTGTTACTGCTGGAGGTGGTTCCTGTATATGAGATGTGAATAAGAACACCTGTTACATGCAGCAGACAGCATCTGCAAAGCAATAAAAGCCCGTAACTTACAGCGGTTTTTTAGCAGCTACAGTCAAAGTGACCATCCTTCAAGCACTCGCACGTATGAATGAATGAATACTTCTACAAACCAGGACCTGCTTCCATGCCTGGATGGTGTAAAGTTCACATGCTTTGAGAAGCAGATTAACAGAATGATGGTTTTCTACTCCTTAAACTAAGCTCATGCTCAAGAGACACAGTCTATTGCTTTTCAAGGATTTGGCAAAACATCTACAAGGTTAAATGTGGGGTTGGTTATTAAGTATATTTGACTACTGCAGCTTGGAAAATGGCATTATGCCTTTCAAAACAGAACTGCCACACTGCTGAGGCTCTCAGTTTTCAGGAAACTGCTTGATGTATCTGCTGTGTCCACCATATTAATGATGATTTCTTGTTCTGAATAAAACATGCACTAGAGAGTGGAGTTTTCTGAAGAGTGGCAGAATTCTGAACAGCATCAAATATTGGCAATATACTATTAAAATAATTAAGATAATTAAGGTACATGTTAGCAAAGCATATACATCATTAGGGATTAAAAAGATCTGTAAACTTGTACTTTATGTACACAGGTCTGAATGGATGCAAAAGTAAGAGATTGCTTTTTACAAAGAGATGAAGACTCAAAAGACTAGGAGAGCGAAAAAAAACCACATTCAGGCCATACCAGAAGCTGCAGCTGAGGCTTTGTTACTGGCAGCAAAACGGTAAAATGGAGGATTATCACAATGTTGGACTATGGGGTTCACTGGGTCGGTTTGCTGCAGCTCAAAAAGAAGTTCTTCCATTGTCTGAATAGTGTTATTGCGACATAGATATATTGCAACCTTCTTTATCTGTGGAAGAAAAGAACAGTTGTTAAACTCTGACTAAACTGAATTTCCAAAGAAATCAATGAATGTCACACTGCAGTACTGAAATGCTCCAGAATGCAAGTGTTGTTCCTGGACAGACACCACAACCACATACAGTTCATACAGAAATAAAACTTCTCACTTGGACATCAAGATCATTTTCCCAGCAGACTGACTCTATGATTTAATTACTTTGAAGTTTTTGCTTACCATTCACAACGAATTGTTTATGTATATAACTATTTAACATGCACATCTAGAAAAGTGTAGCTGTGGCCACAAAAAGTAAGCCAGGCTTTGAGCTGCTACTTGTATCTGTAAGCTAAGTAATAGCAAATGGAAGAAAGGCAGAGCAGTTATGTATACAGACTTCATGTATCCTGATTTAAAAAATCTGCGTATCATTTATAGAAATGCTGGAAATTTCTATAAATCTTTTAATAAGATCTCAAACCTGCACTGCAGCAGTGAGGATTTTTGAGATACTGAGGCCAAATTTAGCTGAATTCTTGAGGAAAAAATCCCTGATCACTATTAAAAGCAGAGACTCTCCCCAGCAAAAAATCACTTGATTCATAAACTGCTGGAGGTGGGAGACCATATAGGGAATATCTCTCTATGCTTGCCTGCTTGTTTTTAAAGATGTCCCTAAACAGATGCTTATAGTGGAGCTAATACATTAGGCTGAACTACCTGTTGGCCTCACCAAGTATTGCTGTTCTTATACTTTTAAATACTTCCAGTAAAATAACTTACTGCTTCTCTTTCCCTTTATTTTATTTTTTTTTTCCTTACAGAAAATGCACATATATAAAGTCTCCTTTACTCTACTAAGCTAAAAATTTCCCAGGGACTTTCCAGAGACAAATCCATCTTCTTCCCGAGGCTCATTTCTGGTTGGGCTCACAGTGCCACTTTCAGCTTCTCTCACTGCTGAAGGGGTCACGTTCCCAACACCGAGTCTCTGCTGAAGAGGTTTCTGAACTGTAAATACTCTAAGAAATCTTTCAGTACATTATGTGAAAGAATGGACAGCTCAGCAATTTGTACTGGGGCACTGGGAAAAAAATGCTTAAAGGAAACTTAAGAGACAAAGCAATTAATTTAGATGATAAAAAAAAAATTAAAAAAATGTGAGTCAGGCACGCTTTTGGCTTGCACCCACACAGGGAGAACAGATGGCCAAAGGCACAAAGCAGCTGGTGACTGCCTTGGGGCACAGGGGGCTCCTAAAGGAGATGGGTAAACTGGCAAGCCTGCAGCTCTGTGGTCTTTTAAGCCCAGGTGACCTGGAACACTGTTGATAAACTGTCCAAATGATCTTTATTTGCTAACGTGTATCTGTTATCTACATGATAATGGAAGACACATGTTTATAATATCAGCAGTCTTGTGTAGTAGTTAACAGAGTTAGGCAGGATTTCTTATCTATGAACTCCAGGGCATTAGCAAAACACTGAGCAGATGCATGTGATAAGACCAGCGTATTTTCCTCTCCAGACAAAGCTATCAGTGAAGGAGTGACTCATAGGCACAGTCAGGCTTCCCACGGAAGCTAAAAAACTTTTTCAGATTCTGCAAAATCTGAGAATCAGACTTTTAACTCAACATTACAAAACACAGACTAACTGGGTGGTAGAAAACATGGGAACCTTGTCAGCTGCTGCTGCCACCAGCCATGAGAAGCCCAGGAAAGCCCCAAAGGCAAACCAGGGGATGATGAGCAGATGAAGCTGGAGATGTTCAGAACAGATAGCTCTCTTCCTGAAGTAAGAGGACTGTGCTATTCTGGAGGAGGACAGGACTGTGAAAACCAAGACTTTGAGGCAAAAAAAAGAATTTGAATAAAGAAGTGTGGGTGGAGGGGTTTTGAGGAAAGGCTGCTCAGAGTTGTGGGATGGCAACAGTTACGGAAAAAGGAGGTGCTGAAAGCTTTGGCTTGGCAAGTATCTGGACTGGGGATAAGGTATGTGAGGGGCTCCTGGGCAGGAGGTGACAGGGCTATGGGGCTTTTCCAGTCAGACTACATTAGGAGTCAGACATATGCTCAGCACAGGACTACTCCTTCCTCTCAGAAAACTGCCCCTGTTCCTTTTGTAAACTGCCAGAAATGAGGGTAACCCCTCATTTTCTGTTTTATCTCTAACAGGTGATTTCCACTTGCTCTCTGCCAACACAGATGGAGACCACCTTCGGGCCTAATCCCAAATCTCTCACAGGTTGGAGGATGAGGCAGGTTGGAAAGAAGCTGGGAAGTCTCCCATCTAACCTCCTGCTCAAAGCATGGTCAACACTGAATGGAAAGCCACTGTAACAAATGAGGGAAAGATCTTATTTCAGATCAACCCCTTCATCTTCCTTTCATATAAACTTTGAGTTTGTTCTTATACAAATTCCACTTTCAAATTTTTCTACTTTTGACTAGCCAGGCATATATATATATATACATTGACTTAGAATGTAGACCCAACAAATGAAAGGAAGCAAACAGGATACCTATGGTACAACAACACTTTGAAGATTTTTATGGGCTTCTTTATTTTCTGTATTCTAACATGCATAGCAGTCATCATAAAAACTTTGGGCAAACTATTATTTCAGCATCTATAAATGACGTATATTTATGAGGCTTTTTAGATAAATTTCACCACATTAATAGTAATTTCATATTTATTTCAGGGAAGGAAATGGAAAGAGGCTAACTAATAAAACAACATATTGCAATTGGGCTGGAAAATTCACTAAATTTAGATTCTGTTTCACTCAGCAACTGAGAAATAAGGATCATGGGAATGGAAGTAGCCTGGTTTTCTCAGACAGCCTTGATTTTATTTTAAGTTGAATAATAACAATATCCAGCACAGTCTGAATTGCACATTGCAGCAACTGTTAGATAATTTATGACAGTAAAGCAGAGGCAGAAGTTGATATGGTAAGAAGTTTATAAAGGTTAACTATCTTCTCTCTCTTGAGATGTCCCACAAAAAGCTCTAGTCTGCTAAAGAAAAGGAACCAGCATTTTCTGGAAATTTATGGCCAGTCTCTGTTACTGTCCCCACTGACAGACATGCAAAGTTTCTCTCTGCTTGAAAGAAACCCATCTCTCACTTGCAATGGGGTGTGTCCTGCAGATGCAGGCTGAGATCTGAACTACTCAATTTCTTTTCTTAAATTTCAGTTTCCTGGCACTTTCATTCCTGCCATTTAATTTTGTACAGTGTGTTAGGGAGTATGTTGGTATTTCTTGGTTTTGATACAAAAATTCATTTTCTGCAGGAAATAGCTGTTTTATTCACTACAACCTGTAATCATAAGTAAATAAAGTGCAAAGACTTACATAGGGTAAAAGGATGGTATCGCTGCTAACACCACACAAACTAATGAGGAACTGCAGTGTTATCCTAAGGTTGTTACTCCATTTTTCATTGTTGGCCAAAGCATTCCAGACATTTTCCATCTCTGGTCCAGGAATTTCATCTCCATACTGCAAAGAATCATAGGCATACATTCCTTGAAATATGCAGACTTCCAAACTAAAGCATGTCCTTTTAGAACATTTTCTCACGTAAAAACGCCACAGTGAAATGCTGTAAAAAGTTACAAAATAGTATTTTAAAAAGCTGCTTGACATATTTCAAGATGTAAACTCCATTTAAAACTATTTAGGTTCTGATCCACAGAAGGACTTAAATCATAAAAGAAAATAAAAGTCTTGAGGACTGTAAATTCAAAAAGTAGTCCTAAAATTAAGCAAGTTTTCCTTGATTGGCACAGACTGTTCTGTACAGACTGTACTGGCAGGAACTAACAAAAGTTTTACAGGTTAGTTTCTTTGTTAGATTTTTTTTTTTACCTTGGCTGTCATATACATGAGATTATTAAGAACCAGGGAGGTGGCCTCAGGTGAGCCCCAGCCATTGCCTTTTAGTCCACTTGTGACTGCTATTTCCCCATCCTTGTCCTTCAGTTCATCTTCTGGAGTGGTAGGGCTTGAGCCAGGGAGGAGCAGTCTGTTGTCTACAAGTTCAATATTATGAAGCCATGGCAGCAGATAGGTAAGCATGATCTGTCTTCCATTTGGATGTGTTGTTGGAAATCGCTGGCTTACCTCTAAAACAGTAAGAGTTGATAAGGACAACATATTTATTTATGATGGAAACCCTAAATACACTGCTTAAGTCACATTTCTGACGTTTGTTAGACTGCTTGATGATTTTTAATTAGCACACCATAAGCATACAAAACACTGAGATTGTTCTTGAGATTCCTGAAGACAGACATGGAATTAATGTTCAATAATAGCAAGCAATTTTCATGGCTTGTGTCTAAAATAACTAACTCAGTCTGGGCTTAGAAAGAGTACTTGTTACTGTGCCATGTTATGTATTTAGTGAGGTGGATGTCAATAAAGAGGAAAAAGGATAATTCAGTTACTGGTGGTTACTCTAGAATTCCAAGAGCTTTTGGAGAATATACAAAACTGTTCTACAGATTACAAATGCCTCACTTGCCTCCAGGTTTCTAAGCTATACTTTAAATAATAAGGCATTTATTATACTGAGTTTACAAAAAACATCTTGCATATATTGGGATCCTACTTCCTGTGGGAATGTCTATAAAATTCATAGCTGGCTGTCAGTTCAGGAATGCTTGTATACAGCACTTTATATAGCTTTCAAAAGAAGGAACTGGCACTGTAAAGAAAAGGGATTTGGAAAATCTGGGATAAGAAACACAGCTTCCTGCCAAAGTGAACCACATTATCTCTCTTTGCCAGAATTCTTCAGTAAAATCAGTAGAGCAAGCATTTCCTTTTTTCACTTACTGCCTGGTTTTAAAAATCATGAAGACACACACTGTTCTGTCCTCCTTATGATTCTAGATGTACAGAAAGGGTGTCTCACTTGGACTGTAATATCCTGTATATCTGAGATTTTTTAAATGATACAGTTGTTACAGCAACATGAGTAGACAATAACAGAGACAGTGAACAGCATTAGCTTAATGACAAATGAGCCATCAGAATTTCCCTACACCAGTTATAAATAACTCATGGTATCTTGGGCACTGAGAAATGTAAGGGTGATGTATTGTTCCATTACCCCCCCTCCAGCCCCTACAGACTGAGTAAAAACAACAGAAAGGGATTTTAAGAGACAGTAAAAATTCCCACGATTACAGACAATTTGCATTCTGTTATTTAAAAACTAGAGAAACACATAAGATTGATTAAAGATAGGTCTCAAAACACCACTGCTCCCAGGAATGGCCTCACAGTGGTCATATTCTGAATTGTGCTCCTGCAGGTCTCATTCTTTAACATTTTTCTCAGTAATCCTGAAAATATGTATTTCTGATAAAATTAAAAAAGGTTGGACATGCAGATGTGGCAAATAACAGAAGGTAGAGATCAGTCAGAGTGATTTGAATCATGGGTAGAACTGGACACAGGCAATCTATCTGCCCAAAGTTCAAGTCACATTTATATAAAATGAAGAAATATATCCTCACAAGTATGGTCTATGTAAATCCATGCGTAAGAAGAATCACATAAGAACCCATCATAGGAGAGTTTGCCAATGTCATTTTAACTCATTCAGAGCACTTGTAATTTCAAAGTTACCCTAAGATCACATAAGTGGCACAGAATCCCCAAGGAGGAAGAATTCTGTACTTTGTGTGAGTACCTCTAGGAAATACATATTGGATTCCAAATCTGATTTGACCTGAACCAGAATAAAAACAGGTCAAGCTAAATTTATAAACAGAACTGTGGTTCAAAATGGTAGCTGTCCAGCATTTGCACAAAAACGTAAAGGAGATAGAAAGTCAAACAAATACAGGTACCTGAAAAAAGTGGAAGGGTAAGTTCAGGATACATCCTTGCTAGTTCATATGAAAGAAGGGCAAGTGAGACACTGTAAAGAGGTGGCAATGGACCATGTGTCCCGTACAAGATACTGCCTGGTCTTTGCTCAGCTACCTTTTTTGAATAAACAAAAAGCTTTGATTCAAGGATCTATAAAAGACAAAAGAGAAAAAAAAAGGAATGAGACAATAAAAACTCATTAAATCAGGAAATAGCAGCATTTGAAGTTTAGCTATCAGAGAATGCTCTGTATGTTTCAGAGTATATGCTCTGAATATGAAAGACACTGTAACATTCATTTTTATATAAATATTAGTGTAAGTTTTTATAGCCAAGACAAAACGAATTGTCTATTTTCAAAACAAAACTCACGTGCAAGTAACAGTACTTTATAAGAAGTTCACCAAAAAAGTCTCCAAGGATAGGAAGAAAAAATAAGTAGGTGATACATGCCTGCATAAGTTGCATGGAAATTTCATAAATCTCTCTGTTGGTGTCAGATGCCTTGAACAGCACCAAATTTAAAAGCGTCACGATATCAAAAGGATAGTTCCTAGAAGAACAAACAGAACATTTTTGTGAATGCTGGTGAGGAATGCAGATTATATTCACTCTGATTTTCTCCGTAATACAGTCTAAAGAGAATTTCATCTTTCTTTTTTTCTCTTCTACCATCAGAATATGGGAAAGGGAGTTCTTATGAATACACACTGCTTGATCAAAGGACCATCTGGTGAATGAGAAGAAAGAAAGGATTATTTATAATTATCTTAGACTCATGGTTAGGAATGCACTGAGCTATCCACAATGAGAAATGCAATACCTGTGTCTATGATTGTCAATTCATTTTAATTTATAGCATAAACTATTTACAGGACAGGCTGACACCCATGAAAGCAAATGGGGAGCATGAAAATTTCCAGGGATAAAGAATTTCTTAAGCCAAGCTGCAATCAAAACAATCCCTTTGGACAAAATACACTATCTCTGACATGAACATTCTGTGGTATTAGACAATTCTATGAAAATTGTTTTCAAAGAGTAAACATGAAAAACTTCTTCAAAATTCTGCTATCTGTAAAGTCAGCATCAGTTGCAGAGGTTAAACATATCAAAGAGTTAATGAAAATATTGTTAGAGGAATAAATGCCACAGTGTAATATTTGGATTTGCACTAAATAGGTTTCTGTTTTCTCATGATGGTTTAAAAATGTACCGATTGAATTGTGAATCATCAATTTACCACCCTAGATGTCAGCTACAGTGCTCCTGGATGGCTGCAGGATGCCTATTTGGACTTTTTAACATGGCAGATACATGTGTGGCATGGATAATTCCATATACTAGCTGCAAGCCAAGCTCTGTAACTGGCTATTTGCCCTTCCACTGTTGAAAAAGTAAATACAAAAAAAGAAAAGAAATTAAGGGAAGTGGCTTCTTTGTAGAAAGCTGGATGGACTTCATCAATTGCTGCTCGTTTTACAGGTAGTTTAAGCAGTGGTCTCCTGATACATCTTGATGACAGAGGAAAAACTATTAACAGCTTTCAAATATTAATAAAAATTCTCAGCTTGCTAGAAAGAGGAGTTTCCCCTCTAAAAAAGTCATGAAGGTAATAATCTATCATAAAAAGATAATTTTTACTGTAAAAATGGAAAAGATAATTTTTAGGTCACAGTGGCACAGGTAACACAACTTGAGGAAAAAAGACTGGCTGAGACTGCTGTTTCTGTGTTAATAAAAATAAAAACCCTGTTAACATAACTTAATTTGGAAACACAAAATTCCATTCATATTTTAAAAATCTTCATATAACACAGTCTCTATTCTAGTTGTTCCTGTGAGAACAAAACAGCTTTGCAGGAAAACTATTAAATACATGAGTTATTTTGATTTTCCAAATCCCAATTATTTCCCCATTGAGTATTCCTCTATGCTGATCAGACATCTTGCCAAATTATTTTTGTGAAGAGTAAATTTTCACATTTATTTTAATTAGATGAAAAATACTGCATGATTTAATTTCTCTATGAATTTTGTCTTTGAAAACAATAAAAGAGATAGAGTTTTATGAAGGCCTGACACAAAAGCAATATTTTTATTCATGTCTTCATGTAGCTTGTGCTTGCTCAGCATTAGCAGTAATGAAGATACCAGTTGTCAGGAAAGGAACTAAACAAGTCAAATGAAAGCCAGTTTAGAAGAAGAACATGACTTTCAAGATAATGACATGTCAAAATAATGACTTTCCAGCTATTGATATTTAAAACATTTTTCCTTTTATAAATTACATAAAAAACCACGCCAAATCTTTTGAAACCAGATTTACGACCTACATTCAAATAAAACTGTTGTAACTTCTTTCGTATCTTTCTAAGCAAAATAGCATCGAAATTCCCCAGATTTCAAATATACCTATAGTAAGAATATCTTCTACCAAGCACATCACTTTGTTTTCAGAATCATAAAAATCAAGCGATACAGTCCCAAGAACTGTTTGAGAAGGCATGAGCGTGACCAACAACTCCTAACAACACAGTGAGCTGAACCTTCAGTTTTCTTCACATTTGAAAGCGTAGGTTAAAAAACTAATGAATACCTGCTTCCACACACAGTTGCAATGGCTTTGAAACACCCAGAGGCAAGCTGGTATGATCCTGTGTAACATCGATCAATAGCCCAGTTGAAGAGATTGATTTGATCAGGATTCAGTTCTAGCAACAGGACTACAACTTCACAGCCAAGCTGGTGAACCTGAGAAGATGTCAAAACATGATTGATGGGGTCAGATATGTTCATTCTCTAAAATTCTCAGAGTAACATAGGCAAACAGGGTAAAAATGGCAAATTCAAGTATGTAAAAAGAAATCAAAACGTTGGTAATACATTTATTTTAGGGATAGCAGAGTTGGAATGTGACTCAGGTTTCAATACTCACTGCTTGAAAAAACGGTATGTACATAGGGTACATAAATGAAATAAATTTTCCAAAATTAGGCACAACAACAAAAAGAAAAAAAGCAAAATTTTTGGAAAATCTAAGATTCTTGATAGGAGTTCCTGGGCAACTTCATTTTATATCACTTAACTGACTTCATGTGAATTTCAAAGAATGACAAACTTTTATGTTTATCCTTCTTTTGACTAACACAGAAGCAAGGCAGACGAAGAAAAATACCTTTTACAAGACTGAAAACTTGTATGTTTAATCCAGCAACATCAAGCAATCTAACGACTCTCCCTACAGACCATGAATTGCTTAGTCCTGCTACCACCACTGCTACAAAAACATCACAGCTAAGGCTTGGACTTCATGTTCTTTCAGTACAGGATAGTGTTGGTACACCAAACACTAATGCCTATTAATATTCTGTCACCAAGTGTAGGTGACTGCTTGTAGAGAGACTGCATATCAATTGCACGTATCTTTATAGCTCTGTCCCTACCAGCATTCCAAAATCCCATGTAATTTCTGAAGGATTTTCTCTGCAGCTATTCATCCTTTCCTTAAAATGTTCAACCATTTTTTTTTTCCTAATCAATTACCATTTCCACTATTCCCTATCCTCTAGCTGCTTCACATGCATTTATTTAGGTTCTGCTATTTACCTTTCCTTAGCAGAGTTATGTGTGCTGGTATGAGAGTTTTAGGGAGAATAGCAGAACAAAGTGCAAGAAACCAAAAGGGAAAGATTGTTGTCTCTCTCTCTCCATTCAGTACAAATCACCAGCCTACTCCTCCTTAACCACAGAGGCAGTCCAACCAGCTAAGAACACAGAACCATGACTGTGTAGGTACAAAGTCAAAGCCCATCTTCACAGAAATGGAAAATGGCAAGAACAATCCATTACATGTTCTTTAAGAAGGAAAAAAAAAAAACCACTTTACAATCTCTTAACTCACCCAGCACAGTGAGTAATTGTCCACCAGTGCTGCATTTTGGTCAGTACTTACACGTAAGTCTTGACAAGCCAGAATGTTGTCAAGCCATTTGTAAAGATATCCATCGGGGGAAAGACCAACATTATCAAACACAGGTCCACAGCAGAGCACAGCTGACATGGCCTAGAAACACATGAAACTCCAGTTACACAAAAAGTAACACAATGAGCCTTTCTGAATGATTTGAGTCCAGGCTAACAGGACTGACACTTGCTTTCTGTTTGGAGAGAACTATGGTGAAAATGGTAACAGCTGGCTGCTAGAATTCAATAATTATTTTGCTATAGATTTTACTGGATTCTAGATCATGCTCAAAGCATTTTGGAGGGAGTACTATCTTCAAGATATATTTTGTCATTTTACCCAGCATTCACTAATCAAGCTACAAAAACAAAATATATTCAGATGTTCCAACAGTACGTTACTGCAAAAATTAAAACTGTCTTACAGCAAGTGGTGCAGCTTATATAAGTACATAACCTATTACTTTCCCAGCTTACTCATGCAGGGGAATTGCAACTGGTTTTGCCACATTATTACTGAGCATATCTCTAGGCAAGCGTGGGAGGCATTCCTGAGATGTACATTGGTGCCGATTCAGTATCCTCAGGTACTGAATCAGAACTACGCCTAATTTCAGAGCCTAAGATCTCCTTGCTGCATCTGCTAACCCATTAATGAACAGCTAATTCAAAATTTCAAACTGCACTCTGGTTTTAAAAATAATTAGCCTTGAAAAGTGTCAACAAAATAAAAAACATATAACTTCAGTGCTATATTCTATGATACCATTGTACACTTACATATGAGCATACAAGTCTGCATCAAGTATGCCAATTCAAATTTCTTTGAAATAAAAGGAAATAGACCCCACAACTACTTGTATTTTCACTGAAAATTTGCTGTTACTGGTTTGTACAGTGAACCTTTAGTACCTTTAAAGCACAATACTGGTATCTTGTAATCTGGTGATTTCTATCACTGTAGCGGTCCAGTGGTGTGAACATAATACTGAAAGGTCCTGCCCACTGGCTGAATAAGATGAACAGGTGATGCCTCAAGCTCTGCTGAGGGAAGAGGAATCTCCTGTGGTGAACTAAGAGAATAGAAATAATAGAAATAGTTGTGATTTGTTAATATTAAATACATATTGATGTAGCACAATGATGACATGATTTTCAAATTTTTACAAAAAAGGAGGGGTTTTTATGTGTTCGACATACACTTACTCTGAAGTATCTAAGTGCCTTTAAAAAATCTAACCAAGTGAGTAAGATGCATCTTATTTCTAAGAACCTTCAGTTCTGAATTAATGTGTAGTTATGCAAACACGTACATCTGACTACAGAAAAGCATTTAAGAATCTAATTATAAAATCAGGGTTTTTCACTGTCTCCTGCATTCCTTTAGTGGCAAATATTTACTTGGTTTTTCCAATTCTTCAAATTTGAGCCTAAACAATACATGTGTCTTACTCTAATACAGTAATAGGACAATAAATAAAAGAAACCTGGTGGCTCCTTGTTTATGATAAATATGTGGTATATATTCTGAACAGCTGAATTACCCAAGCAAATAAAAAAAAGCCTCAGACCTCATCTTCCAGTAGTTACACTGAGGCCTTTAAAGAAGAGGCTTTCTTTGCTTTTTTGCTAATGTAATTATGTTATATTTCTGAAGTGATATTGCAATATATAAAAAGCATGGAATCAACTGAATAAATCTTTATGATACAACTGGACTCAGGTAACATAGGATACTGTCTCAACACCTTGGGCAAGTTTTTCACTGCATTTAATATTGCACATTGTCTGCACCTAGTTGTATTTTTCAAGGCCTGTCTGAGTTTATGAAGTCTGGCAATTGAGTCAGATGGGGGAAAATAATGCCTTGTGCCAAAATAAATCTGAATTCCCTGGAGGTCACAGACAATTTCTTTGCTAGGCTTTTAAAGAGGTGATTCTTAGACATGGCTATTACAAGCTTCATCAAGCTTTATTGGTATTTTTATTTCAATCTTAGACCTCTGAACACTTTTTCTCCCCCTACATTCTACTTTGCATTCATTATATGAAAATTCACAAACAGTGAAAAAAGCACAGACAAAAAAAAGAAACAAAAAATTACTTTCCCAATACCTACATTAAATGCATAATTTAGCTCCATACCTGGAACACACTGAATCAAGTTGGCAATCATTGCACTGAAATGTGCTCTCATATCCTTAAGGATCTCGACTTCTTTATCATTTTCAGCCTCCAAAAGCATGCGAGTCAGATCAACATACTCTAAGAACAAGGCTCCAAGGGCTAGTGTATCTCTTTCTAAGGCTCCATTTGTACTAGCATAAAGGAAAGTTGCACATTAATATAGAATAACAGAGTTATATATTATACTACAGTTTTCTGCAGAAATGCATGCAAATGTCTCCATGTCTGATAGACCAGACAATTCTTCAAACAACTTACTGACATAATCTCAGTGTGGCAAACACTGAAAATTGTTTCACATAAAAAAAATCAATATTTATGATGAATGATAGTTCTACCTGTCACTTATAACACCAGCATCAGCAAGGAGTTCAAAAATTCGCAGCAGCTGCAGCCTCAGCAGATCTCGTCGTTCTCGACGTTTCTTGTTCTTGGAATTTAAAATAACAACCGTGTTTATATGCATAGGTGTGCACATTAAAAACTAGCAGCTTCAGAAATGCCAGTATTGTAGTGAAATTTAAGAATTCCAGTTCAAGAATTTTCTTCACAGAAGAACCCCAGTACTTTTGGATATTTCACTAAAACATTGTTCTTATACATCAACAAAGAACTGAGTATGACCAATTTTTTGCCTTTGTAACTATTCTTGAAAAAAATTGTTAACAACTGCCTTAGTACTTACTAAAAATGTGGAAATGAAATAATGAAATAATGGATTAAAATAACTAATATTCAAGGTCCCTGTACCAAAAGGCCATGCTATCTTCAGGTAACAGGGATTCTCATGTTAGTTTAGTGTCATCTAGTTTGGGTGCTGGAGGCTCTCATAGAGCAGAACGTATATCCAGACACAAGGAAGGTATCCTAGTGATTAGCCATTGCCAACTTGGCAATGCTGCAGCACACCATCACTCACATTCAAGTGAGCTCCTAGCAGACACCACTCCAGTCCAGTGTTGGGTGAGTTGACTGCAGGGGTTTTTCCCACAGTAATGTACTCCTCCCACAGAACAGGACTGCATGGTGTTAACTGGCTCACTGTATCTCGCTGCCTCCTTGAAAGCTGTCCTTTCTGTCTTCTACCTTTCCTGGAAAGATGTGAATGCAACAAGGCCCACTCTTTGCTGAAAGGCTAAATTGACCTGTTTGTATCCTGTATCTCCCCTGAGCAAGAAAAACATCAGAAGGTAAAAATGCTGCTGTTGAACTCGAAGGTACAAGAAAAGCTCAGAGAAAATGCAGATTTTGCTCTTCAAAACTGAGCAATACTGAGATCAAAGGCTTATCTCTTCTAGGACTCTGTCTCTGTCCATGGCCAGCAGTAGATGTGTGGGAGAACAAAATGATGCTTAGGCTGGTATTCTGATCCAGAACTGGCAGAATTGCAGCATCCCAGCCAAAGGTTTTATTCAAATAATTATGCCATTTGAATTGTTCTATTCAAAGCCCTGTTTTTCTCCCGTTACACCTTTAAGGTTCCAGGAAGCACATGTAGAGAAAAAAGCAGTTTTACTGTAATACAATCTTTACCAGACACAGCTGCCTCCTGCAGCAGTGTCAGAGGTGATCTGGCAAGCTCCGTGCCAGCGCCCACAGGGCTGATCCTGTGTAATGTCCATTTTGGTTTATCCCTGCAGCTCTTGGCCATGATGGGAATTCTCTTCCTAGTCATAGCATATGTTCAAGGACATTGTTTCTGGTGTGTTGGATACCTGCCTGCTGACATGGAGGCCTCCTCTGTTCTCTACACAGCCCATACAGTCACTCCTGGGTTTCCAGGTGGCACTGCTTGCAGGAAGGTGTTCCATTTATTCATATCAGGGAAAATACAGGACTTAACACTGCAGTCTCTTGTTCTCATATTCCTCTACTGAGAATTCCACATGCTAAATTTGCTCTTACTGCATACAGTAAACCTCTGAATTCTAGCAATTCCTTTCCTGAGGGTACACTGGATATGTATGTCTCCAGAAAAGGCTTTTCAAGTCTAAGTTGTCTTAAATGGTGCACAGACAAAATGTAGAAGTGGCTGCACTAAGGTATATTAATCCACTTCTGCCCAGTATCAAAACAAGTGACCTTCAAATCAGTGACTTCATAGGGATGGAAGCCACACAACTGAATTGAGGTGTGAAGCAACACAGAATGGAAGTGGTTGCGGATGTTTACCAGGCACAGAATTATTAATTGTTCATGAGCCATCTCAGATTGCTATCTTGGAGCCAGATGGAATGGTCTGAAACTGAGATAAGGAGGGAAAACTGAGCAGAGCTTGAGTCCAGTAGTGAAGCTCTCCCCATGGCTTTTCTGTTTAGCTGCATAGACACATCCTGCAACAAAACTGCTTACTGAGGCTACAGATTTTATCACCAGAAGCTTTTAAGAACACAGAATTCTCTCTTGTGTGGATTGGAAGATCTGTCGGGAGCCCTTCCATCACTACCTTCTCTTGTAAAAAAAGAGAACACTGTAATGAAGGTGAAAACTGATGAATTTGTCAATTAACTGATGGTGCTTAGAATGAGTCCTGTGCCATGTGATCCAGGATGACCCTGCCTGAGCAGGGAGCTTGGACCACTTTGGTCCCTTCCAGCCATTCTTTGATTCTGTGATTCCATGAAGTTGAAATAGGTGACCCTGCCTGCCCTGAAAATAAAAGCACATCTAAACACTGCTATAAAATGTGCTTGTAGCTGTGTTAAAGCTTTTTTTTTATTATTATTTTTTTTTAATCTTTACTTTTCAGATACTGAATGTGAATTTCCAGTATATCCAAGCTGTGTATCAGGGGGTCCATACTGGATGGGAAATATTTTGCTCATAATGAAATTCTATATTGTACATTTCAAATCACTGACAGAATTTAAATTGAACTAGGTTCTAATTGAATTATTTTAAATTATGCCATTAATAAAATTCTTGTTGCACACAGAACTTAATTTGATAGTGCAAAAGAATAATTTGTATTTCAAACAGACAGAATTACTACTTTTAATGTAATTTTTTGTTTAAAAAAAAAAACTATTAGATTTTATTTTTGCAACTAACCTCTGGTCTTCTTTCTAGGGCTTCTTTCATTAGTGGGTGGAGTTCTTCTACTAATTCCCTAAATTAAAAAAACATAAATACTTGTAAACAAAGTAATGTCCTTTGAAAAGCATAAATATTTTATCCAACATATAAAAACGAAGCTCTAAAGTGCAAATAAAAATTTCAATATATACTTCAATTATAACAAAAATAAAGCACTTGTATTAGAGTCAAATAACTGTGAATATGGTAAGTGGAGAAGTACCTGAAAACAAGGGAATTTGTTCTTCCAAATCCTAATACGAGTGATTCTGTTATTTCTATGCTTTCAAGTCTCATCAAAGGAACTAGCTGCTTTAGTAAGACTCCAACGGATGGAGTTCCAATAGCCTAAAATATATTAAAATATTGTTGAATTAAATTTTCAGGATATCAGTATTATGTAAGCACAATTTTTTTAACAAATGAACATTGAGTGAGAATCAATACGAATTATAAAAACATGCTGCAATGATTTTATCATTATGGATATCAATCCACCAATCTAACTGGGTATCTGCTACCTGACAATCAGCTCAATAATGCCTAACATGTAAATACATCTGGGAAATCTCTTTGCTTTAGTTTAGATTATTGTAATTTATTTAATTTGTTCATTAACATATTAATTTGCTTCATTAAAATATTCCAGTAATTGCATTTGTGGAGCTACTGCTCCTCTCAGGTTGCTACTACTTGAAAGTGTATTTTTTATATTATTGTTTCTGACAGGCATATATCTAACAGGAATACAGTTTGCGTTCAGAAATCTGCTTTATTGTTTAATGTTTTAAATTTACAAGTTGGACTGCTCTACAAGGAAAGAAAGGGGATGACAAACTAAAGTTAGCTTCAAAACACATATCCAGACCTTCTACATTTTGAATGCATGTATCCCAAAATGCAAAAAAAGGGGAAAAAAAAAAAAGCAATATATTGAAAATACCATGATTTTTGCCAAATATTTATCAACACATCATATCATACATATGTTTTAGTCATTAATTATATGTATTAAGTAGTTTGCATGTATCAAAATATTCCCTAACTGAAATACTTTCATCAGGATAGGATTTTGCATGCAGATGCAGCTTAAAATTTTCCTAAACAAATAGTTTACTTGTAACAGATTGCATCACCTTGTTATCATAGTTCATCGTTCCATCAGGAGTGGTAGCCATGATCTCTGGTGTTGAAGCTCGCAGATGTCCTGGGCTCATAATACTGGGCTTTGCTACTCCAAAACACAGAATAAGGTAGTTTCTCCACAAAGTAACATAGTTGTCTCCACTGCCTGCTGTACTTGTTTTCTTTGCATTAACAGGAATACTAGAATTTAAAAATAAATCATAATTCTTAAAACGATCTTCCAGTCTTAATTACAAGTACTAAAATATTAATTACAGTATTTTAAAGTATTTTAAGAGGGAATAAAACATGCTATGTATCTACCAGCTGCAATTCAACATGACATGATACCCAGGAAAAATCAGTGAAGGTATAAAACTGGAGTTTTCCACCTTACAAGTTGCAGTTATGAAACTCAAACCTGCAGGGCACCTTGCAGGATGTGTGGACTGGTACTCAAACATGAGACCAAAGGAAAGCTCATATTAAAATCACACAGCCCACATGAAAGAAAGTGAGATGCAGATTGCCACTTACTTTGGATCCACCAGAGGCATTATCAGCTGTAGCCTCGTGAAGGCGTATGGCCAAGCATAGCTGAGAGCTGTAGGACAGTGTTTTGGTAGATTCTCCTGCCTAAGAAAACTGAAGAGGCAGAGAACCCACGGGTCTTTAACGGACTGGGCAAAAATCCAGACATGGGAAGGACTTTTCACATCATAATGGCTATTTACTAGGACAGCATTCCACTCCACCAGCCACTGCAAATCCACGCTGTGTGTTAACGGGATTGTTGTCTAAGGAGAGAAAAGATAAATTAACACTCCTTTCTGTACTAGTCAGAAACCAGGCACAGAGGCAACACATTTGCTTTGCTTTATTATTAATGAACAGAATGAAAGCACAAAATTAAAATCATGGCCTCTAGAAACTGCAACCCAAACCCAAGTGCTGCTATTTATCAGACAAAATTCCTAATTCCTGTATTATGAAGTCAGAATGTCTCTTTCTTGCTCAATTTCTGTTTTCAGATGCATAGGAGCCCAACCACCCCACCAGTTTAATGTCCCTTTCTGTGCTGGTTTTGGCTGGGGTAGAGTTTATTTTCTTCAAAGTGGCTGGTATGGGGCTGTGTTTGGATTTGTGCAGAACACAGGGTTGATAATACAGAGATGTTTTTGTTATCGCTGAGCAGGACATGCACAGACCCAAGGCCTTTTCTACTTTTTGTACTGCCACACTGGTGAGGATGCTGGGAGTGCTTGGGAGGCTGGGAGGAGACACAGCCAGGACAGGTGACCTAAACTGATCAAAGGGAGATTCCAGGCCGTGTCAGTGCATAAAGTGGGGGAAGAAGAAGGAAGAGGGATGTTTGTAGTGAAGACATTTGCCTTCCCAAGTCAACACTATATGTGATGGGGTCCTGCTCTCCTGGAGATGGCTGAACACCTGCCTGCCCATGGGAAGTGGTGAACTGATTCCTTGTTTTGCTTTGCGTGTGTGCACGGCTTTTGCTTTCCCAGTTAAACTGTCTGTATCTCAACCCATGAGCTCTCCAGCTTTTACCCTCCTGATTCTCTCCCCAATCCCACTGGCAGGGAAGTGAGTGAGCGGTTCTGTGAGCCTTGACTGCTGGCTGGGGTTACATTTCTAAGCATCCAACAGCTGGCTCAAACCCAAGGGCAGTCAGTGTGGCACATACCACTTGTTGCTTTAAATCAGGCTGAAAAGTACCCCAAGCTGATTGTTCCTGACCTCTGGAAATGGGCCTTTCATTAATCTCTAGGACAGCATGCAAAATCAGTTGTCTTATGCATCAGCTCTTCTACTGATACTGCTCTATTTAAAATGCTGAACTTCTGCTGCCTCTGGTGCATGTCAGACACATCAGACCCCTGAGTGAGAGATTCACCACAGTTGTGAATTACTCTGGAGTTTATGCTCAGGTGTGCAGGCAGGGCCACTTTCTAAGGACACAAGGGAGCTGAAGCTTGTCAAACAGATAAAGCAGTGAGTGACTACAAAGTACCTCTAGCATTAAGTGGTGCTAGCAGTAAGACTTTCTCAACTGTTCTTTTTTCTGTATGCAGTATCTTCCATATCCATAGTGCAATTACTTTCATGGAATAGATTGTCTGGGACATTGTGGAGCCTTGGGTAGATGGCTGGAGCCTTAAAGCTGTATGATTTCTTTGATTTTTAGCAGTATTATTTTTAGTATTTCATGTCTGATATTTGTTATGTAAACACAAGCAGTAACAGTAAAGTAGTACTTACTGAATCTGAAACAGCCACATGAATAAAGCTTTCAAGAATAGAAGAACTCAGCTGATCCATGACATCAATCATAGGCCTGTCATCATCCTGGATAACACAGAGAATACAAGTTTACTGCTCTTCTGACCAAATTATTTCCCTTCTTATGTTTCTGGGACATGCAACAGAAACATCTAAAAATTATGACATGAATCTGAAGTAGCTAAAACTATTCATTGTTAATGACGGGTTAACATTTTGTCTTTTTCAAATTAATCTCAGAACTAAGTCCAAGCTGTGGTTTGAAATGAAGTTAATTTGTGGCTATAGCTCACTGCTTAGTGGACAAAAGCACATATCAGAAAATCCCAAATGACTTGGGATAGCTGGTATCAAAAGACTGAAAAATTAGCTTACTGTTTATTGAAGCATTCCTTTGCCATGAACACACATATTTGTGTTCTTAGGCATTTTGATGGCTCACTGAGCTGTGACCACCAGTACACAACATGACTCTCCATATTTCTGTAACCATAAAAAGACTTAGAGGTCTTTACTATAGAAGGAAAACGTATGTGAATGACCTTAAAGGTGTCTTATGCTGTGGGTTTTTTCACTCACAATGGTATGCCACAGCAATGGGTTTCATTTCCAACATAAATTTATAAACTTGACAAAACAGAAATGACCCATGCAGTAATAAAATTTTTACAGTGTATTTTACATTCACATCATTCCAAGAGAAAATAGAAGTTGCTGTATATTCCCCTTCAAATTCTTTTACAGGGCATTTGCCATTCATGTTACATTGTTGAGTCCACAGAAAGGTTTGCAGTGTTAAGGCAAATAGAAATAGTAAGCTGAGATAAAATGCTATTTAATACACTAAGTGCATACCTGCTACACTGCAGCCATTACATTAAAAGCAACTGTAATGGCAATTTTGAGCTTTATCTTTGGGAAATTTTAACTCAGAGTTCCAGAAGAGAAAAGTCCTACCTCTGCCTGGCCAAGGGCCAAGAATAGAGAACGGATTTCTCTGAGGATTAAAACAGCCAGTTTCCGTGTCGCAACCTGGAAACTACACAGCAGAACCAGCGCGAATCCTTCGACTGCGTGCAGGACGTTAGAATAGGGGCTCCTTTCAGACTGCATCCTGTGGCTGGATCCATTCGGTATCAACTGTAGAACAGTGCAAGGGAGGGAAAATGGAGTGGTGGTGTTTGCAAACCACGTCTCCAAGAAACCACTAGGACATATAAAGAATCAAAATGCAGAGGCCATGTAGATGCTGGACTGGGAAACTTGATATATTCTCTGAAGCAATCAAATTCTGTTGCTTTAGGTTACTTTGTTCCACAAAAGCCATGTATGAGCTATGAGCAGAGTCCTTTGAGCAAATCCTTCCCTCTAATTTCCAATTAATCTTCCCACTTTTTTCCATCCTCCACTAAAAAAAGAATGATGGCGAACACAACACTTTTTCTACTCCAGACAGCATGTCCTCAGGTCTTTCTTGGGTCCTGTAGCAGCCAACACCTTAGGTAGGTGGCCTCTAGAACCCAACCCCACCAGTAAAATGCAAAAAGATTTAATGACAAGTATGTGAGAATCACTCTTTTCTACATTTTTATGTACTCCTGTTATTACCTATTAATTAATGGTCGTCTGTGATATAAAACACACATCTTGTTAGCTCAAAGGAAAACATACTCAAGTGTGATTAGTTTCAGAGATAAGAAGCCTAAAAATCATTTCTCATAATGAAAATATCTGTGGGACAGGGCAGATGGGAGAAGCAGGAGAAAAGCTGTTCAGTTCCCAGAAATGTTTGTAACACATGGAGACAGCAGGCTATGGTAACAATCAGGTTCTTTGATGTTTCTGAATCAACCAAGGGTAAAGAAGATGTACTTCACTCTTCACAGCATTCCCACTAGCATTATCAATCTGTTTCAGCCCTGGGAAAATGTCCTTCTGACACATCTACATACACATATTTCACTTCACGTGCTTTTGTTGATGCGCATATTTTAGTTTGACATGCATTCTCTTATGTTGCTCAACAACAACATCTGCTGTATTACACAAGGACATGGCTGTCCTCAAAAGACATGTGAACTAATTACCTAAAAAAATTTTGCATAGTGAATTCTTCTCAGGTGAGTAAATACAAACCACACAAACCACAGCGGTATCAAGGAACATAATTTCTGCCTTCAATTAGTAAAAATGCGAGGACACAGATCTCCTGATTTCATACCTCTGCAGATCTGGTTTTGGCCTGCTCAGAAGCTTTTCCTGGAGTGTGTATTACAAGCTTCCACTGCGTAAGCAATTGTAGCAGCAACTTCAGTGAAGTATCAAGAAGGGTATGATGCATATCATTCACTTCACGTAGCAGAAAATTAGTGAACCCGAAGAGTACGTCCTCCCGCCAGTCAACAAAGTCAACAAGTAGGCCCTGAAGAGAATTCTGTGCAATGTGTCGGAGTTCATCATCCATATGGATGGACAGCCTGTAAATAAATGTAAATGGCAGATAATAAAAGCTATAAGGAGTGTCTATCAGTACATGGCAGTGATGGAAAACTCCCACTGACAGTGGTGGATGATGCTATCATGGTTTCTTTATTGCTGACCACAATTAACATCCTTGATCTGTTTTCTATATTGTAATTCTTGCTACAGCAGAAGATATTCATGGATCCAAAAGAATTGTGCTCCCCTCCTGGGAAGTTTCTCCAAAGTACATAATTCGGAAACTTTTCTTAAACTAAACATATTTTTTATTTACTTATAACTCAGTAACTTCCATGTAGGTATGATAATAAAAGGCTTAGAAATAAATACATAATCTCAGAATTTATGGATTTATTTTTTAACACTAAATACAAAAATAAAAGAATCACAACAGGTCAGCTAACAGTTAGTTAAATTTTTAGCCAAGATACAAATCACAATAAATGAAAGCAAATCTTCAAAAGAATTAAAATGACGCATTTGAATTAAAAACTGCTTTATGCTTTAAATAACTTAGGATGAGGAGATGGGGAAAACATACTCATGACTTTTTATACTTTTAGAAACATGTTGAACACTCTCAAAATCCTTCTGAAAGATGGTGACATTTCAGATCCCATTTTCAAATTTCATTTTCTTCTTTATTTGCATCATGTTGAAGTCCTTCTCAACATCAAAAAAAAAATTATACTGTCTTTTGACACAGAAATCATCAAACCACTTCTATGTTAGAAGCTGGCAGAATAAAGTAAATTCAGATTAGTGTGTTCTGCAATTTTTGGTTCATTGCCTTTATGATGCATTTTGTTTTAATTACCCATGAGACTGTAATTTTCTGTAGGGTGTTAGAACTCATTTTCAAAGTATTTTATCTACATTTAATCTACACAGTTGAAAAGGAGGACTCATTATAATGAAATCGACAGAAAGCTAGGAGAAAAAAAAACCCCAAAATAGCAAATGGCGTGGAACCAAAGTCCATTCAGTTGGAAGTGTATGATGAGATGTGGTTCACAAAAAATCTGGTTCATTATAGCTGCCTAATTAGGAGGCAGGGGACATTTTATTTAACCGAAAAGGAAACAACTGCCATGAAAATTCACCCCTGGTGAGTACGACTCCAAAAATAACTGTTATGCTTTAATAACCACATGACTTTCTATATATATTTAGAAACACTGTATTTTGTTGTGCTAAGAAACGATCAGTTTTGTCTCCTTTTTGGAATGCCAAAACCAGATAAACAAGCAAAACCTTTCGAGACCACAATTAAGTCATCCATGAAATGACATTCACAATGACACAAGGCAGTAGCAGAGAAGAGGATACAAAAGACATCTCCTAAGCCCAAGTCACTGCCCAGTGGCATTATCTAAAGAAATGAAATTCAAACTGAGCATAAGAATGCATCTCTGTATTACCACTGTACGACAGGCAGTGCAGGAAGCAAGTACAAGTTTGTTTGTTTGCACTTGAGTCAGTTAAATTTAAGACCAACTCAGGAATTTTTAATGAATGGTTGCAGTGGGCAGTGAAAGGGCAAAAGGTGCAGCATATACTTGACATCTGCTTCATGGTTTATAATTTAATACAGCTGTCCTGGAAAAAAAGTCTAGCTGCTGACTTACAGACTCCTGAAAACCACCAAAAGACACATCTGTTGGGAGGATGAAAAACTCAAACCAAACTGTGAATACAAGAACCAATTAACTCAAAGACGTAACTGTATCTCTTGTGAAAAGAAAATATTTAACAGCTTTTCATCTCAAGAGAACAGGCCCACAGAAATCCCTGGCAGAACAGCTTCTAGGGCTGTTTCAAAAAACAGAGAAACTGAAACATTACCTCCTCTAAGTTTCTTGTCCCTGCATTGAGTCCAGTTTCTGACTCAGAACACAAAATATTGTAATGCAGAACTCTCTAGACCTGCAGATGCGTACTTTCTGGGCCTACACTTTCAAAATTGAGATAAGTAGTCAGTCTGGTCTCAAATAAACATGGGGCAGTATACAGAATAGAAGCAGCTCTGGTGCTGGGACATTCTGGTGATTTACATTAAGTCTAGGCTGGGTATTAATTCTTTAAACAGTTCCTTACTTTCTTCTCTAAAGGTATGTTTTTGAAGACAGTTTTCAGTTCATGCTGTCCCAGGCTAAATAGACCTAATGTCTTCAATCCACTTATCTTTTTCCCCTCTTGTTCTCTGGTCAGTGTCTTCTTCACCTACAGTGCTCCAGCTTGCATACTGCTCTCCAAACCAGGCATCCTTTATATTGACTAGACCAGAAGAACTTTTTTGAAAACCTTCTAGATCTGTACATGTAAATAAGGTTAATCTTTTCATAGGAACATCACTTCTTTGCTTAGTTTGTGATCCTGCTCTGCAATACTGAGACCCTACCCAGTTGTTTCAACACCACTCCATGTGTCTTCTGAACCATAAACTGTTAACTGCTTTCCAAACTATTGTGTACCCACCTATTTTACCTCATTTGTGTTTCTCTTGCTTATACTGATGAGTATGACTTAAAACACCATTTCCAGAGTTTGCCTTCCTGGGGAAAGGCTGAGCATGTAATTGCTTCTGAGGCTGCTCTAGAGAAGCTTCCTCAGCTCCTCTTGATGTCTCACTTCTTTTCACAGTCAGAGTCAGCTAACTCAGCAAACTTACACGGCTTTGCATTGTCCCAGTAGGGCAATTACCCAAGAAATACTTAGAATCAGGGCTGACCTTTTCTGAATGAAGTTTGACGACAGAATAAAGATAAGACCAGTGGTTACACTGACAGTTGTGAGACTTAAGGAGGGTAGCATTAATTTATAAAGAAACTCACAGTGGTCTCCAAATTTTCTTAAGAGTAGTGACAGGTCTGACCTGGACAATGCTGTGATTTAAGAGCTGTGACCTGAATAGATACGTGCTTTTTTACCAGCTCAGTTAAGGCCATTAATAAGGATAAAACTCTAGTTAAAATATTGGATTAAAGGAAAACATGTCCTTTTAAATTTCCCTTAAGCAGAATGGATGCAACTGTTTAATAAGGTATCTGTATAATTTAATAATGTAATGATTTAAAGCAACCTACAAGTGATTTATAGCAGACAATGTGAATTCAAGGAAATCAAGCTGGCCATGCACTGCAGCACACCTACTGCTGGCTGATGATTTAGTTGTTTGGCTGTCTGCACCCTCCACTACTACCAGAATCAATTGTCTCACTGATTTAGCACATCATGGGGAGTTAGCTGTTCATATAACAGGAAAAACTGTTTTTGTATGTAGCCTTCTGGCTCCCACATCTGCTGTTCCCACATCTGTGATGTCTGAAAAGCAAGAACAGGGTGGCAAAGTTTGCTTTGCCACAGTTACCAGAGAGCAATATGCTGCAAAGCCCTCTTGGTTCAATTTAATACCATAATCCACTTACATAAAGAACACAAGCTGGAACCTTGGTCTTGGATACTTGAAGTGTATCAGACTTTCTGTACTGACTGGCACCTTTTATCATAATTATTTGTTACAAGTCACTGATTTGATGTCCTGAAACCTAAATGGTGTAGCATTCATGTCATAGACTACCTTGTTCAGTGAAGTCTACTCAGACAAATTAAATGGAGGGATATAATATTTTTTTAACTTATATTATCTTTATGTCTTACAATACTAATACTAATACTAATACTAATACTAATACTAATACTAATACTAATAAATAATGTTAAAAAAGGTTTTTGTAATATACCACATCTAGAATATGCTATTTTACCAAAGAGACATGTGGGAATCATAAATCAAAACAGAACAGTTATCTCCATATTTTTCCACTACACAGAAAAGATGTTTTCTCCTGTTAATCAGTATGCTGTGATGGTTAGAAAACAGTAATATGTTGTGACTTTCCTGAATAATAGCGAATATCATATGACCTACATACTGATGGGAAAGAGTTCTGGACATAACTTTTTCATAAAATTATGAACCATAATAAAAACACAAAACTGTAAAAAGATGCTAGGACATCTCTGTCTAATTCATTAAGAGCAATTTACTTTTTTTAAGCATATATATAAAAAGAAACAGTTACATATTCCATGGCTCAGCTTTTCACACTGTTCCCCTGGAGCAGTCATTCAGTGCTTGTTCAGCTTACCTTGCCAGCAAGTCGATCAACTCAAGTTTTGACATTCCATCAGGAAGTAATCGAGGAATAGCAGCAACACATGTTCTGAACAGATCAATTTTTGGCTTTCTTTCACCACTGAAAAATTTAAACAGAATTTTGACTAAGTTTAAGAAGGAACTGTGTTAAATAATCCACCTCTGAAGTGCCAGAGGCCTATTAAATACATTAGGATAGACAGAATATGAAATAAGAAGGAAACATGAATACATTTTTCCATTGAATAAATGGTTTCAATTTTGACATTTTTTATGTATCATATCTATACATTACTTGAAAAACCAATTATTAATGATTCATTTGTTTCTCTCTGAGAGGAACTGGCATATATATGAAAAATGGAGGCATAATGTAGGAGGATTTCTCCACCACAATCAGCATTTATATGATGCAAGCTTTGGATGAGGCAGTGAGGAAAGAGTTGGGGTGCTCTCCATCGTAGTGCAGCTATATTTCACCAGCTGTATAGAGCAAATAGCATATGTATAATTGATTCAAATAACACGACTGAAGGTCCAGAGATTTGTCCCCAACAGAGGGCAAACCTATGGAAAACCATCATGAAACATTTTTATACTGAAAAAGGTGTATAATTCAGAGGTAGGTACGGCCAGAGAGTTTCTGTTGATCACTGCCAGAGATAACAGCATTTTGGCAACTCTTATCAGCTAGAACATCTTTTAGCAGCTCTAAGGGTGTTCTAATCTGTGGAATGGCACAACTGTTCCCTAACAGCCTGCAAAAGTCATTAAGCACAAAGTTCAGCATGAACCAAACACCAGATTGGAAGTCTATGAGTCTTCTAAAAGTAGCCCAGGTTTCAGCTGTTGATTATTTTCAAAACAGATGCAGTTGTTTTCTGACTTGTTTCCACCTTTTTTGGTAAATCTGCAGATTAAGTAAATCCTTCAGATAGACCCCAAAGTGTCAATTTTTTTTTATTTGATCATTTTTATCTCAATCATCTAACAATGAACTGTAGAGGAAATTACCAAAGTGTAACAGCATTTCAAAATGTGCAGTCTTTCCCACAGTATTATTAATTATTAGCCTGTAATATGCTTTGGAAGGATCAAAAAAATTAGGTCCTATTTACAGTCCATATTATAAACATGAATAGAAAAATTGTTCCTCTTTTAATATGCTTCCAATAGAACTAGAAAAGAATGAGGGGGAAAAAAGACACACCAAGAAGTACCATAAGCTATTTAACACCACACTGAAATGGAGTGACAAAACAAAAAATTAACTTAGTCTTCCTGCACTCTGGTCCATTGCACTGGTTACTAAATTACTCTGTCTCTCCACCCAACAGAGGACATTGGATTTGGTATCTTACTTTTATGTTGAGTCACAGAGAAAGCCTGGATGCAATGCAGTCAGAAAGAAAATTTTCTGTACTCGTTAGTTCAGTGAGTAACACTGAGTACAGTTCAGTGAGAACAGAAAAGGCATCAACTGATATTAGACTTACTAAATTCAAAGATTAAAGACAGTTTTGTATTGAACTGTCTCTCAACATCCTACTTATCACTTGGACATACATTACATGAATAAAATGTTGACGTATTTTTAATTATCTGTTTTAATAGTACAGTTAGGAGAAACTATATTCATGATTAATTACCTTTGTCTCACTGTATCTGTATTCTAACAGATAGAACGTGAAAGGTGTTAGCAACTGACTGGAAAAGGAGTAAAATACAGTATCTGACTGAGAATTTGGTTATAAACAAATCCCTTTCAACTATTATCACTAAAGCAAATACTATCTGGATTAATAATTAGTGTAAAATCCTGTATTTTCACAGTTGTAAACATTAAAGTATCATTGGTAACTTTATCTGCAGGCAAACCAAGTCATCCCTGATGATTTGAAATGGAAAATGAACTCTACAGTTTCCTTATGCTCAGAGCCTAGCAAGGGCAAAGCTTGTGCATTTCAAATTGAGATTTGTAAAATAATAGTTTGAGAGGAAACTCTTCTGAAGGCAAATGAGCAATTATTTATAAATATAAAATCTGTGGGTGTTCTGTGGCTTATCGGCTGCTCAGAAGAGTAGCAGGAGAAGATCCAAACCTCAGGCTCAGGTTTCCAACTTACCATCTGAGCTATGAGGCGCAGCACACGAGGGAGGCAAGGGGAACCTTTGAAGTACTTGCAAGGACAGGTTTGTATTTTAGAAAAATGGATGCCCTATTCTAACTAAATGTTGGAAAGTAATTATAACCGGTACCAAAATTCATATCCCAGTGCAGGATGCAAAGGATGCTGCTTACTCAGAATTTTAATATGACCCTCCCTACTGGCATTTATTACTTCAACAATAAATGCTGAAAGGATCAGTAACTAAATATTGTCCAGAAGCAATCTAACACTGCCAAAAAAAATTCCAGAATCTGCATACTTTACAATGTTGTGTCTGCTCACTGCCTAGCTACTTCCCTCTGATTCTTATTTTATTTGTTAATAAAAATACCACTATGGTATTCAATTTATGCAGTTTGCACAAAAACTTTATGCAACTATGGCAAAAACAATAAATTCAAAATGTACATAAATATAGTGTGATATCTACCAATTAAAGCCCAAAGAATTAAAAATAAATATGTAACTATAGTGAAGCATAGAGTTCTGTGAATAGAATGGGAAGCAATTACATAAAAACTATGTTGGCTTTTCCACATATCCACAATACAGTTTTTGAAAGGATCATTTTCAATCCTGATAGTAACAGCTACTTATGTTTCTTGTGAGTTCACATGATTTTATATCAACTGATAATTAAGCATCCCAGATATTTTTTTTTGCCTTGAAAGGCAATACAAGTAAAAATGTGTTATAATGTGGCTTGCCTTTCAAGTGTATATATTAAATTAGAGCTCATCTGGATATAAAGTACAACACAAATGACAGCAACTTTTATGTCTAAATATCCCAATCTTTATGTTTCTGACAAAAGTTACTATCAAATCTTAAGATGTCCTGAAATTTAAAACTCTTTTGAGCCTATTTGTTCGCTGACTCTAAAAATAAACAACATTTTGGTGATGCTGAGAAACCACTCAAAGGATATTTATAGCAAAGATTAAGTACACTTCTTGTCTTAGTGCCCAAGGTTTCACAGTGCAATTATCTTTTGGGAATAAAATGTGAGTTTCAAAATTCACTTTCCCTACCACAAAGCCTGAATACCCAAAATGGTTATGAAAACTGGGTGTGAGAACTGGACTTGGGGTAGGACTACAAGAAAAATATGAAACATTATTGGATAGTAATACTGGCTACAGATATAAATAAAGTAAGACAATGTTGGTGACACAGTCTCACCTAGAGGCACTGCAACAAATAAGGGAAGAGCAACAAAAACATAAAGATTGTATCAGTTGTACAAAGCAGTTCAATTTGGCCAGACACTGCAGTCAGTCACTCACAGTATTCCTAGCAAGTTGACTTTTTTGGGCAGTAAATATAATATATCTCAAAGAGACCAGCACCCTTTTCATTACACCTCAAACTTTTTTCCAGGGGTTGTTTCTTTTCTAGAATAATGACCATGTCCACTGCTCTAACAGGAAAGATATGCAAGGTCTCCTTAAAGTTGAGATCTCTACAATTTCTGCTCTGCATGTATCAGATGATGTCTCTGTGTCTCTAACCTCTACTTGATGTTTACCTCACCAGAACTCTCCCCAGGAAACTTCCCTCACTAATAACTTTGGATGAAAGTGAAAAATGGTGCTGTGCTCAATGCAGCTTGAAGCACACTGGTTTGATTCTGTTCCAGTGGGATACTGCTTAAATCCAAGCCTTATCACAAGATTATTTGGGTTTTTAATTAAGATTTGATTTTGATTACAGGCATGAAAAGCAAAGGGAATTTTGGAATACTATTATTAATAGGGATTTACAGAATCCATTGCCTTCATTTTGAAGTTCAGTGATGCAAATATACTCTGAGACAGTGTTCTGAGCACAGGCTGCCACATTTTCTACTTCAGCATTCTACTTCTACCATCTAAACAACCACAGGATTCACGCATGATTTTACCTACATCAAGAACGTCTTCAGTTCCAAACATTAAAAGAAGCACCATCAACTTGTCTTAAACATTTTTTAAAAGTATATACTAATTAAGCTAAATGTTCCTGTTTCTTGCTGTTTCTCTGATGACTCATGACAGACAGAAATAGAGAAAAAAGTTCCAAAATTACATCTCCATGTTTCATGGGAATTAGTGTTCCTTAGCACTCACGTAATCATGTCTTCAGGTTCTTTGTTGAGCATCTGTATGTTGGTTAGCATCATGCACCGACCCACTTCCTTGTCAAGGTGTCTGAGTATGTTGTCCACAGCTTTCCTGACTTGAGAATAATATAATGACATACCTGCAAAAATATGCATTTTTGTATAATTTGGAATATTTATAGGTACATATATATATTCTGAAAGGAAAACTTGCTTACTCATGCTGTGGTGCATGAAGTAAGAAAAATGCTTTCCTCATGAGATAGAATGTTCCACTACTAATGGTATCCTGATCCAAAACCAGAATGTGTTGCCTGCTCCGAAAGGAATGCTTACATATTATACATGGAAACTGGAATACTGGATTATAAAATAGGAATGAAATGGCTAATACAAGAATTCAATAGAGCAAACATTTGTTAGAATTCTTTTCAGAATAACCTACGAAAAACAGCATTTGTCAAACTGAACCACACATTTCATTAGAACACACAATGAATTAAATGCTTATAGTACAAAAATAAATCCAATACTTAACAATGATAAATGATTGTGCTCAAGGGCTGAAAACGTGTACACATCCATTCTCACATAAAATTCTCTACTGTCCATTCTTTACTGACCTATCATTTTAGCTTCTTCCTCTGTAAGAGTTTTGCTCAGATACGTTTTCTTCACTCTGAGAGTGTTTCCAGAGGGAAGGACAGCTCCAGTCACTGGCATTGGCGGTTCACCATCTTTTTGCTGCAAGCTATCAGCAATTACCAAGAAAGCTCTCAGGCCAATATTCATTCTCTGTGAAGTTTAAAAGATGGATGAGTATCATAAGCAAATAATCATATTCTACTCATATTCTTCATTCACTTTGAAATTTTGAGAATGCACTTGCTGGCATTTTTTTTTTCTGCATCTTCATTACATTAACTAGTCTGATACACTTCACAAAAACTGCCCATAAAATAAATAGTGAATTCTTATCTCCACTGTGAGCAAAACTTTAAGTATTCTCCCCTCTCAGATCTTTAAGTACTTGCATTAGCACATTATCTTTTTATCTTCAGGATAAAACACCTGGATATGCTCTGTAGTGTAGCAATGCATCTTAAATGGACCTTCAGTTAAACAAAAAACTACCTACATCTGTTACGAAAAGAAAGATCAATAACTGTCTTGAAAGGCCCCAGGGTTAATCACACTGAGAGAAAAGTCTGGAATGATGCTCAATGCCAAAACTACAATGTGAAAATATTAGGAAGATGAATCTAAGTGACCTGAATGCCTTCTGGGAATGCACCAGAGGAAAACTTGCAAGCTTTGCATTGCAGTGATTGAAAGACTAGAATGTTTTCAATTTCTCTGGAATGTGTTCCAAAAACTGAGAGGCTGTCCTACTGACAGCCTCCCAGAGATGCGTTTACACACATTATGGGGATTTTTTTTTTGGAATGCTAAAGTCTATGTACATAAAAAAGTGGTGCTATAATTTCTTTATTTTCAGACCTACAATGTTGTTGAGAAACAGTAAAATTTCAGACATTGATTCAACAAAAAGCTAAGGATGATGTCCACCCCCTCTCAGCTGGGCTAGCACAAAATGTCCTTTGTAGGACCTTTCTCAGTCAATGCTGCAGGTGGCTGACCCAGAGCATGGTGCGGACTGCCCGCTCAAAAATTGTTTCATTCTTTTTTACTCTGCTACAGAAAGATGAAAGCTGTGTTCAAAGTAAAGCTTGCCTTTCATTTTTCCTGCTTTTGACAGTAGAAAGTTTAACCTACTTTTCCACATTTTTTGTAGCCAATATAATTTGTGCAAGGCAATCACTCTATTCTAACATCTTAGTGAATAGAGACAAGAATTTAATTCTGCAAGATTAATACAGACATTTTTTATGAGTGGATCACAAATTATTTTTTATTTTGTCTTAATTTTCAAAAGAAAAAAATTTCAAAATTTTAAAGGAATTGCATAGTTTCAAGGTTTTTTTTTATTCTTTAGTACTTATTTATATTTTGATTTTTTTTGAAAATTTTTTCAAATTTCTGATTGTTTTCTCTAGGAAAAGCATTAGGAAGCTGACTCATGACACCAACACCACTGGAGCTTTGCTGGTCAGAGGGGTAAAATTTCATTTGACTGTTTTCTTTTTCAAGCTTTCTTGCATCATGTACTCTCAGTAAAATTGTTTTGAAAAACATTGACACTATTACAGAAAAATTAGTGTTATATTAAAATAGTTTAAGGCATTGCATGTAACAACAGCAGAGTGATAAGGGCATACTGTGACCAATAGTTTTATTTATACTTTTCTTTTTCTTGTACACATTTGCACAAGTTCACATTTGATATTCTTCACTGAGAAAACATCAGAAAGTCATAAACAATGTGACATATTACAGATAGAAGTTCACAGATGTATTTTACCAATAAATCAGATTCAATATTTGGCCTGAAAACTGGACAAATGTGAAAGCATACTTAGAAGGTAACCAGGAAGTAAATGCAGCACAATATAATGCATACTAACTATTAAATAAAAAAAAAAAAAAGCAAAAAAGTGGATGTACATCATACCTCAGGGTTGAGACTGAAAGCTTTTGCTGGTTTTCCAACACAAAGAAAGTCAAAGATAATTTCTTTCATTGCGAAATCTAAACGTTCCTAAAATAGCAAAAATACTGCAAATCATTAAGCTGCTCCCTTATGCTAGTTATTTTCATTAAGGCTACAGAATGCTGAAACCCAGTTTAATCAAAGTTTATTGAAATACACGGAAAAACCAGATTTTCAGAAGTACGTAGAACATATTACCAGATCTAAGCTTTTAACAATGCTTTATATTGACAAAATAAAAATTGTATAGCATTTAAATAGAAAATGATCCATTTCAGAAATACAGCTCTTAATTATTTCATTTAAACTGCAGTAATTATGGCACTAACACAGTATTTTACATAAAGAGAGCTGTCTTCACAGATGGCACAGTTAAGGGAAGATTTTAAGCATCTGTTTGCTTCATTTCTACTCAGAGACTTTAAGTATGTGCTTAAGTGCTTTGCTCAATGGGAAAATCTTCTGACTTTAAGTCATAAAAGAGATGGAACTTCCAGCACTGGAAGTTAGCCTATTTTAGCAGTTCCCATTTGAACTGATGAAAACTGTATCTGTCAACTCCATGCTGAACTTGGTTGACATCTGACTTACTGCTTTGACGGCAGTGCAACTTATTGTTCTACACAGCAGGGATGATTCAGTATCAGGATGAGACATGGCCTATTATTTTCAACTTTATTAACAGTCAGAATGTGTCAACAAATTAATTTTTTGACTTGCTGGAAATTTTAAAAACTGACAAAAATTACATGTGTGTTGAAATGAACTCTATTAATTTTGATCTGTATTCAGTGGAATGAGGTTAATCAAAACCTGATTCCACTGAGCCCCAGCTCAGTCTATAATTTCATCATTCTCTGGATGAAAGTTAATGTCAACAGGGTTGCAAAAAATTCAGTCATTAGAACTTTACTTATGTATTAATTTGGTATTGGGAAAATAAGTTGTTCATTATATGGAAAGATAAATGCATGGCTCTCCCATACCTGTGCAATAAACTGTATTATCTTCACAAAGATGTTTAGAGGCATATCTCTTGGCACAACACCACGGGACCCTTTTGGGAAAAGGGTTGTGACAATAGTAATAAGTCGACTGCAAAAGAAAAAGGAACATTAGACATTTTTGGACCTTGCAGACTTTCATTTAGCATGACACTCCATTTAGAAAGACCAGAAAAAAACTTCCTTTGAACTGAAAATGTAATGGGGTATCTCATTCTGATCCTTTGCTATAAATTCAGTGCAATTATTTTATTTCATTACTGCATTACAAGTAAATTAACCAGTCAGTGGCTACTACAAAAGGATTTTAAACTTACACTGAACAAGGAGTGACTTCTAATTTTTCCAAAAGCAGAAACACTTCATACAGCAATTTTCATTGGTGACAGAGTAACTGACAGTGCTACAAGAGGGAATATTTTCTTGTGTACAGTTACATTTCTTATTTCACAACATGAATAGGTTCAATTTGAGTGAATTCAGGAGAACTGTAAAACCTCCTCACTGGCAACATCCACTCTACAATGGATTTTCATTACAAATAAAGCACTTTACCTTTGGGTAGCTGTGTTGCTTTCACATTTAATTCTGATCATGTAAACCCACAGTAGTCTGTACAGAGATTCCAGTGCAACTCGAGCCATTTTTGGGTCCTTATTCTAGAGAAACATACCACATATGAAAAAGCTTCAGGCACAAAATAGCAAGGAAGTTCTACACTTAATAGGTACCAAGGTTCAGCATTTTGATAATGAAACTACAAAAAGATAGAACCTCACAGCTGCTCAGTGCTCCACTCCTGGAGCCGTAGGATGCTCATGCATCCGACCTGCTTCTGTTTCAACATGAGCTGTTGAAAAACTCAAGCATCAAGTTTGTTAAATTAGATATATGTTAAAATTTAAAATCTCTGAAAACACCCACAACTTGACTGTGAAAAGAAAACCTCCTATTCAGTAGATTACATCAATTCAAAAGTTGTTGCTCTATGGTGGAGGCCTGGTATGAGAACAAATAAAGGAATGTACCACATACTCAAAAGTGAAAGGAAAAAAATCTGTGGATGCTTAGGCTGGCCAAATTAACATGGCATTCGCGATCAGCTGGACTGGATTGGTTCATCTGCCTGGATTGCTGTTTATTTTTAGAAACTAGTACAGGATTGTCTTTGGGTCTCTTCAGTCATATGCAGTTTTCTGTTTCTCTGGCAGTTGAAAGGGCTGTCTGAGTAAAAAACAAGTAAGCGCAGTCCAATCAGATGGTCTCCCGCATGTTGAGCCATCTGCTGGGTTAAATTTTGAAGGAGTCCAGTACACTTTGACCTGAGATAAGGTTTGCCTGGCCCACAGGGCAAATCTCCATGGCAAAAATCTGAGATATTTTGGGTAGACAAATGTTGAGTCACAGATCAAAGACTGTGGTTTGATCAAAGAAACTGCAGCCGATGCCATCAGTAATTCCTGAATGTGTATTGGTCTTGGTCCTGCAAAATGACGGGAAGACAATTTCCCAGTGTTATGGGAGATGACTTCAGCTTTCAACGTGGCATCTGTCAGAAGCTTAGGAACAGAAACAGTGTTTTTGGGCTCTAATTTCCACTCAACACACTGACAACACATTTTATGCAATGAAGTTTTATATGGACAAAACACTGAATATATATTTTTTGTTTATTATAGGAGCATACAGTGGTTGTCCCACAGGTTTAGAGTAAGCAGTGAAAGGAATGCCAAAGTTTATTTGGCACATTAATCTGTGCAGGATTTTTAAATAATAAAATTTGTTACAATCAATTTGTTTATTAACCTGTTTACTTTCAATCCATTTTTCATCAGGTATAATCTTGTCAGTCCTTGTACAATTCAGACCTAAGAATTTTATTTCTTCAACAGGTGATGAAGTACATTTATCAAAACTTATTTTTATTCCAAAGCTTTCAAGGAAACAGCAGGCTGTGGCTGAGTTAAGGTACAAGAGGCTGTGCAGCAGAGGAGGAAGCTATCTGTTAGCAAAACCAAATATCCCAGTGATTAAATAGTTAGCTGTGAGGGCCATTGAGAATCAGGGAGGAGAAAAGGGCTGAGACCAGCATCATTGGAGTTTTCAGAGAATAGCAGACCAGCTTTTTGCCAGAACAGCAAGTTGCATGGCAGAAACAGGATTAAGAGGAAGATGACAAAAAGCCTAAGATACATCCAGGGACATTATGGGCATGTCCATTAGCAAGATCTGTCAAAGTTCATGGTGTTGATCTGCACATCTCTCCCTCTAACAGATTTTCTGTTCTTCCTCCAGCTGTGTGAGTTTGGTTTGGGTTTTGAGGTGCCAGCCTGTCTGGTGAAAAGATTGTTTCAATGGTTGGGGTATCTCTTTCTCTGTACTGGGAAGGAGTGGCCAACCATTTTCTTACTTAAGCCATGTATTCAGCTATCTTACTTTCTCCTCAAAGTAAAGACTGAATTAGTGCCACCACATTAATCTGAGAGCTCTGTAAACTGAGGTATATATCAATGAATTACAGGTTGCAAAATTTTATTTTCAATCAGTAAGATAGGACCAACTTTTCTTACATTTTCTCTGATGGTTTCAAATAATTTGTCTGGATCTCCATAATTTTCAGAAAATATACATTCCCACCTGGCTTTGCCTTTTCTGAAGCTTGTACAGCTGCATAAAACCCTCTAAAATTAGTTTCAATAACAACATGCTTATTTTCTAAATCTCTTTGCAGGTCAGATTCTAATGCATTGTCACCAAAAGTAAGGTATTCAGGTACTGGCAGAAAGAAACCTTCAGGGAGACTGAACAGTCTGAAGAACTATTCTAACAGGAGGATCCACATGAAGAGAATCAATACAAATTGTTTCATTAGGACAGAGGGGAAGCACAACCAGAAAGCAACATCAAAAAAGCATGTAATAGATACCTTTTGATAAGCTTGAGAACTCAACTTTTGGAGAAAAGATATTTGTCTCTGAGCTGAGAAAGTGGCTGAGATGTGAAGTTCGTGTGAAGTTTGAAGCGTGTTGTTAGAAGCAGCCTCCTAACAACTGGTTCATCAAGACACAGTTGCGAGACCCTTCATTTGCTCTAATGACTTCACTGTGGATATTTTTCCCTTTTCAGGTGGGCACAGGACCATCCTTTCACAGGCATGCAGTTTGAGCATGGCATGGGACACAAGGTATTGCAAAAATAAAAGGCACTTGAAGGAGCAGTAATGATAGCTAGCACATGTGCACTGAATAGTATGTGCAGCCTGAGAACCACAGCAGATTGCACTGAAAATCTAACCTTAAACCTCAAAGATCTAACAAATGGCAAATGCATAAGAATGGCTACATGGAGGAAAAAAATTGAAACAGTTTAGGGTTTTTGTAAGGCAAACACTTAACATGTGTGAAACAAGCAATGGAATCAGCATCCTACACGTAGTTCCATTTTGAAAAAGTAATAACAAGCTCATGCTTCCAAAGCTTTTGTGAAAAAAGCAAGTTATTACTAGGTCAGTTTTGGTATGTTACTCAACCTAATAAATTTCATCAGCATTTTTTTCTTTTTCACAGGTGTTAGACTGAGGCTTGGTTTGAGTTAGAGAAGTAGAAATTCAGACTTGGCCCAAGAATACTTTTTTGCTATTGAAAAAACATGCACAGATAAAGAACATGTACTGTCAGGAATAAAATTATGTATGGAATCAGATAATAGCAATAAGTCAGTAGATTTACCTAAAAAGGCTATGCAACAGATCAACAGTGCAAACTGAAGTCTGAATACAATATCAAAACCAGGAGATACTAACCTTGAGATTGGAAAGGCAGTTGTTGAGGAAAATATGCCATCTGTTTAAAAAGAACTGCTTCTGACTGACACAAAGCAGGCATGTTACCAAGGGGTACAAAGCCTAAACAGGAAATGGATGTCGATACAGTGTTATTTGCATGTCTACACAACACAAAACTAACTTAATATAGACATTGTAAACTTGAAGATCTAACTCCTCCATTTTGTGCAACACAAGTTAGTCAACATAAACACATTAGTAAGTAGTACTATTTAATAGGAGCCTTCTCTAAAGCTGTTACAGGTACGTTTCATGGATGATCTATAACCGACCAAATGTGTACTCATAGCAGTGTAAGATAGGGAACAATTTTACAATTTTACACAGGGCTAAGTTCTGTCAGTTTACTGAGAAATAAAAGCATGGAATTAACTAAACTTTATTATTATAACAACAGGACCCACAGAGATGGTTGGAACTTGTGAATCAGATGACTATTGCTCCTCAAAATCTGCAGTCACAATATTTACCGAGAGACATGTCAAACGCCCAAAAGAATTGTGTTAAAATACAGAGAATGCCTGGATCTGCTGGGAGTTAAAGCTTGTGAAGCGAAAAATAAAAAGAAGCAAAGCAGAACATAGAATTTGACATACCAGAACCCAGTCTCTTTGTCAACACTCACTTTAAGACTTGTAAATGTTGCACTAAAAAATAAGCTAAAATGCACCTAATGATTTTAAAACTGACTGTGCTACTTCAAGAAGACTAAAGTTTCAGTTCTAATGCTAATAAACCAATTTAGGACATAAAAGGTGTTAGTCAAAAATATGGTAATGTTCATTTTAACATGAATTTTTCTAAAAATTACCTCTAAATTCTAACTTCAGTCACAGCTCATAGTATAAACACATCATAAAACTCAGCTTCTGTTCCAGTAACATGCAACATAAACATGTCTGTAGCTAGGTTAATTTCTTGAGCAAATGGCAAATGTACGTTACTTTTTATTTTTATAATCTTCATGTCATATGGGACAGGACAACTGAAGTCTTCTCACAAAAGACCTTCTTACTATACAGTTGAGTATTTGATTGGATCACAGAGTTTAGTAACATTCCAAGAGTGTTAGAACCCATCTTAAGGAAGATCCCTAGGAGGGAAAATAAACCATCTCCTGGAATTTTCTAATTCTCTCTATTCACTACTAAGAGAACCTTAATGACTAGCTCATATGAGGTACTTTTAGATAGAACACGAAGCAAGATGAATTCTCCCATCCTGTCTGCACAGCGAGTGCATGGATTCACCAAACACTGATCTTGGTTCTGTTCAGACTTTAAGGAGTGTGCTTTCCTCCTGGAAGCCTGGAAATATGCACTGCAGCTATTTCTGTCAACTGTTAGCCTTTCCCCTCCTCCTTCTCCTTGCAATGTTTGTATTTCTAATCACACCCTCACAAGAATCTATTCTATTTTGTCACTTTTAACTATGTAGCCGCCAGTGTGGTATGTGTAGACAAGCAATCAAATGCAAAGGCCCAGCTGTGCAATCCTTTCTCAAGAATGTAGTATTGACTTTGGCAAGTATGGCCACAGTTTGTGAAGCTCTATTTAATGTAAAAACTGTACAGAAAAGCTGTACCCTGCTGCAGCTCCAACAATGTTTTATTAACTCAGTAGAGTGGAACAGAGCCACACAAACGCAAGCAGAGTAAAATCAGAAATCCATCTCAAGCCTCCCACTAACACAAACTGGATCAGGACTGTGCCCCAGGGGATGCTCTGGCTGTCCCCTGGGAATGCTGTAACAGGCAGAGAGCTCAAGCACACTCCTGCAGTCCTCCCAGCAGTTTCACTAGCGCCAATGACCAGCATTTGCCGAAAGAACTGGAAACAGGGAAGTCTTTTTGACTTTCCCCTAGAATGAGGGAGGACAAATGACAAACTTTCTTTACTTAAAAGATCCAAGACTTCAAAATGAATTAGCTAATGCCACACTGCTGACGGGCGCTGACCCAGTTGGAGAGACAGACCGCTTAAGGCAGCCAGCATCAAACTGACTCAGATCCTCATTTAATTCAGATCAACTCATGATTCCAAAAATACACTGCAGTGCCACTGTTCATCTCACACACACAAAAAATGAAATAGGGAGCTACACAGTAGCCAAGTTATGTATTTAAAAGGGCATGTGTTATACATTTTTTCCTTCCTACAATGTTTTATTTAAGCCCCGTGAAAGAGTTGTTCCCACATGCCTCATTTGTTCTCACTTGACAAGAAGTGAACTCTATTCTTCCTCCTCTTCTCCTAATGTTTACACATAACAACTATGAGAAAACCTAACCATTTAATAATCACAGAACCAGAAGCTGACAACATATTTGATTCAGACTAATTTAGATCATATTATGAGTAAACTAAGTACAGTTATTTTCTCCAAACACAATAATCTGTCCTGCAATTAGAAATGTATTCGTTATAGCCAAACACAAATAAAACATTTTGCAATTTCCCAAGAGTCTTGCTCAGAAATATTTGTGACAAAGAATTTTAACCTCTGCTTCTTAGGGTTACTAACCAATGAGTGTTTCTTTCGTGATGAAAGTTCAAGCGTTGTATCATACAGGCTTTCAACAAAGTTCCTCAGACAGGGGACATTCACTTCATTTTTAACAGCCTGAAAGAAAATTTCGTGTTAGTAAAAACCTATTTCACAAGCTGTTTTATCTAATTTTAATAATTATGCAAACAACACAAAAAATAAACTCACAGCAGCTACGGGGACAAGAATTTCAACAAACAGTCCTGCCAGTGCATGCTTGATATCTTTGTCTTTAACTTCAAGGAAATAATGTGCACATTCCTAAATAAAAAAATAAAAAATACAAGAAACATAAATTGCGTATCAGCTGGAATAAAGACCTCTGAATGTTTTCTGAATGTGTATCACGTCTCAGTGACTATTTTTATTCTGTAAATCCCACTGAAAACATTTGCCTCTTAACTTCTAAATCTGCATTTTGCAGCAAGCACAAAGCAGGACATAAGTCAAGATCAAGGAGCTGTTACTCTAATCCAGAAAGTCTCCACTGACTCCAGCTGTGCCTGGTGGTGTGTTTTGGACTGGAAATGGAATTGGACTCTGGGGCTGACCTCATGCCTTCCCTGTGTGTATCTTCAGGAGCAAACCTAATAGTCAACATGGACTGCTTTACACAACGCTTTGAGAGGCCAGAAAAGGAATGTAATTCTCTGGTAAGATACACAGGGCAATGAACAATCTTATTGTAAATATTTTTGGATGAATTTCATTGCTAGGATTTGTTGCATATTGAGGGTCAATATGGAACTGTGCTACGTGAGGACAATTTCCAGCCTGCAACTGGGGATTAAGAAAAAAATAAAAACAGACTTTGTCCTAAATATGCAGTGAACTACTCTCCAGACAGCTGTGTTGCTCAGGAAGTGAGGGAGGGGAGATAAGCATCCACCCATTTGTGTGTACAACTTCTCTGAGGATGACAAATCTTACTGCCCCAGTTTTCTCCAGGTTCAAGGCCCAAACAGCCCCTGACTGTATGAGGAAGGCTCCACTGACCATTTTTCCTTCACAGTCATGCAGAGCAGTTTACATTCAGACCATACATATTTTTTTCCTGTGTGCTAACAGGATTATACAACACATGGCTTCAGACACTCCAGCCAGCCTCCCTGAGATGCTTCTGCACTCTTGGGGAAGACAGGCTGTTCTGGAGCTCACTCCTGAAAATAGCTCACCCTCTGAAAGCATCTCTCTCTACTACAGCAGCACTGGTGTGACAGAGGTTTTAGATGAAACACTGCGTGGAGATACTGAAACAGACAAACTGCCCAAAGAGTTGAAATGTACTTCACCAAACTGAGCAAACGAGGTTTTCCTACAGGCACAATGATTCTTACGATGCAGAGGAGTAAATATAAGAATTTATTTAGTACTGAGATATTGTAGCAGGGGAAGGTAGAGATCAAAATTTCAGTTTTACTAGGCAGGAGTCTTACCACAGATTTTAATAGCAGTGAACACTGGATAAAGCTGAGCCACAGCCCTATTCACACAAGTCAAGTGCACTGAACACACATCACTTTGGTATTTTGCCAGTTCTGGATAACTTAAACTGACACATACTAGTATGTGTCTACATAATTAAGAGTAAGGTAAGAAGAAAAATTACACATTTCTGTGTTGTTAAATTTATCTTAAATATGCTATTAAATATGGTTTAAAATGTATTGCAAAGCTGAAATACAATGTTCTCCCCATACAGGACATAAAAGAAAAAGCTTTGCGTGTCTGTATGCCTATATATTTGTATTCCAATCCTAAATCCTTACTTGACAGCATCTAACACTGATTTTTTTTCTCCATTTACACCATCAATACATTAATCTTTACATGGAGGTATATATAAAACATTTATTGTACTGGATGAGTGGCTACACACCATGTAACCATGTGGGTCATCCCAAGAAAAAACAGGGGAATAGAAAGATTAAGCTAAAGAAACCTGTGGGAACAAAACCGATTGTACATTACCAGCAAGAATGCTGAAACATGAAATAGTTTCTTGCCTTTTACAAGATGATATAATCTCTTAATTTAAAGCATTCATTGTAGTCAAACTATGCACTGTACTAGTGATTTTTAAACCAGGAGGGTACAGAGTGCACTCTACAGCAAGCAGGGTGAAGGTGTGGTGGAAGGAGACAACACATCCAAAGGAAATTCTATCCAGCTTTTGCAAGGGAGAGCTGTGGGATAGCGGGATGGAAGGGCTGGGGTCTACAGAACAAAACCTCTTCTAGCTGGAGGGTGAGGTGTAGGGACTAGAGGAATATGACTGATGAAGTGGGACGACACACTCCAGGGACCAGAGCACTGAGGGGTTCAGAACAAGCTGAAAGTAGCTTCACATAGGTTTATGTGGAAATGACATATGGAAAATCTAGAATATTACATGGAAAATAAAGGCTAGCCCGTTCAAAAAGGCCTGGGAAACCACAGCTATATACTTAAGAATTTTACCTGCATAAACTGAAGAGAAGCTTCAAAGTCCTCCACAGGATACATCTTAATGCGAAAGAATTTCATTCCCATTATAAGACTGATAATGCTTTGAACTACATATGGGCTTTGTTCTTTGTGCCGCAACTCTTTTAGCTCTGCCATAAATTTCTTCTTTACAGCAGGAAATCTAGGAATTCAGATTGGTTAGTTCTAAAAAGTTCAAAATCAATATTTGAAATGCATTGTAAGGTATATCAATTGGGAAAAACCTAAAGAAGATAAAACTTAGGTTGTATAAAATTGAAAAATTAAATTAAAATAAAAAATAAAATAAAAAATACAATTAATATACCATTTCACTCAGTATTTGAATAGTTTTTTTTTTGTTTAGCTTTCTTTCACTTCTAATAAACTGAGAAAAGGAAGCATATAGATGTGGTTTTAGATAACCACATCTTTCAAATTATTTTATTACCATGCACCTCTTTTTTACCTCATAAGAGCTAACAGTATCATTTAAATAACCCTTTCAAATGTTTTTCAAAAATCCATGATGGAAAGATAGCTATCTTGCAAGAACATGCAATATTTTCAAAAGAAAATGTTTATATTATAACCCTGAAAATACTCATACAGGCAGTTTGTACCTTCAGTTTTTTTTCCTAACAGCCATTACAGTAAGACTTAGGCATTAACAACTACAGTAACTTGAGGTAGGGGGCTCTGTGATAATTTTTGGTCTCCCTCATGAATTTATTGCAGGTGTCTTTGGAGAAACGTTGTCCATCAAAATGATAGCTAGAAAGAGCACCAAACAGGACCTCTTGCCCTTTTTGCGACAAAATGGAAAGAATGTAATTTTCACGGTAGGCGAAGCATGTAACATTTTGTTATCCCCTTTGATAGACAACCCAAGTGAACTGAAAGAAACAGGTTAGCAGGAAGAAGCCCTTCAGTCATAGAAACATCTTAGCAAGGTGCTTCAGAACTTTGACATCTTGAAGCTTTGGGTCCAGATGCAACTTCTCCTTTTGCATTTGACCCAGCAAATTTAGAGGCCCAGGTAAGACCTTAGCTGAATTGATATGATTTCCAGAATCTCAAACAGTTTTCGCCACATCAAGCCAAACTGACTGGATTTGCAGAGCTGAGACTCACTCTCATCAATGCTGAAGTGTCAGGAGACAGACAGCATTGCATCAGGGCAGTAAAATTCATCCTCTGCTTAGTTTGTGGTTCAAGTGTATAATGAAATGCTATATTGGGTATATGAGATCCTGAGTTTAACTGTTTTCAGGTTAAAAATTTAAGATCTGACCCACAAAGTGTTTTATGTCATCTGTTCTAAGAAGGATGAAGGGTTCAGAAGGAGATACATTAAGTTCAGAGCTGAAATAGCTGCAGAGCCTTAATATTGTTGCTATGTAGGAGGATAGCCATTTATAGGTTTGCCCAGTTGAAGAAAAAAAAGCATCTACAAAAAAAACTAGTTAAAATAGCTCTCTTCAGCCCTTTGGGCTTTCACAGACGTCATTGCTGAGATAGGAAAAATAATGCTGCTGTAGTTGAGTTGAGTTTACTCAGTATCACTGGACTAGATGCAGAAAGCCTGGGATTCCCTAGAGGCCTATGTTCTAGAACATCTGGATAAACAGAAGGCCAATGAACTGAAATGACTTATTCCTACAGAATACTTAAAGAAAGTAAGAAAACCACAATATTCACATGCTAAGCAAGTATACTTTGTCATATCTATGAAGGAAATAATATATTGAATTTTGCTTACTTTGCTTGAGCTAGAACACCTATTACTTCTGCATACAAATCTGCAACAATGTGCATATTGCCAGTGTTAGGACCAAGGTACCTAGCAAGAGACAAGAAAGAATTCTCAGCTGAGAAAACATACTGTTTAAGCCACAACTATTAAAAAAAATAAGAAAATATCTTTTTCATAGAATTTTTGCATGGAAAAGATTCTTACCCTTCTTTGTACTTAAAGTGCTTGAAAGCCAAGTTAATAACATCATTCACCAAACTGTCTATTACAGGATGAAGTGGAATCTGAAAACACAACATAAAATATAACAAGTACACATATATTACACTACTGCTAATATTACTTGTGGATTCCATCCATTCAGAAATATATAGGTTAAAATAGCATGTAGCTAACAAAATAGCTAAAATGAGCCAGATGTTTAATGTTTATTTAGTTTTGAAGAAAAATACTTTAGCTCCAAAGACTTGGCAAAGTAAGGTTTGTATCAGCACAGAATGCTATGTATCATACAGGTGCATGAAAGACAGCAATGAAGAAGCATGCAGGATGTAATTCATGTTTTTATTATAATCTTAAAGATGCAAATAGAAGAATCCCAAAATTCAGTTGCATTGGTAATTCCCATTATTTATTAAAGGATAATTTAAGAACTCCTACCTGTTTCAAAACTTCTATTAATACTAAAGAAAAAATAAAATCAATAGCCAGATCTCTTCTCTCCATTAAATAGTCCCTCTGCTGTTCATCACTGCAAAATCAAACCAAGAAACACAATATTTTGGAGAAGTGTTATAATTCACATTACACGTCTTCTTCAATTACACAAATAAAGATAACAGGGAATTGTGTTCTACCTTTTAAACTGCATTCCAGCATTTCAGAAAGTAATGTACTGTTATGCTCTTAAAATCAGAGATAAACAGACCAAATCTAATTTGCTAATGTGATGGTCTTTCAAATGCTTAAATATCACTTATCCATTTCCTCCCTCTTTTTTTTTTTTTTTTTCCAGTTAAAGATCCACAACAATAAAAAGCAAAACAAAGCCAAGGAAACTTTGTGGATTCTGTATTCTAAGAAATGGATTTAATTTCAAATTCTTTGCTGATGACAACATTTAGGACATTCTCAGTTACACTTTGGAGGCAAATGTAACAGTGTACTATCAAATTCATATTTAGACTTGCCATGAATTTTGAAAAATGCCTTAAAAACACCACTGGAGAATTCACAACCAAAAGGTATTATCTCTTAAAAACTGTTCCAGTGTTGATTTTTTAACTTCGGCAGCACTTGTCAAACTTTTCAAACACATTTCTTGTACAGGACAACACAGAGGAATAAAAGTCTGAGGTGAATAGCTTCCAGTAAAAGTACCAAAAAATACCTATTTGAATCAACTGATCAAAGTTTTAAAGTGTACTGAAAAGATAACATGAAATATACAGTACCTTTTGTAAAACTAAATGCTAAAGAAAGAGTTCTGCAGTCCATTTGAAGCATTTAACATTAATTCAGTGAGATTTTTGTGTAAATTCAGCACAAAAAAACACATAAGAGCACATTTAAGAGTACAACTTGATCAGTGATGAAGCAAGTTATTTGCATTTTGGTTTCCTTTGGTTTTACATTAACTGAAGAAAGGACTTGTTATACATTCTTTCTGCAACACTACCAATTGACAGAGTGGTCTTGTTTCATCGCTAAACTGACCTTCAACTAAATTTTGGGTGGAGTTCCCAAAGACAGCTATTTATGAGCAGGTAGTCGTGGAACAAGTTGAGAGAAAGAGGCAATTCAAGGCAAGGATTCATCTCACCCAAAAGCAGACATCTGATTAATGAACTGTATCTTCATCCTGCCTACTTCTACTGACATAAAGAGTACTTCTGCCTTGGTATCTAACCCCTGTAATACCTTTGTTCCAGCAACTACTGTCTTTTGCAGTTACTGGGCTATAATGTAATTCAAATGTGAAGACTTGCCTATGCATTTTTGAACACAAGGTCTGACAGTGTTGATTCTCCTGCAGTTTCACTGAACTTTGTAAATGTAATACTGAAGTATTGAGAAAAACTCAAAGTTTGAAGAACATACCTGAATCAAACTGCCAGACATTGATATAACCAAGATCAGACTGCTCCCTTATCACCGAGGAACTACTGATATCATTATTTCTCTATGTCTGTTACTTTTAAGAGGTATACTGCTAAAATTCTCTGAGTGATTCTCCAGTTTTCAGATTGAGGGTAGGTATATGTGAACTTTTCATGTGTAAGCAGAAAAATAGATAAGAAAAATTTTTCCGAGCATCACAGAATTACTGACCAATCACTTGAGTAAATACAGTTTATACAAACTGGTATTTAAATAGCATGGAAGCATCCAAAACATCAGTAAGACAATTACTGGAGGAGCATAACGTGAAAGGCACAATTATTCCATCCATCAGGAAGGCAAGAAAAGAGTTCCGGGAAGAAGCAGAAAAAATATACAACTTTCAAGCAGCTGTTACCTCACAAAAGTTGATGGGTGAAATGTAACACGGTTTACCTTAGAATTTATCAATTACATATATTCAGAATCATACCTTTTGGATTTAGTGCTTGTTCTTGGTCTGTACTCATGAGACTCATCTTCTATGCCATTCTGCCTTTTATACCAATCAAACAAAGTGCGCAGGATAGAGGGTAAACAATATTCTGAAAGTGAGCTCATTGAGCTTATAACCTATGGGGAAAACACAACGAATCAACAAATGAAATGCTCCTTAAAAAAGTACTAATTCAATGGTTCTTTCTTGTTTCCATCCATTTTTTGAGAACTGAGGTATAAGCAGTGACTTAATATTCTGCACTTCCTGTCTTTAAAAGATGTATGGACATGGCACGTAGGAACATGATTCAGTGTTTAGACTTGGCAATGTTCTGTTTGTGGTTGAACTTGACAATCTCAAAAGTCTTTTCCAACTTAAATGAATCTGTGATTCTATAAAACATAAACAGAAATGCAACAGTGGAGTGTATGTTCATAGAGTCTTTATACTGATGATATTAAAATGCATTAAAATCGTGTATAACATCTTTCAGTGTACCAGAAAATCATATAGTTCTTCAAGCAGGTTATTTTGATTTGTTACACAATGTTGATTTGAGTTCAAACAGATTGTAAGGGAAAAAAAAGTAATGAATCAGAGGTACTGTCTTCAGGGCTGGATGCCCCCCTAGAGACTCAGAATATATTGAGAAACACCACAAGTTCTGCAATAATTTTAATGAACTGACCATGCAGATGCATGCATCTTACTCTTTGGCTCACACACCCAAAAACTTGGAAAAAAACCTGAAAAGTTCTCTTTTATATATAGGAAAATGTTTCGTTTCTTGTGTCTTTGTGGGCACAAATAAAATATAGTTTAGAATTATTCCTTAGAGGTTGCTGATTTAACAGCTCTAGTGGATACTGGATAAGAAGATTACTGCTCACTCAGTATTAACTGTGTCACCAATTACAGAAATGTTACTGAGCATGTTGGACTCAACTGTGACTTAAACATCTTATAACAGGAAATCATAAAGCTACAAAACATGAAAATATCAAAAAGTAGGGTAAAAAATATCCCTCCATTATTATACAAGAGGACAACGTATGTATTGCAACTGAATGTTCACAGATACAGCATTTGTGGGCATTCTAAGAAAATAAAAAACAACTGTTTAAAATAGGGAAGAAATTAATGATCTGAAGATTTTTTGACCATCTTAATATCATGCAGGGCTTGATCCTGTGAAGTGCTGAGTATCAGGAGTGAAGAGCTGAAGTGTGTACAACATGCCCAGTACACTGATTATGTAATTAACTGTCAGGTTTATCCACCTGCTTAAACTTAAACCAGTGCGTTTCAATGCTTGTGGAAAAATAACAGAGTTTAATGTCTCATGTAACACCAAACTTGTGTGAACGCTGTGACTTACACAAGAGCAAAATTGGAAGACCAAGCATACCCAAATATTAGTATAGCCTAAATTGAGAACTTCTGTGGATGACACTTAGTCCAGCTGAGTAACTCTGAATCTCTTTTGTAGTTTTTCATCCTCAGGATTTAACTACTTCACAGTGAAATTGTGAACTAAAGTTAATGGGATATTTTGAGGGTGAAATATTATTATTTACTTATTATGGCCTAAAATTAAACATAGAAAGATATAACAACTGCCCTGCTAAATTAAAAATTTCCATAAAAGCAATATTTTCAGAAAACTTTCAATCTAGTCTTTGCAATAGATTTTATTACCTGAAATATGAAACAAGTTGCTGTAGAAGATATCATGAAGCAACTACTTGCAGCAGTGACAGAAAGCTTTCAATGAAGAATTACTATAGGACTTCAAGCTCAATTATACCAAAGCCTTCTAGTGTTAAGGCTTCAGAAAAATACTCAAAAAAAATCAATCACCTGGTGTCAGGGCAAACTATACACTACCAACTCACTTCTTTACTGTTTTCTGATACTTTTAATGCAGTTAGCACAACACTGCTTCTTAATAATGAAATACAATGAAAATGGGTTTCCTGGGGAAGACCAGAAAAGAATCATACAGTCATAGAATCACAGAATGGTTTGGGTTGGAAAGGATCTTAAAGGTCATCTACTTCCAACCTCCCTAACATTGGCAGGGACACTTTTCACTAGACCAGGCTGATCAAAGCTTCAACTGGCTTTGAGCACTTCCAGGCATGGAGCATCCACAGCTTCTCTGGGCAACCTGCTTCAGCCTCACAGTAAAAATATCTTCCTTCCAGTTAGTAAAAATTGACCCTTTTTAGTTTAAAACCCTTAGCCTTTGTCTTATGTCCATGTGCCCTCAAATAGACCTAAATAACTTTTCACAAATTGCAGTATCTATCCATTAATGAAAAGTTGTTTCAATCAGATGTTCCTGCATGTTCATTGACATACTTATCACAGCTGTTCTCTAAATCTCACCTATACAATTTCACCAGAAAAAGTCAAAGTGATTCCTGTTAAATCTTCTCACTCTCATGCCATACTTTCCCTGCTGAATTTAGTGTCTGTCTTCATTTGGGATAAAAGGTCAATATAGCTTTATTTTTTCCTTCTTTATTTTAAATTTTTTTTTTAATCTTTCTGTCATTGCACTTTTAAGACAGGAAGGAAGGGTGGACTGGGAAAAGACCTGGCTCTCAGGGAACAGGAAGGGAGGGAAGTCTAGCCAGCATGCCGGTTACTCAACCCTTTCATTTACTGGAAGTAAGTCCAGGAGTGAGATGAATTCTAGCTCTGTGCTGCTCCTGAAAGGGAGTGCACAGATGTACAAATATGTCCTTGTTGGACAAATGATCATATTCTTCCATCATAAATGAACTACCTACTGTATAGCTTAAGGATAAGAAAGCTGCACAAGTAGGGAGCTGTTTAAAACCTGTGTTTACAGAGCATTAAGTATACTTCATGTAAAAGCTTAATATTTATTTTGGATTAAAATGCAAGAGTAAATTTAATGAAATTCTGCTCAGACAGCTCACTACAGTTTATATACTTTCATAGAAGTCTTGCTATATTGTCAAAATTCAAATATAAGAAATGTTTTCACTAACAGAAAATTGATATGATTACCTTTTTCATTTCACTAATGAATTTAGATGTGCTTTAACACCAAATATATTCAAAACTGTGCCCAATTTCCAACAGTACCGTTAGTTTTTTGGCCCTGCATTATTTTTCTGTATCACATATATCAATATGTATGTTTAATGGGCATTTTATTGCCATTTTAATAAAGCAGAATTGCAGTACTTCATTTTTACACAGTCTTGGTTTATATCTATGACTCTATTTTTTTGCACAGTGTCTGTACATTTTATCTTCAAATTGTTGTGCAGATTCTAAGCACAAGTAAGGTTTTACACTTTCTATCAACGCTACTGAATTAATTTGTAATTGTGGATATGTCCTTTCATTCACATCTTTGCTCTAAGCATTTTTTTTGGACTGTGCTGTGAAGTAAAATCTCCCTGGAAATGGTCAAAATGTATAACTATTCAAGTTGAACTCACTATTTTTCATTAATGGCCTTGGCTTCATGAGACAAAAAAAGAAATCAGTATTTTTTAGTACCATAATATTGTGGATGGGTAATTTCAGCTAGCATGCCTATACACTTGGTAGTGTATGTTTATAGCTATTTTACTGCCAGCATAACAGTTTACATGAAAACCTATTTATTTTTAGTGGACAGCAAGTTCAGTTCTGAAGGTATTACCTTTAATTTTGCCTTTAAATGTACTTTCTTATACATGGCTGGAACCCAAACCTCTGACCAGGAGCCAAAGGTTATTTTATAACCCAATGACCATAATTTCTTATACTTTCTCTGCCCTGTGCCTTTTTCTAGTGATGAAGGCAAATGTGTAAAAATCAAGGAAAGGCAAAACACAAAAGCGGCCAACTGCAGTGCTACTGCAATGACAGTGATACCCGTATTCACTAACTACATCTAAAAAATAATATTGGAAAAGAATCATTATCAGCATATCATTAATAATGTTTAGGCTGTTAGGAAAAAGGACACTTTATCTTTGGTATGCTGCTTAGTGCCTTATTTATTTATTCATTTATTGCATTTTCCACTTTTTTATTATTATTATTCATTTTAGTTTCCTTTTTTTACCTTAGCTGATTTTTTTTTTTTTTTTGTTTTCATCTCCTAGAAGTATGTTAAAGATTAAATGTTTTTGCTTTCCAAATCGTAGTCTCCAACCTTGTGCACTTTTAAGAAGACAGCAGTAAAACTGTAACAAGAAAAAGCTTTTGTGCAGTTTATGCTGAAACTTCTGCAACAGGCACCTCGGATAGATAGCTTCATACGGAAACTAAGCCTTCCTGTTAAATTTTCACTTCCATGGCAAAAACATTACATTCATTTAGTGTTTTTATATGGAAAACAGTCTGTAGTTCAATCCAAGATTACACAGTGCCCTTCTTCTGCCTCCAGTGTTGTCAGTTCATGGAACATTTATTCACCGTGGTAAGAACAAATGATACATTAGTAGAAGCTGAGAAAAGAGTAATAAAAATGTTTCCTTAGGTGAGGATAACCCTCTTGGAGAATTACGGGTTTTAGCTAGCTTTTGATCTTTTCATGTACTGTAACTTTATGGTTTCCTGTAATAGGAAGTTTAAGTCATAGTTCACTAGTACAATGTTTAATAACATTTCAGTAACTGGGGACACAGCACACTAATGCTGGAGCTGTAATACTCTTTGCCAATAGACAACTAGAGTTGTCTAACCAAGGACTTTCAAAATGTGATTTCAAATATACTGTGAAAATATTTAAAACCATATGAAAAAACCTACATCATTTCCTGTATATATTTTCTTTATACATAAGCACACCTAGAAAGGAAAACACAGTCAGTGTAAGGAATGTAGTTTGTTAGGCCAATGGTGAGACATTGGGCAAGTCAGGATAAGTATCATCACTTCATACATTGCTCAAGATCCTATTATTTGTTTGAGGAGGGTGATGCAATTGGCAGCCAGACATGCTGTCTGCCCAGCAGGAGACACTGAATACCTATGTGGAGAGAAACAGCCCAGGCCCAGTCAGGTTTCCAGACACTGGATCCATCACCACCATCATAACCAGTGTTCCTAAAATGGTGTTTAAGAATGAGCAGGAAAAAATGCTGGTTCTCAGGGAGCCAGAGATAGAACTGTTCAGGGGTAGTAAGTAATGCTTTCATAGCCATCTCAAATGGTTTGGGGGGGGTCTCAGTTTTAAACTTGATGCTGATTACTTTGGGTAGCCAAAGTGCCATTCTGCTCATTGTTAAATTCTTTTTGGACTGATTTTTTCCACCTTTGAAGCTGACTTGAAAAAAAATCAAGTTTTAAATCAGGTCATGCTTTATTTTTGTTGCTTTTAAATTTACCATTAGAAGATTAAGCTCAAACATTTTAAAGTAACTAATGACCTACTCACTTCAGCATTGCTTATCAATGTCGCTCAAATTGAATAGAGATAATTTTGATTGCACCAAAAGAAAAAAAATTGGGTTCCTTTGACAGTCTGTCACTTATATACCCTAAAACTTAAAGTAAAAATTATTAGACACTCCCTGAAGAAGTTTTTTCATGGGGATTGTCCATCCTTCCTCCCTTCATTTCTGTAGTAAAAATATTAGGAATGTCATGGCTGGCCTTTTTTGTTTTTGCTAGATGACTTTATGGGTTTCAGAAAAAAACACCAAAACTTTCTGCACCCTAACTGGAAAGGGGAAGTGAGGGATTACCAACCTCGTCTTCCTTCATCCCATAGACTCTTTAAATACTTGAGTTAACTTCAAAAATGAAACTTGAGTGGCTTCACTTACGAGTGCATGCCTTCTTACTTGGGTTTTGGTGCCATGTCATATCATGATCTTCAGAGCTTCCCAGGCAGACTACACCTTGATTTTATTATCTGTACTTTTATGACAACTTTATATTACTGACATGTTCTAATTTGAAAAACAGCTTTATAAGGCGATGTACTCACATAATCTATTGAGTGAAACATGCCAGGTAAAGAAAGACTTTTTGTTATGTCTTCCTGTCTCTACTCTAGCCCAGTTCTATCAAATCTGTATTGTGCATGACAAAATTTTGAATGCAAACTATTTGAATACAATTAAAACTATCCTATGATTGTATTGATAATTTAGCATGTAATATAGCAATATAATAATTTAGATTGTATTGATGGATTTAGCCAAACTAAAATAATTTTGGTAAGTATGAACCATGTTCTTGAAAATGGGCTCATAAGCCAGGTTCAGGTCCCATCTGCTGATCACAGGTCTACATCAATCCCAGGAGCATCAGAATATCTCAAAATGATAATGCTATTTAAGTAGAAAGCAATGTAAAAACTGAAAAAGGAAACATTGCCAACAACCTGGCCCGAGGCTGACAAATTCTGAAAATTTCAGCTTAAATAGTTTGTTTCAAAAATTTCAAGCAGCGGAAAGCAAGGCCTTCTGATGACATCTAAGTCAATCTCACCACCGTACTTTTCTATCAACTCTTCACATAGGTAGGACTTCAGATATGTGACCAGGAAGATACATGAATGTCATACATAACAAAATTTACCTTGGTGTTTGGTCTGCATCTGGCTTTTTTTCTCCTGCCTGCACTCAGAGTAAATTGCTACAGCCATAAACACACAGTTTCACTCTAGGAAGCTTTTGCTGTTCTCATTAAATGAGCTTGACTTAATTACTCAATTTTCCGTCTACTTACCAGTAACTAGGAGAATTATCAGTCTTCCAATTCTTCCATTTAAAGGGCCAAAATTTGCTAAACCATAAATATTTAATCAAATCAACGCCACCCATTATGAGTTTGTTTAATGCACTGCAGGAACAGTGTCCCAAGGTTTGCATCTGGGCAGCTGAATTTGTTTTACTTTCCCATTTGAGTGCAACATTCTTCCCACAGGAAGGAAAAGAGTATGTATATAAAATTAAGGCCAGAATACCACAAAGAATTTCAGGAGGCAGGTAGGAAGTACTCAGAAAGAGCCTCCTTTAGCCTGCAGTGGCTGGTTTCCCTGCGGGGTCTCTGTGATCAGTGAGGCGGATAGGGAGCTCCTGAGTATGAAGTTGAAGTCTCACCTCCTCTGTTCACCTCCTGCCCTCAGCAGCCCTCCAGGCAGGCTCTCTCTCCCCAAAAAGCAGCTACAGAACAATCTAGAGTCACTTTGTCAAGCTAAAATTACAAAGTGAACCTTAGTGAATGTCAGTGAAGTCTCAGAAGGCATCTTTACTTCTGGAGATACGTCTCAGAAAACTCAATGAATGTTCAGCTGAAGTTCTGAAGTTGTACTTATACCTATCTCCTCTCCCAGAGTCAATCAGTATGGTACCTGCATCTTATGGCATTGGTTGTAACTTCCTTTTGAATTGTTGCTGGTACTGCTGCTTCTGCTCTGTCTTTCTGTCCTGTGTTTTTGTCCCTGCTGTCCTTCTGCCCTGTGTTTCTGCCCCTGGCAGCACAGCAGTGTAGGCAAATGCGGAGTAAGTGGCAATGGTGACAGCAATGGCACACCTAGAGTTTATCATTCCTCTTTGTGGGGAGTGAGATCTGCCAGTTTTGGCGTCCTTTATGTAAGTTAAACTCTTTAGAATTTATCTTCCTTCAAAAACCTATTTCAAAATAGGTTATTCTAGATGCTGCTGACAAAAAGAAAGACTGCTGACAAAAATAAACTGCTTTATATAATCAATTAGAAGTGTGTATATTGCTGTTGGTTTTATTTTTATACTTGTCCTATTTTCCTTACATAATAAATTAATCTAAAGCCAGATATAAATTTAATTTTATAAATTACAATTTCATTGTTCTACTTAATGAAATCAGACTAATTATATAAATTCTACTTAATTTTTAATTCTTTTTCCCTACCCACCATTTTCCTAATAATTATCTGCCTTGTCATATACAAGTATTTATCCTGACAATTGAACTTAATTTTAAACACAAGAGATTGGCTCAGCCTATTTGAAGTGCAACACAAATATAAGTCATGCTGAGTCACAACAACAGAGGCAAACCAGACTGATGAGACTGATGGCAACAACCATGATAGGCCCTCATATAAACTATAAAAGAAACCTCGTAAAAGAAAGATTGGGGGGCACACACCTGTTTAAAAAACCACATACTTTGAAAAGATACATATTTTGCTTCAAGATCCCCGTCAGGGGAAACAGACAAGAAACAATACACTATAAAAAGTAACAAGTTCTATGGCAGAAAAAATATTGACCTTGGAAACAGAGGAAAAATTCATCCAATTTATATCCAAGAATGGTCGGGCAACCATTTATCATGCTACCAAAGCACATCAAGAAATATTACTTTTGTAGTATGCAACAACAGTATAAGGACACTGGAATGCCTTCCAATGCACTCCTCTTTTAGCCTGAGGAATGGAAATAATGTAATTTCAAGTGTCTTACTTGATCAAACTGGGGATCTTCTCCTCGTTGCAGCGATTTGGTCAGTGGCTTCTCCTGAAAGAAAATATATTAAATATGTATTACTTAAGATCAACACTATCATATTCTACCCATATTTCTCTGTTAGACTTTTTACTCACATAATGGGCCTCCTGATCTGATCCTGGAGACCTCTGCATATGTATCAGCCAATACTGACAGAGTATCTTGAATGATTTTGGTGCCTTTTCACAAAAGACAAGGACTGGCCATTCATTACATCTGAGTTTGTGCTCATACCGATGATAAATTCTTTCAACATCCTAAAAAGTGTTTTCTCTAATACATAACCAAGGAGCTCTATTTAGGAGAAAAGGAGACTCAGAGGTGACTTTATCACTCTCTACAACTCCCTGAAAGGTGGCTGTAGTCAGGTGGGGGTTGGTCTCTTTCTCCAGGCAGCACCTGACAGAATGAGAGCACACAGTCTTCAGCTGCACCAGTGGAAACATAGTTTGGATATTAGGAAAAAGTTTTTCACAGAAAGAGCGATAAAGTACTGGAATTGTCTGCCCAGGGAGGTGATGGAGTTGCCATCTCTGGATATGATTGTGGTGGATGTGAAAAAAAAGACTGGACGTGGCACTCGGTGCCATGGTTTAGCTGAGGTGTTAGGGCATGGGTTGGACTCGATGGTCCTGAAGGTCCCTTCCAACTTCGGTTCTGTGATTCTGTTACATGATGTACCATCCTGTTATAAAACTACCAGGCAATATGAACATGTCCATGCTTGTATAAAATAAAATATAAAATATTATGTATTATATTATATTATATTGCATCCTGCAGGACATACTGAAAGAAACGTGGTCTAGGAACATAGATCACAGAGTTCATTTTTAAGGAAGACAACTGTGGGGAAAATTATTACTAAAAAAATTACAAAAGGTATTTTCAAAATGGAAGCAAATTTTCAGGTCATACTCTCAGTGCAAATGGTAAAGCCAAGGAGAACTGCCCAACTCAGAGAAGCCATGTGTGGCATCCATTCAACTGCATGGCTTCTTTGTCAAGGAGGCTGAGCTACTAAGACATGGAGAAGAGCACAGGCCAATATTCTAGATGCATGCAACAGCATACAAAACATGAATCTCCTACACCACAACAAAAATAAACAACACATGAGGGCAGATGACAGTCTGAAAAACACGTCACTTGTCACTATCACAATTCTGCTCTGAATTACACTACTGTTTCTGGTGTCTGCAATGTGCCAGTGCCTTATTCTTCTGTAAATCATGACTCTTTCTTCTCCTACAGCTGCAAGACTGGGGCTCTCCCACCAGCTCAGAATGACATTTTGTGTTCAGCTTTCAACAAACTATTACACTCATCAGCATCTGTTAATGTAGCAGGCAAAATACTATTCCCACCAGTGGCTATTAGGTACAAAATAAAGAAATCTATAAAGCTGATGAGATAAGGAAATGGAGACATGAGTTGGACCAAAGATTTCTATTATTTCATGTTTTTTTCAGAAGAAAATGTTGCCCAGTATACTCTGCTGACTGATTTTGAAATTAATTATGCTGATCCACTTGTAATGCCAGCTGGAAAGGAGGCCAGCTATGGGGTGACTGCAGTATCCCCTGACTACCTACCAAATACAAAAATCAACAAAATGTTTTCTACTGAGTCACTGATTTACCCAGAACAGCCATCAATATTTTTCATTGTTTTCTTTAAATATCTAAAGCAACTCCTCCAGGTTACATTTTGGGCACAACAGCTATTAATTATAACTTTATGACAGATTATTGGCGATGAACATCTGCAGTAAAAAACATTGCAACCCTGAGAAAAACACAGGACACTACCCCACCCACAGTCCTCCTCCTCAATCAGTAATTTGGTGCTACCCTGATTAGTTGTGTCTCACAGGAGGACAATACTTCTTTTGTCTAATGCTTCTCACTGAAAAGAACAGCAGATAAACTTTCAAAAGTAGGGTTCAACTTACTTAAATGGAAAAGGATTCTTAAGTTTTCATGGGTCCTGGACAAATCAGCATACTAAGAATTACCACAGTTTAGGAAAACAAAGAATCAACACCCTTTTTTTTTTTTTCTTTTTAATTGTGACATTTCTGATTCTGTTGCAGAAGACTTGTGTCACCAAAGAGAAAGTTCTTAAGGTCAGTTTCAACAAAAAGGGCTTCAGCATGCGGAAGCTTTGTGTTTCCATGAACAACACTGCAGTACCTGGCTTTCAGAGAGTAGCGTTTCAGGCAGAAATGAGGTGTGGGATTCCTCATCCCATGCTGTCTCTAAGGGGAACACAATTGAACAAGACAAACCATGTTCTGGAAACCCAAGTCAGGAATTGCAATCCTGAAAATGCCCTCATCACCTGTAACCTATCTGGGGAAGCACATACACGTCCCAGATACTTTAGTTTCTGATGATGACATTTCCTAGGGGATGCACCCCTGAGTTAAAGAAGATGTCTCCAATGGGTTGTGCCACACAAGTCGTCACATGCCCTCCTACAGGCACCACACCAGGGCTTCCCCAGCCATAGGGCACTGACCTAAAGTAACCACTCATAGGCCATGCAGCAACCTTGGTCGCAGCAGAAGGCAGCTGGGATGAAGAACTGCCAGAAGCCAGGAAGGCTTCTGCTGCCATAACTTCTCAATGTCTCCAGTTTAGGGCTTCAGTTGAGGCCTTTTTCCTCCCTTCATCCCATCCTGCACCTCCTGCTGTTCCCACTGTTCCCTTCCCCTCACACTCCTGCCAGGCAGCAGCTGCTGCTGCAGCTGTCTCTGCCTCTTCGTCATGCCCCTGTTTGGGCTGCTGCTCCTTCTTCCTTGACTCTTTCCAAGGACTGTGCTGCCTCTGGCACTACCTGCAGCCTCTGTGTCAGGACCCAACCTGACCCCATGGAGATGAGAGTCTTTGCACACAGCCTTCCAGTTCTGGGAGCAGGGTGTCCACACCACAGCCGCTCGCTGTAGCCCTGCAGTGAGTGGCAACAGCCATATAAGATTGTGTGTGGAGTTTGGAGGTTTGAGAGAGCCCAGTGTAGAAGTTATTAATACTTGTTGCTACTTATGTTGAGTGCTGAATGGATAAAGAAGTGAATAGAGATGAAGGGCCAGATAGAAATGTGGGGTTTTGTTGTCTAAGCACTCCTAAAATATAAAAGCATGAATACATTCATGATAAGAGGAGCAATTGACCATTGCAGGGAGACATATCTGAGTATATTCAAAGACAATTCAGTTATAAGAAGGTACTTCAAAGTGTCCTTTGAGAACAGCTATTTTTATTTCTGCGATAAATAATTTCTTTTCATCTACTGTAAACAACTTACCTATTCTATTTGCTTAGCTCTAATATCCTTACAAACCTTTCCATTTCATTTTATGCAGTATTTTCAACATTGTTGCTATGGCAGATACCATGTAAAATATATTTATACTCATGGTAGGTGTCTTTACTGCATACCACAGGTTCAGGATTTGTAAAGAAAGGTTAAAATGCGTAACAATATGAAACTGTCTCTGGGCAATAGATTCCATAGTAGTCTATTTACCCTGGAGATACACTTAATTAGTTTTCAAAAAAATCCTAAAACTGTTTTCTAGCCTCATGGTACAATTTTACTTCACTTTATTTTCTTGCCCACCCAACTCATGAATGGCAAAAAGGCATTTTTATATAATAAGTTGACTTATTTTAGTCTCTATCGATACACTACATTCTACAGAAATGTCTTCCAAATCTTAGACAAAAAGTTTGGCTGAATTTGGAGCCCAAACCTACAACAACAAAATATGAATAAAAAAAGTTGTGATTAATATGAAAGGGCCCATATCTTACTGAACTATCAAAAAACATGAGAAAATTTCAGAAGAATAGATTCTCAATAGTAGCATTTCCATTTTTAATCCCTAAACTAAACATCCTTATTTCTTGTTTGAAGTGCTGCCTTCAATTGCATATTTGCGCATGCTGGAAACTCCCATAATATAAATACATTGGAGGTAAGCAATAAAGGCAATTTAATATTTGAAACTATTGTTTTTCAATAAACCAGCTAAATGTTTTGTGTCGCCAATGCCTACAAAACAAAATGCTCAACTAAAACTTAACTTCCTTCCTATCCATCACTGCTCTTGGGAAAACATAAATAGAATATAATGAAACAGAATATGTGAAATATGTAATGGAAAATGCATATTTTATCATATTTGCATACATCAACTAAATATAATAATTATAAATTACCTAAAAAACAACTTATCATTCAAACCCTTTCTTCACACAGGCACACTAAAACATTTCTCCAAAGACTGTCAGTGACTTTTAATGGTTAATATATTAAGGCTTTTTCAGGGCTGCTACACAAATATAATTGGGTAAATTTACACAGGAATAGCCACCTGTCACAGAACTGAGTGTTCAGGGAAACATAAAAACAAAAGGATGTTGTAGTGCCTATTAAACTTCACTATGTCACCATGCTATAATGATATATAATGCCCCTTAAAGCTATTTTTAATCTCAGCAACCATTAGGACTGTTTTTCCTTCTGAACTGTGGCAGGCTACTGTATTACTGATTGAGATCAAACCCCATTTTTATTTATTCATTTTTTTAAAAAAGAATGGTGAAAGGATATTTTAATCCAAATTTTAACTTTTGCACTGCGCACTAAAAAGCAGACAGACATACCCTACTGAGTGCTCTGCTGGGGTGGAAGACTCACCAAACAGAAAAATGGACCTTTTCACATAAAATGGAGTAGACATAGAACACATTCAACTACTACAGCTATAATATATGTAAAAGGTATGTAAGCACAATCTTAAGAGCCCGAAAATCCCCAATTCTTTCTTCTTATGATGAATCAGCACATCAGCTCCCTCTGCCCCAAATGTCTCATATACTTTTCAGCAGGAAAGAGAATTGCTGTTTGTAGGAAAAGGTCTGCTCCCAAACATGCCAATTATTTTTACTGGCCTTATTTTCTACACACAAAACCAGGAAAAAACATCACTGGCATGATGG